TCAAGCCGAGGCCACAATAGCCTCCGCTCCCGCCGGTATAACTCTCGCTCTTCCAACTCCATGAACAAGCACAGCATCTAGCCAAATTCTTTCTTTAACTTCTCCGGGTGTCTCTACTCCCCAGCCCCTCTCAGGGCCCCATCCCACAACTTTCTTATGTCTTTCTACTACCTCTCGTAATCTATTCATCATATCTCCAGTCCTCTGCACACCAGGAAATGCGTCGAATTCAACAGTCTGAATTCCCTTTACATCCCTGAATATTCCTTCTAATAGTTCCTGGCAGAAGCCTTCATAGAATCCATCACCTGCTCTGAAACCTTTGAATATAGCGTCGGAAGGATCGCATTCCACAAATATTTTTAGAACACGAACGGATGTGCAATCAGAAAGTCCAAGTAGAGGTGATACAATCCAACCTCTTGGAGGACTGTTCCAGCCTGGACCTAGACGAAGTTCAAGTGTAGTGATAGAGTTGCGATATTGGGCTGGCAGACGTGCGAGTAATGGTTTCTTTGTCTTAAAATAGCGACCTGGATGGACAGGGAAGATACGGAAGGTGTAGGTTGAGAAGAAGTGGTGCGATGATTCATTGTAAATTTGTTTGCAGACAGAGAATAGAGAGAGGAGTTTCTGACGATGAATGATGGAGAATGTTGTAGGATCGAGGTCGATAATTGAAGGGAAAGGGGCGAATATAAGGGCATAAATTTTAGTTCGTAGTTCGGAGGGCAGAGAGAGAAATGGAAACGGTTGTTTGATTTTGAGTTTGCGAGTGGCGAGACTGCTATCTTCAGCATCAGATGGATATGCTGAGGGGTAGGCAGATGAGCTTGGGGTTGTGGAACCAGATACGGGCACGCTTGCTATTGCGCGGCGATTCCGTAGGGTTAAAGTATGATGTCTCATAGACGGCGCCATATCTGTTGTTATTGTTCAAGTAGGAGTAAGTAAGTAGATAGGATAACGAAATTGTGAAATTGTCGTTGTCGTCGATATACTGTAGAGTTTTGGGTGTTAGGTTCGTTGAGTTTGAGACGAATGATGGAACCAAGTGGAAGAGAACCGCGTGCTAGGAAAGAGATACTGATTCAAAATCACAAATAAAAGGTGAATCGCGTGGTATCTCAAATGATGAATAATGGAATAATATTTAAAACTTCAATTATACACAAGAAGAATCCTTCTATCAAGACTCGTGCCGAGTATATTCGGATAGATTATGAGGGAGGCCGGAAACACCCTCAAAATGAGTATTTCACTGAAATATGGAATGTTAGGACACCACGGGACTGAAGTTGTAATTGAGTAGCCGGTGCTCTTTCAAGCACCGGCTTAACATCCAATTCTTGAAAGTGTCATATTCGTTCTCCTCAGATTGTTCAACTCTTCGTCCACGGTTATTGTAGGCGCGATGAGTATAATTTCTGTCCACTGAGTGTCAACTTTAAGGAAAAAAGAAAAAAGAAAACCAGAATCCGAAAATCAATTGATGCTTTTATGGTGGGGAGTTTGACGCCAATTGGAGCTAGTATTAATTGGTACTAGCTTGAACAATTCCCGCCCGCATCATTGTAGAAAATTGTATTTTGTTGCTTGTAAGGGAAAAGTTAAGGAATCAGGTTATTTTATTAGGCCAAAGGAACTTTGAAGTTTCTCTTTACTGACAAGAACTTCAATAACATTCAATGCGATTTCGCATATAGTCTGATCTTTATTGAAGTAAGCTGTGTATATTGATCCTTTCCCTTCATAATGTTGTCAAGAGCTATCGGAAGGTCGTTGCAAACGCCAGCTCTTAGAAATAGTTCGACGAATCTCCGAATAACCTCATCAACGTCATGGACTCGGTCGATGGCGAACAATCGCCGCCAGCCCAAAAAGCCTACAGATTATAATAGACCTTCGGGTACGCCAACACCATCCGGTCCAGCTGGGGCACAAGCTGCTTTTACTTCGCCAAAATCAGGACTGAGTAGTGATAAATCTGGTAACCCAGACTTCTCCAAGGCGCAGGATGAAGTGAGTAAGGGGGCTTCACCACAGAGGAATACTGTACCACAATCAGAGGGAGGAGGTGCCGGTGTACCAAACCCAGATGCAAGGAAAGGTGAAAGTCCAGACTTCTCTGGCAAGCAAGATGAATTCGAGACAATCGCTGTCGACCCCGCACAAGCTGAATTCGAAAATAAACCTCTACCAGATCTCACCCAAGGTATTCCTTCAACTTTGGATTTCGAATTGGCAAATAGAAAATCGAAGGCATCGCCATTGAACCTTACGGAAGCGGCAGATCCTGAAGAAGATCCTAGTGGTGGGGGTAAAGGTCGTGGGGAATTGCCAGCATCTGCGTATGTTTCTTCCTCGGAAAGAAAGAGAAACCAAATGGCCAATTACATGTATCTTGCATTCTTCATATCTGCGATCACTGGTACGGTATACATGGGAAGAAATTGGGAGACAGAGGAAGAAGAAAGACTACATTCAGAAACTGCTCCATCTGGATGGTCACTCACCGGCATGTGGAATCGTGTCAGGGCCCGAACCGGAGACCAACTTGGTCACTACACCGAGCCAGCTTTTACCAAGTTACTTCCTGATCCAAGCCCCATGTTTGAGCGCCCTTACACTTTAGTTCTAAGTATGGAGGATCTTTTAATTCACAGTGAATGGACCAGAGAACATGGTTGGCGACTTGCAAAAAGACCCGGAGTGGATTATTTCTTGAGATATCTAAGTCAATATTACGAATTGGTCATCTTCACCACTCAACCATCTACTTTAGCAGAGCCAGTTATTCGAAAATTCGATCCATATCACATCGTTACTTGGCCGCTTTTCCGAGAAGCAACACTTTATGAGAACGGAGAATATATCAAGGTAAGGTTTTCGTGACATCCTTCCCGCGACTGTTACTAATCCGATATAGGATCTTTCATACCTCAACCGAGATCTCTCAAAGGTCATATTAATCGATACTAAAGCACACCACGCAAAGAAGCAACCAGAAAACGCAATAATCCTTAAGCCATGGATGGGTGACGTCCAAGATAAAGAACTTGTTTCTTTAATTCCTTTCCTTGAATACATCCCTACAATGCAATACGCCGATGTACGCAAAGCCTTGAAATCATTTGATGGAACACATATTCCTACTGAATTTGCCAAACGTGAGGCAATAGCGAGAAAGAAGTTCCAAGAACAACTTGCAGAGGAAAGAAAGAAGCATGGAAAAAGAGGAGGTGGTGTAGGATTACTCGGAAGTGCTTTGGGTATCAAGCCTGGTGGAATGATGGTGACAGATCCTAACGAACAGAGTCTAGCGGATGCGCTTGCTCAAGGAAAGATGTTGCAAGATTTAGCGAGAGAAAGGGGACAGAAGAATTACGAGGCATTTGATAGGGAAATTCGCGAGAATGGAGCAAAATGGCTAAAGGAAGAAGCCGAGATGGAGGAGAAAGCCAAAGAAGAGGGACTAAAGGCTATGAAGAGTGGAATGACAGGTGGTTGGTGGGGAAGTTCTTCGTCGTAATGGTTGATGAATTAGAGGGTTGAAACGGACGAGTGTATATTTTATATGTATCATGAATGAGGCGTCAAAAGGAATGAAGGACCGACGGCCTCGAATCTCACCTCTGCAAATGCGGCCGAGATTGGATTGTGGTGTCTCAGTTATGCTTGAGATGGATGGGTTATGCGATGTAGGATCGGCGATCACGACTCGAATGTTATGATGCATTTAGGTAGCGTAGCATGGAAGCTCAATCTGTACCTGTATCTGTATGTACTATAAATGTCTGAATACTCCCACAGACCTTTTGCGTCGTGGTTTACATCGACGGATTTGCGAAGCTCGGTGCTTATTCTTGTTTACGGACTTCTGTATCACTCCAAGATTACTGAGTCTTAAAAAGGATCCGTGATTCAATCTCTTTTGCAGGATATGGAGCATCTCATTTCTTTACCCATTCCTCTCGAATCTGGTATTGATTTCCCCTAAAGTTGTATGTGTCTAAAAGCGAGAGCTTGGAGTTGATTGGGGTTGTCGAGTTGATGACATTTGAGTTGTGAGGGTATGCTTGAGATAACCAAAACTTCGCAAATGAATTGGAGACTCGGATTTTCCTATCCATGGTCCAACGGATTGGCGTGTTGATACCAACGGTATTTTCACACCTCAATCATTCCGGGTTTTTACCAACTTCCATGAAAGATACGATGGGTGCTAGGGAAGATAACTATAAGTTCACATTGCTAGCCTGTGTTGGAAATAGGGGGTAGGTATGATGTAATCGGTATCCGAAAATTGACTTAGGATGAAGTAGATAAAAATCTGAACTATGGTATAGATCAGAGACGATAAATAGCCATGTTGGTGAATTTTTCAATAATGATACATTTCTCAAGCTGTCTACCTAAGTCGTTTCCTTTCGTGAATACTTGCCATCCCTGGGTACCTGAGTATCTAGGTATGCCAAAAGTAACGCATGCATGCATACTTTCATGCAAATTTCGCCTTCTGTAATAGAAAGATATTTGTGAAGACCGCCGCAGTCATACAGTGTCTCTTCTTCTCATGACCCCTTATACTTTGAAACTTTGTACCCTTTGGTGTTGCATCATTCTCTTCTTCTGAGATAGAAAATCATCATTGTCAAGGTATTTCCTAGATGTAAGTTTACTATTTGAGGAGATCAATTCACCCCATGTATCTGCATCGAGAAAATATAGAAAGTCTTTTCTGTTCTGTTCTTGTGTTCTTCATAAATTTCATTGCAAAAAGAAGAGAATCTTGATGTCTAGATTTCCCACGCGCTTGTAACATAATTATGTTTGTAGATGGGAAATTTCAAGCAATGAAAACTAGTCTCGTAAGTACTTCAAAGCAAGTGACTCGCATACTCCTCTCCTCCTCTCAAAGATAAACTCTCAACCCCAAAATCCGCAACTCGTCTCTGCACCATCTCTCCCAGATTCTTCGACTCCAATCTTTCATATCCCTAAGCATCTCCATTGAAACTCATCCGATTCCCAATCGCTCTCGCGCGCAAACTATCTCTCAACGCTTCGCCCGATCCCGATCGCGTATGCGTATGTGAATGACTCCCCACATTCGCATTCATAACTCCCAGTCCCACACTCGAACTCGTATTCGCATGGCTCGTTTGCATACTCTTTCTTCCTCTTCGCTTTTTTCCCATTCCTCCCGTATTTTCCCTGCTCATCTCCTGCATGACTCTCTCTGCTTCATTGGTGTGTCTACTCAATCCTAAACCGACTCCAGAAGTAGAAGTAGAACGACCACCCAATCTCTTCATCTCATCCGGTACATCCTGCCATCTCAAAACAACTCTACATCTCCCCCTTCCCATACACCTCTTGACTCTCTCCCACCGAATCCTATCCCGCGTAATTCCTCGATAAAATTCACACCACCAAATCCCCTCGTTAGGAGACGCCTCCTCGCTCACATCCTCTCCACTCTCATCCGTCATCAAATCACCATACGTGCATAATTCCTCTCCCTTCACTCCCGCCGCCCTTGCATATTTCCTTACTTCCCGCTGTAGCAATCCCGGATTCTGGGATACCTGTAGCGGAAACGGAAGATAAGGATCATCTGAATTGTAGGAACGGGGTACTTCGACGGAGAGAAAATCCGCAGTAGGCGCAGTGTTAGGAAAGGGATTCTCGGGCTGGGGAAAAAGTATTCGGGTGGAAAATTCGAAGATGGGAGTTCCTTGGAAGGAGAAATCGTAGTCTTGACGTTTGGCGATCTTTTTGGTGGGGAGACCGTGTTGGGTGTGGGAGAAGGTGGGTTCGAGGAGGGAGGGGGGAGTGTGGTGTCGGGTTGGATGGGGTAGGTTGTTATGTTTGAGAGGGGGACTGCGATGCAGAGCCAGGTTGTGGGGGTTGGGGAGGGGAAGTTGGGAGGTGTGGTTGTGGAGGTGGAGGGAAGGGTTGGGGAGGGGGTGGTGGTGGTTACGAGGGGGCGTTGGATGAATATTGAGAGCCAGGGGTGGAGGGTTCCGGTTATATCGGGTCTGTGGAGAGATGTTAGCTATTCTGAGGAAGACTTTTTGTTGTTGTTTTCGTTCGGATGATAGATGGGAGGGTAGTAGGATAATAAGGTGAGGAAAGACAATGACAGCAAAAATACCGCATAAATTTTCGTAAGGGAAGTATAGTAGAAGGGAAGTACAATCGACAAGAAGAAATAAAAGGACAGCAGCTTCGCCATCCAATCTTCCCCAAGCCAAGAGTCAAGTGTCAAGTCAAACAACCGTCACACTGCAGCACTCTTCACACCACCCCCAGTCCCCCACAACAGCAACGGAATCAACAACCCAAACTTTGAAACCAAAATCTCGAAACCAAAACCTCGAAGAGAAAAAAAAAGAAAAAAAGAACTTACAAACCCAACTCCACAACCTCAACCCTCTCACAACTCGAAATCCCATCCACGCCAAAATGCACCAATAACTGATTTCTAAACTCGCCCGTTCGTACATTCGGTGTGAAATCATGGAACGATATACTTCTACATTCTCTCTTTACGGAACCGGTCATGGAAGCGCGGGAGAGAAGATATGCGCGGAGTCCTTCGCCGGTGTAGGGGTTGACTGAGGGAGGGAAGAAGGGAGTTTGTGTTGGGGATTCGTGGGTTGGATTGGGAGGGGTTTCTTGTGGTATTGTTTTTTGATGGTGAGGGTGATGAGAAGAAGAACAAGATGAATTGTTGGAGGAAGAACAAAGAGTGTCGAAGGGAGCGTGGATATCTTGTGGGTATCGTGCCGTGGTGTTTACATTGTGTGCTTCGTTTGCGTTTGCGTTCGTGTTCATATCCATCTCCGCCCTCATATATTCCCGATTGTTTCCAATATCCTCTCCACTCCTATCACCATTATCTCTCGCAGCAAGATGCTCTCCACTTTCATTTCCACCCCTCACAACTTCCTCTCTTCCCAAATTCCTAAGTCCTAAATCCACCAACGCCCCATCTCTCCCCACAACCAAATTACTCGCATCATGCTTTCCCGTGCCCATCAGCAAATCAAACGGTAAATCATTCCTCACACCCACCACCGCCTGCAATCTGCGACTCGCAGCTCGAACAAACGGCGCGCGATCATCTTGATGTTTGCTCAATATCTGAGACGCATTTCTTTGATTCACAGCTGCGTGATTAACGTGAGAAATTTGTGGATGGGGTCCCTGTGCAATATATTGAGCAGTGAGATGATCGAGAACCGATGAGTGGGGTTCTAAACGGCATGGTACGGAGGGAGAAGGGAGGTCTGTAGGGAATACGGTGGTTTCGGAGGCGGATGTTGATGAATGTTGGATTTGAGGTGAAGATGAGGAAATAGTGTGATGTGAATATGAGGATGCGCGCGAAGGTTCCATATTTTTTTGTTGCGACTGCGAGTTATATTGTGCAGTTACAGGTCCAGCTTCGTTGGCATCAACGGATTGTGGTGTATCGGCTGGTAAAGTGATTGGAGAATATGATGGTGCTCTAGGTGTGTCCATTTCTCCTTGATGCCATTCGGCATATGCTTGTTCCATTTTTCTATTTGTTCCCGTGGAAGGCGGAGTAGTTGGATTATTTCTATCAATAGGGTTGTGATGATATTTCCACTGGGGTAAAGGTAAAGGCAAAGGCGAAGGTGAAGAAGCACGTGCGCGCGCCGGTGACGAAGAGCAATTTGGTGTAGAATTAAAGTCAGATTCGCTATCATCAGTATCGTGGGTATTATCGGAGTCTGAAGGCGTAGCGAAGCGATCACTCAGATCGGTCATGAATTTTCTCGGGTTATAAACGTAACCTGCTTGTTTTGCCGTAAGGGTGAAATCCCAACGACCTGTTGCTGCAATTGGTCTTGCGACGGTCTCGGGAACAGTTTCTCAAATTGGTGATGGTGGTGTAAGTGCTCTTCTCTTCGAGCTTGGTGTATCAGAAAAGTCGGATTCGGATTCGAGATCGGAAGGTGAAGCGAGCGGGCTAGCTACAACCGGTTCTGCAATCGATGTTGAGACGGTTACTGGAGAAGCTACCGCTGTAACCTCCTCTTCTCTATCACTCGGTGTATCCGCAGAATCAAAGTCTGAATCCTCGTCGTCTGCGTCTGTTTCCCTTTCTTCAAAATCGATATTGCTAGCAAGGCCGTACTTCGCCTTCTTCCCTGGTCTCTCGTCTGCAGTTCCTACTGCAGGTCTCTTACCAGGCCAAACACCAGAATCCGCTGAATGTAAAGAAGTAGAAGAATCCCCCATCAACGATGGAAGAAGAGATGATGCGGAAGATGGTTTCGATGGGAAGGAAGTGTAGGACTTGTGGAGGTTAAGGCGGTGGAGTATATGAGGTGGGAGAGGGAATTTTCCTCCAGAACTTCCAACTGGTTTCTTTGGAGTGAATGGTTCTTGTCTTTCTAGAAAGAATGTAATTTTCAGTAGAGATTTGGATAAGGAAGAAGTATGGCTAAGAAAGAAGAGACTCTAGTTCTTCCAAACATGGTCGAAAGGAGGACAATAAAGTGCCATCTTTCTCACCACTATAGACTGGATACTCCAGAATATTGAATTCAGAAGGACAATGAGCTATCACCCTGCTTGTTACCATCGAAGAGAATCACTAGATTATTGCTCCCAAAGAGACATTATCACCATTTTCATCATCTCCATCATCTCGCCACGGACACGTCAGGGGGACTTACCAATATTTGCTTGGCCAATTTTTCAATGTGGTCTAAGACCAGGGAGTAGAAACAAAACCATTATCACAATTGTTCAATTGAAGATTGCTATTCGTATGGTGTTGTCGTTATTGATAGAGTTGCTGCGAGAAAGCAAAATCACAAGAAGTCCCATTCACAAATTTTTCAGCTCAAAATATCATCAACTATCTACAACTTCAATTGTGCGCAATTCATCTACCAATCAACCAATCAATCATCCATTTCCAGCCTCCTGAATTGAAACTATAACGATATTGAATATTCTATCCTTCAAGGTGAACAAAACAAATTATTGGCTACTGATTATTTCCTTCCTCGAAAATTTCTCGCTTAATTTTTATTAGCAGCAATTCAACCGCGAGCAAAAGTGAATATCAAGAGCGAGATATCCCAATACTGTGGAGAGAAACAATGAAAGTGTAGAATGGTAGTTAGTTGAATCAATGCAGTTGATGGAGATGAGAACATGATGCTGAGATGATGCTAAATACCAAGAAATCTTTACTGGAAAAATCTATGGCTACCATGGAAGGAGATATATTTCAACCACAGCACTGCTACGCTTGCCCCAGAAGATAAAAGGAGAACAAAAGAGCTGAACCAGTGAATGAAAACCATAAATTGATCCATGTTGCATTTCCTTTGATTTTTGGAATCTTCAATCGAGAAATCCAGTAAATAGCTATCTCTTTCTCCTCATAAATGCCCAACCAAATATAAACAACCTCTTTATTAAACTCCCATATATCATCTAATCATAAACTCAACATAAATTGAAGTCTTATACTAATAAGAGATGAAAAGTCAATTGTATATGTGAATGAATAACCCCACGCCGTCTCATCCTCCCTTGCATACTCCTACCATCTCATTTTACACTCCCCTTCTTCACACTCTCACACCACCCCCATCCCATCCCATCTAAACACCATGCTACGATAAAACCACATAACAACTACTTATGATTTCCATTCACCCATCCATCTATCCAAAGGCGTTAATTCTATGACCTTGCATCCAGCACAAAGACTCAAGATATACTATACTTGCATCTCCCAATAATATCCCACTTGCTCCTGACTTGTTCCTCACTTGTCAACGTCACATACCGCCAACACATTCACATGCTTGAAAATCTGCAAATAAACAGACTCTTGTCTTTTAACTTCATTATTAAGTATCTATTAAAGTTGGTCTAAAATAACAAATATTGATCAACTAATTCATGCTTTTTATATGCACAGGATACAATGACCTGTATATCCCATCTCAGAAGAAAGTAATCCTATTGCGTCCAAATTGACACAATGCAAATCCAACGCCGCGCTTTCATTTATCATAACGCGCCTATGTACCGAATTGGTGTGAAAGGATTTCCTCCACGTATCATAATCGTTTATACATATCAAGCCATCAAGGCCGAGAAAAGAAGATTTTTTGATGGGTATCGAGAATCTATAGCCAGTACATGAAACCGAACATAACTGCGGCCAATCCTACACTCATGCCGGTGATTTCTTTACCACCGGATGCGCTACCCTTTGTTGAGGTTGCAGATGCAGCTGATCCAGTCGCACTTCCGGTAGAGGATGCCGATCCAGAAGTTGTTGTGGCAGTGCCAGTTGCTTCTTTCTGGCCAATAGATGGCAATTTTACATCACCATCGACCAACCAGCCTCCGGAGGTTGATGCAGGGCAAGCAGGTGGTGTGAGAGTTGGGGAATAAGCAGAGCTTGCAACACCGGTTGGAGTCAAAGTTGACCACTGACTTTGGAGATTGGCGAAATCTGGAGAAACAGGAGTTGGAGTTCCGCCGCGAGAGAATCCACCTGCAACATTTGTTGCGACAGCAGTAGCTGCAACGGTTGGTCCATAACTGATCAATCCATAATCATTGGCCTCTTCGATCCATTCATAAATAATTGCACCAGACCATTGATCGTCCATCTCCGAACCGAGAATTGCTGCTTGGTCCTGGAATGTTCTGGGTTTGACTGTGTTGCATCCGGTCTCTGAGAAGAAAATTGGAATATTATAACCCTCGGCGTAAGTATTGAGAGTCTTGTAACCAGAAGTAGAAAAATCACTATCGCCGCACCATTCGTATGCATTCAACCCGAAGAAATCGATAGCCTCGGAAGTGTTGGTGCCGCAAGCAAGGTAATTTTGAAGCATGGGACGTAATTCCGCAATATCTGCCGCAGAATAGCCAACAGGAATTTCACGGTATCCTTTCGAAGTTCTGTATGCCTTCATATCTCTGGCAGCGGCTTTGATGAATGGTGCCGCTAAAGATTGGTTGTTCGTAGCAATAACCTCATTTCCCACAAAGAACCCAAGGGTGTTATCGAACTTGGCGAAAGCATCCATTACTTTACTAAATGCGGTATATTGACTTTCGTTCCAGGTCGCATCAGTCTGTTAAAAAGGTCAGCCATGTTTTTTCTTTTCCATATAATGATGTATGACATACTGGAGTGATTGCGGTATTGAAAGTATCCAAATCCAAGAAAAGGTAGACACCGGCATCTGCGAAGGCACTCATGCATCCAGAGTGATCTCCTGAAGGGTCAACGTGGTAAACGCGAATGGCATTTGCGCCCAAAGTTTTCATCAAAGAGGCATCCAGTTGGCATTGGTTAGTGTCGATTAAAGGATCAGCTTCGGTCAACTGATATGCGACGCCTAGAAATATTGTCAGCCAAGAACCCAAGAATAAGATACATACAAAACCTTACCTTTGATAAAGAATTGATCGCCATCGCTTGTGAAGAATTTCGAGCCGGTTACAGAGATTGTAGCAATGGCGTTGACGGTAGTGATAGCTAGACTGGCAATCAAGCCAGCTCTGGCAATGGACTTTGAAAACATGATGCAAATAGTAGATATTATTGTATGTACAAAGATCGAAATGGCGAGTGGTAAAAGAACGAAAGTCAACGCGATGTTGAAATTGGGGATATTGCGGACCAGGTAGTTGAAGGAAAGATTGTAGGCTGGTCAAATGTGGATATGCAAGCTGAAAGGAGGGAGGTAAACAGCAACTGATGGAGAAGCTTCTTTTCTTTAGATGAATTGCATCCACAACACGTTCCAAGGTTTCTCTGGTTCTTCTCCGTCTCCTTGCTAATGTTTAGGTTAAAATGGTAACGACCGACTAGTTTGGGGTGCGGGATGAAGATTGAGGTGGAGATCCAAACGTTGACTAAGTCTCAAATCGATATGGGGGGATTTCGGAATGTAGAAAGAAGTCTAGATCGTTCCTGCGTTTTATGAAAAGGACCACAAATATGTAGTAAGTTGGTGGAGCGAGCGAGCGATAATGAGGCACAATATGAGTAGTGGGTGAGTACGGTTTGGTTATCGGCAAGAGTGTATTTGAAGCATATAAGAAGGAGAGTCGATAGTCAAGAGTCGATAGTCAAGAGTCAATACTCAATAGTCAACAATGGAGTATGATAAACAACAGCCAGAGGAGGAAAGCGACAGGATGAGGATAACAATCCACGAAAGTTGGTTGTGAAAGATAGATAACCTTGATTGAAGGAGGCTAGCTAGGTTGGTTGAGGACTTGAAGTGACATTGGGAATATGGGAATATGCGAGAGCAAGGAGGAAGATTGTGAATCCATCATCTTGGAGTTTAGCTTCGGTCACTTTTTTCTCTTTGGCACGGCGCACATACACTGAATTAGGGAAAAATCAAGGTTTTGGTCAAATCCCATGTTTACGTGAACCAATCATCAATTGATATTGTGATTGAATAGTTCCCATCTCTTCATCTCTTCCTCTATCCGTATCATGATTGGTCAATCAGTCTCAAAACATTATTTCATGGTGCAGTGATTACCCAGTGATTACCTGGTGCTTACCTAGCCATCATCCAGGTCGTAATCCACTCCTTTGCATCACATTTGCATTAAGATGAACGGCGCAGGAAATTGAAAAAGCTTCGATTCCCCCTTGTGAACTTTTGAGGACATCATTGTAAAGAGGCAAGTAACCACCTCCCACTGAGCGAGAAAAGCTGACTGGAGGCATTTCCTTGGAAGCTTCTTATCGTGGTGAAGCTTACATAACTCCGATATCGATAGATTATCTAATTGGTCACATGGTAGATAGAAAGGAGGTTTTTATGGATAGCCCAGCTACACAATGCTGCATCTATCACAAGAATGGTTTAGCCCGTTCCAATGTTTCATTACTTACCCAGGTAGCGTGAAGAGCTCTCACCGAGATCAACCTGGGAAAACGTCTGTTTATTGTTTGCACTCACTCACAAATTTCACAAATTTTCCAACTCCAAACGATGGATCACTGGGATGAAACCAAGACCTGAGTAAATGTTGTCCTCCTTCATCAAGCACATACCTACATTGGTTTGAAATTGAGATGAAACTCATCAAGCTGCTACTACTGTACTACAGAGTATATACAGGAATAACTCTTTGACTCCATACTATCTATCTCACTCGTTCCAAAGTCCTCTTCGTCTCATGTCCCCCGGCAATTATCATCACGTTTGTTGAGGGTTTGACTCGTGGCCAACTGATCCCTCAGGAATACTAATCCTCGACAAAGTCAGCTCAGTCTTCATATTTAAGCGCTGTTTTCACATGGTCAACTCCCGCCATTTTTTTCATTTGTTTTCATTCGGCCAGCAGTCCTGTTGATTTCGGGCGCTATTATAGTGCATCCATCTACATGGAAACTGAAATGGGCGTCTCGAGCCATTTTAGCTGCGGCTCTCTAGTTGCTGCGCTATGCAAAGGAGGCTCGCAGCGCTATATCAAACGCTAGAAGATGACCGCAAAATGATTGTTAGTGCATCGTTGTTCATTGCGCGTATGGCGCTGGATTTTGCCCCCAATTTTTTTAACGTCGTTTAGAACAAGCTGCAGATTTTCTCGTGGCGGTGCTTCTATTCCAAATTATGTACACCACCCACATTCATTGAAGATCATATTTCTAATAAGCAAGATTCATGTTGGATTTCACATGTACCCTGTACGGTATACCCGAGCATATTTTTGAGGATTGGGATAATCATTTCTTTAACTTGTCGTTTGTACATTCTTTGTGGTAGAAATCCAGTGTGGATGGGCTTCTCCTTACCGTGCTTGATTTTAAATTTTTTGGGGATCATTTTTGTGGTTCTCATAAGGCTCCGCACTTTTCGCACTTTCGGATGACGTTGAGGAAGTTTATATACCCCGAAGTCAATAAAGATTTGGGGAGGGACCATCTGGATGATGCGGTAGATGTGATGCCAGATTACACAATTTTACACAATTATTGCTGTATGATGACTAATGATTCATTGCTGGCTTTGACAAATTCATTTTGATACGTCGGTCCAGTACCGTCAATACTGTACCGAAGACTCACACCTGGAACCGAAGCTCTGAGCCCAATTTAGAGTGGTTAAAGATTTTCATGTACAGAAGGGCAATCGATCACGATCTAGCTATGTACAATCTCATATTTGAAACATGAAGACGACCGCTCGGGCTCGAATCTAACAAGACAAACATGTCGTCGAAGCAATACACAAGATTCATCACAGATTAGGAGTGTCAGATATCTAGTGACTATTTCACGTCGAACCACAGCTGTTGAACACAATTCGTCAGGAAATCTTCACTGCTTACGGTTTAAATGCCTATACATGTTCAGTAGTCTGAATCAGCAATTTTGTTCTCCATTTCCTTGATGGAACATCGTATTCAAATCCGTTAAATCGTGTCATTTCGTAGAATACTTAATTTATACCTCACTTAGCTATCTAGTTCTAGTTTAAACCATGCCAGTCGTTTAGCATTATCTTGTTGTCTACATGTCTCCGCCAAAGAGAGCAATTTTGTTGAAGTGTCTATTCTATAGAGTGAGGCCGTCATGATGTTATAGTTGCTGAAAAATTTTCATCTGTTTTTCCCTCAAATTTCTGTCCACACCAAATCATACATGCTTTGCTTTATTCAACGATCTTACCATTCTCCCTCTTTCCGTCTTCTTTCTCTTTCACTTCTCCCTCTCTGTGCCATCTCAAGCTTCCCACCCCCACCTTCTCTCCCCTCAACCAGCCCTTTCTCTGAGCTTTCTCCCATATTTCGTCGTCCCCATTACTCTTCAAGTTTTCTAACAGCACGCCCAATGCTTCCCACTTCCCTTCGTGGATCGCCTCCACCCCATCCGTAATCCCTTCATCTACAAATCCACACTTTTCAAAAACTCTTTTACTCGCTTTATTGAACTCTAAATACTCACCCGTCAAGAAATTTAAATTCATATACGGAATGAAGAATTCCGAAGTGAGGGTTTGCAGAACAGCTGGCATGATGGCACGGCCGTGGTGAGAGGGGAGGAGCCAGACTGGAGACGACGTTAGTGGGATTGGGAAAGTCGTAGAAGAGGAATGTGATTGAGAAGTGGGAGTAAGAATTTGTGAAGGACTTCTGGAATCGATATGACTGGACAACTATTTTCGCTTGAAGATGTATCCCAGTGAGGAGAAGAATTTGGTACTACCAAATGGACCAGACCAGCGTCATGAGGCTATGAGCTGAGCTGTATATCTCGCCGTAGACCTATGAAATCCTAATTCACAGGCATGGTTATTACCATCAAGCATAACCATCTTTTTCATAAAGTTCGCTTCCAAAGAAAAAAAAAGACAAAAAAGCATCAACATACAACCAATCTCCCACTCAATCCCTGGATCTCCCGTCTTTCTTTCCGCATGCTCCCCCGCCAACTTCTTCCTCTCTTCCTCATCTATCGTCGTCACAAACCCCCTCCTCCTAATATCTATCTGCCCAATAAACTCCTCTATCCTCTCTCCCTTCTCCCCCACCCTCACTTCCCTAATACTCGGAAACGGAACTGCACCCACCCATTTCTGCACCGGTGAACCATCTTCCTGCGCACTCTTCGCATCCCATAGTTCCGCAGCGGCAATCCGAGAATTCTTATCTAGCACTTCGTTAAAAAAGGAATCGAAATCGTCCTGTGTGTAGGGAAACGGAGGACCGGTCAGATTGAGATAGACGGCTGGATTGGCAAAGGCGGCAATGGAGTTTTTTGCATCGGAGGTGCGGGGACGTGTGAGAATTAGGTTTTGGTGGAGGGGTTTGGAGGAGTTGAGGGTGAGGGTGGGGAAGAGGGGATCGTGGTGGATGGGCATGTTTAGGGGGTTTGATGGTAGAAATGAATAAAAGATTAGAAGATTTATTCGAAAGATTAAACTTGCGAAAAATTAAATGGTAAACAAAAGAGGCCAGAATTTAAATATATGCGAATCATATACGTACGTACGTACATGAAGAAATAAAACGTGATATTACGGTAAGAGTCACAATCAATCGTAACGGTCGATTGTGTAATTGGTGGGTGGGTGGGTGGGTGGGTGGGCTGACAAAACTTACATGATGTGATGTGCCAAGTGTTCAGGGTCCACTGCTGTGTAGAGGTACTTTGTCTGATTGTTTGTCACTCGCTTGGTGGGTTGGTAGAAATTTTTGGGTGAGTGAGTGGTGAGAGATGGAATAGGAAGGTCGGGGTTTGCGGGGAGGGTTTGGCGGAGGGGTTGGGGAATTGAGGTATATAATGAGAGAGATATAATAGGTAATATAATATAATAATACGTAAATTTGTATTTAGGGAGAAGTTACGGAGCAGAGAAATGGAGATGGTGATTTTGTGGTTGCGTGGATTGTATAGTTGTGTGATTGTATGTACGAAGTAAACAGAGATGATTATTGTTGTGTCTGGCAGCTGGCAGTATGTGGTATGATGTTATGAAGGGGTTGTAATATATACTTGGGTATGATGTTTTAGGATATTGCTGGTATGATATTCTAGATAGGCTATTTCTTATTGTGGGGAGAGGAAGACGACTGGAATCTTTGGTTACTTATTTATCTATGTATTATTGTTGTGTTGTTTTTTGTTGACATGCTATACTTGTGTTCTATATTATAACTTCTTTCTTTCTGCTTCCTGCGTACTATCATTGAGTTTTCCTTCCTGGGATAGGTAGAAAATTTACATTTGAAGATTTCCTGTCATGTGGTTTCTCGTAGTTTTTTGTCTCTCTGAATTATACCTACCATCGCGTATCCTTCTCGGCTCTTGTTCGAGTCTTTTCAAGAGTCATCTGATTTTCTATGTAAGGAGTATCTATCTCTTTAACGGAATTCTATGCATACTATACATATTGTCTGAATGTATACACATATTCGTTTCAGCGCTGAATCTCAAATCTACGAATTGGTGGATAATATTATGAGTTCTCTCGTTCTGCATTACTGTACTTCTAGCGAAAAACATTGGATGGGAAGAATAGCATGACTAATTAATTGATTCTGTGGTTGGTTAGGAAGGATCGCTATGGATGTCTGGATTCTTGGGCTGGGTGAGGATAAGCCTGGTGATCATCAGGGTGCTGTGGTGGGATGCTTTTGAGTTTGGATAGATGGATAGATAGTGAGATAGGGTCTTGAGGAGTTGTCAGAATGATTGTGAATCAATTGGGATCTTTATGATACAAGGTGACTCAGAAAATCACGCTGGTGTAGCTTTCTGAACATTTGTCTGAACCCTACTAGTGGGCGATTGGTATGCATTCAAAACGAGAATGTGTAATGTGATTTATATCTTTAGATAGGTACTAAAGTGATATAGATCTGTGGCATTTTATTGAATAGGATATGCTTTCACAGTGGGTAGACGCTCTGCTCTCGAAAACTTTTGAGAGGGAGGATAGAGTCAAGATATTTGGATTTGATTTTTGAAAAATGCTGTGTTCAGCATACAACAAGCAAAGGGATGAAGGACACCAAAAGAAAGTAGTATTCATGGAAGCAGCATCCGATGAGTATAAGATGAAGGTTCTCAAGTTGCGAGCAGTGGACTCGCTACTAGGCAAGTATTCATGCAACTCTTTCTTTGTGGTGTAGATGGTACTTAGTTGGACTGGAATGACATAACACGCGAAATTCTGATATCGATTATAAATAGCAAATCAAAAACATTTGACGTAATGGAACATTGAAATGATAATTCTCGCTGAACTATATACAATCTATCAGCTTGTGTGAAAGGAAGTATAGAATACAGAAATTTTGTTTCAAGAGCGATGATCAGGGTTCGAAAGCTTTCTCGAAGACTACCTATGTAGATGAATGAAGTGGATCTTGTCTCTTCTATCTTTGTATCTTGTCTAGGCCCTACCCACCGTTTTCGAGAAAACAAATAATAATTTAAAATCTGCGTCAGGCCACCAAGTTTGGTGGTCCCTGGCTGATGTCTTGGATTTCGATCTTGATGCTGTTTTGCCTTGGAAGTGTTATTACATTCTAACTGGGTGTGGGTTTAGTGAATTCAGCAGACGAAAAGCTGATTGGATCATGTGATGATGATCAAGCGTCAATAAACTTACCCTCGGCGATGATCAGAATGAATTAATCCATCATCCACTCTCGAGCCACTTACAAAGTCCATCTTCTCTCCGATTCAAGATGGGAAAAAACGAAAAAGCGATCCACTGCCCCTTTATTAATTGACCAGGAAAATGCCAAGGTTTCCGTTCGTTGTGGGGATGAGGATTGAGAATTTGGAGTAAAGGAAGAAAATAGCCGCAGTCGCATTGATGTTGAAATTGCCCGTGGCTGATGAACTTAAATCAAGGAGTGGGCACTGGAGAGTAGGTGTGGTGTGGTGTGTTCAGTCATCAGATCTGTTGTTTGTTGATTTGTTGAAGAGTGAACTAACTAACGAAGTAGGCGTGGTAGTCTACACGCCAATATGCTGGTGGTGGTCGTTGGAGATGCAGCTAGGAATGCAGATCGACCAAAATAGACTCGTATTGCGAAAAAAGGGTACAATGTATTAGGTACGATGAATTTGATGGTGGTAGTGATGGTAGTGAAAAGCTCGAATACGAAGGCGATAATGGATCGATAATACGAAACGGTAAGTTGTTTGAGTCATGAGATGATAAGTATCTCAGAAAAAAGAAAATCCGAGTTCTGATAGCTTTTTGGTAGCTTTTTATGGCTGTGATATCTGAAGTTCTTTGGCTTTCTTGTTGTTACTCCCCCCCCGGACCCTTAAAATTAGAGTTGCTATACCCAAGCATGCCAATGCTGGGCAAAGAAGCAAGTCGCTCAAAATTGTCCTAGTTTTTCCATTTTTCCATACCAGAAGGCGTTTCTTTATGTTTACTAAAAACAATGTATAATATGGTGTGGCTAGTATACACCCTAGGAAAGAAGAATCGAACCTGCGTTTAGCATAGCAAAAAAACATGAGCGAGACAGTGGATCTTTTACTCCGTTTGTTTACGTTTCGATCCGAGCTCATCTGTGATTGGGGAAGCGAAGTAAGACATTTGAAGAAAGTCCGGGGTATACGTACTTACAGACGTGACGAGTATGAGAAGAATCAAGATGGCTTGGACATGTTCATCTTACTAGGCGGGGAAATGAGCAAGGTTTCATCCAATTCCAGTGCGTTGCCATGGTTGCATTTGGCTTGGGGAACCTAGGCAATGGACCACGGATTGGTTGCTACCCGCCTCGGGCGAAATTGAATGAGATATAAATAAGGTGCAAAGTTGCACTTGGGGTAATTGTTGTACTTCTTTGACTTTTATTCTTTTACAAGTGCAATATAACCTAATATATCAATTCTTCTCTCACTCTCTCTTGAATCTTCGTCTACTCTGATTTTTGATCTCAAAATAATCATTTCAAAAGTTCTTGTCAAACACACTCAATCTTATTAATCCTCAAAAAATTCAAAATGCGTTTCCAAATCCTCGCCGCTGTTCCTCTTCTCTCCTTGGCCGTTGCACAATCAACATCGGTCACTGACAGTACCATCACAACTCCCGCCACCGTGCCCACTGCAGCCGGTACCGCAGCCAGCACCGTCTCATCAGACATTGGTGCCTTTTCCCACGCTGTTGAGCAAGATGAATCTGCTCTCTCCATCCTCTCCGCTCAATTAGTCACCGAGACCAATGCTGGTCAAAAAACACAACTCAGCGCTCAGATCTCCCATCTCACTGTTCAACTTGCAGGTCTGAGTTCTCAAGCATCAATCGCCAGCTCCATCGCCACCGCTGGCGCTGCTGAGGCTTCTGCCAATGCTATCTCATACATTTCCAGTTTGAGCGCTATAGCAGCCACCGAGACAAATAGTGCAATCAAGAGTCAATTGAGCGTGCAGATTAGTCAGATTAGCAGTCAAGCAAGCTTAACCTCTGCAAGTGCCAGTCAGAGTGCTCAATCAACCGGAAGTGTTGTTGTTACTACTACAGACAGTAATGGAAACACCGTTACTTCAACTGCTAGTGCCACCGCCCGTGCCTCTTCGAGTGGAACCTCAAGCGGAAGCTCGAGTAGCAGCAGTGCAGGTGCCATGGCTACCAGGGTTCCAGCTATTGGAGCTGCGATTATGGGAGCTGCTGCTTTTTTGTTGTAGGGTGATGGGTGGAAAAGAATATGAGGAGGAATTATAACGTGAGAACGAATTGGTGTAATGGGAATGGGGTTGTGATCGTGTCTTAATGGATGGATATGTGGTGGGATGCGTCAGTACGATTTCAATGATATTTCTTTCAATGTATAATACATTTACGAAGATATTTGGTACCTTAAAATGCATTTGGTTAGGTTATTAATTCGAGACTTCCAATGTCTGACAGACTTACTGCTTCCGCATATGTTACCTTCCTGTCACTGCCATTCAATCATAGCACCACATGAATTATTGACCCTATCACTTGTTTAGTTGCCATTATCAAGTCCAAGTGTTAACAATTTGTCCTGCTGCTTACGGAGTTCCTTTCCTCGATGTATGCTGCTGATATACATTGTTAATGATATGGGGCTACATGGAATATGACAATCGATCTACTTGAACCAATGTCAAACGCCCAATTGCACGTTCATATTTATCATGCTGTATAAATGTATACAATCGTGGGTTTATCATTCTATCATCTCAAACTTATTACATAACAAAGATTTTCCTACCAAATCACTCCTTGACGATCTGTGGCTGGCGCAATTGCTATGCAGTTTGTTACGAAACTACAATTCCATCGTTTAGTAACAGATTTCTCATATCTACTCGGATAGAATGAAATAAGGGGAAATATCCATTTAGCCATAATGGTAGTCGGCTATTGCAACGACTATCGCTGTGCCATAGGCTTCTCAGTCGGCTTTGGCTCTGTTCATCAATCAACTATGTTACATTCTCTCCTTCCATCCATATCATTTCAACCCCCAGATTGTGACTAAAGGCGATTGCGATAAAAATGATCGAAATCAGAACGAATCTTGAGTATCTACTTAAAAGATATTTTAACCAGGACTCTCGGCTGGCTCTTTGATCTTAGCAGCCTTCATATCGTCTAGGTTTAGATTCTAACGCTCGCACTAGATACTCTAGTGGTCGTTGTGGACCCGCTCACCGGCATGAGTTCACACATGCAGGAACGTTAGAATTCATATCCGTCGCTAGTTTCATCAGGATCATCAGGATCATCAATCGTTTTTGTCTTAGACTTTCGACCCACTTTCAACCCAAGACATCATACCATATATGGACTAAGATCTCACACGTTTTAAGCATGTATTTTAAGTACCTAGATAGTCATTGCTTGTACACAAGTTAAATACATTTTTAGATGTTGTATTCGGTAGATCGTTGGCTATTGCGAATGTCTGTTCAATGTTATTATGCTTGGTTCTCTCCTGATTCAATTTACCCGCTCTATTAGATGCATCTTCGCACAGTTATTTACGATGTATCTCATCTTAATTTGACTTTCTGATACACCTGTAGCTTTCACAACAAAAGCCCATTCTCCTTGAGACTTTCTTTAATGTTCAATAGAACTCGAGGTCTCTGCAACCGATTTTTACGAATAAGACGTCTTTAAACATTGATTCGCGTCGTAGGTTGATAACTTCTGCATGTTCTCTGAATCATAATAAGTATTATGCAGGGGTCATTGCCTTGAAATGATAGAAGATTAGAAGGTCGTGTAAATTGGGTGTAGGGTGTCTCCTCACAATCGGATGGAAATTTGGTGCAATGTTCAGTTGGAAAGATACAAAAAGATTCATGTGATCGACGACCCTTAAATTTCACCGTCAGTTCGATCACCTGATTTCAAGGCATAAATCTAAACGATAGCTTATTGTTCGAGAAATTTTACCAATATTCAGTTTGCAGTAAAATCCCAATGCTTGAGAAAACTACGAACGTTGAGATCTCATACTAGCGTGTTATAAAATAACATTGCAACTTGAGAACTCTACCTTACAAGATATTTAAGAATCACGCCTCAGCATATTCAGCCCCAGAATCATACAGTAATTCACCTTCACCCTTTCGCGCTATGCATCATACTCCCTATACCCTACATCGACAAGTTCGACGTTGAATCTCTTGGTGAACTATACAGTCTATGATTAGCAGGTTGATGTATCGCTTAGGTTGGTCTAACCATTTATTGCTTACCTTAAAACGATGCCTCATTATGAAGCTTCGTGTGTGGAACTATTACTGCGTACTATGCACAATTCTTGAAGAGAACATCCAGGGCATCATGTGAAAACATTTCCTATATCACCCGTCCAAAATACAACGTCCGAAGATGAGAGTGCCAATTGTCGTACAAATCGATTAAATAGCATGATAGGGAATGTCAGTTGGTAATGATTTACATAGTCGATTAGCCGACGAATCTGCCGAAGTTGACATCATCTTCCTATAACAGTGATTATACGGAGGATAAAGAACAACGCGATGGAGCTAAGGTTGGATGCTTGGAACCAAATATTTTAAATATCCAACCCTTCTTAACAACCGAAACTATTTCAACATCTAAAAGTCCCGTGGTTGCTGACTATGACAAGGTGCTAGAAGGGATAGAATATAGAATTAACACCCACTCTACAACAATGAGGATTAGTACTACTACAATACACATTTTTCTAGCCAGTCAGGTCTCGATACACACTCGTAAGAATTGCTTCAACTCAAGGTCAATTTAATCGCAATTCAGCACATCAAATGTGCTAACCTGGAAGGTTGGATTCATGCCTTTCAATTTGAATTGACTTTGTGTTCATTCTTCTCACACTTCACTTGTTGCTTTTCAATTTTGACTATCTAAAACAGGTTGAAATCTCAACACAATCTAACCTAAATATGATGTACAATCAGTTGCTAGAATGGCAATTGTAATTTATCTACAACAAGCCACATCAGGTACTAAGATATATACTGTCCCTCTCCGGGGTGGCATACGAGATTAGCGTATCGTAGCACGTGCGCAATAGTGGGAAACTAAAAGCTATATACCCTGACCACTTAGCCCCACACTCACACTCATATGTCCTGATTTCTACCTGCATACGTTCTTCATCTATGAGAGATCGAGGATAGAAGTACAGTAAATGTCGTACGATATAATGCGATTGAGAAATAGCAAAGAAATATCAAAAGAGATAAGAGTGCGTCAAAGAACCATTAATTCAATGCAAACGAAGAGTCAGCATGGGTCTCATTGGAGAACTCAAGATGTGGCACAGCGGCACGAATGGGATTGCTTGCATATGCAGGCCTTTTAGGCAGTAAATCCGGCTGCCCTGCACCGGAATCTGACCAATGCCCGTAAAGATTTATCAGCAGTTGTCAGCAGTTGCTGATGCTGCTAACCCTCAGAGTAGCAACGACGGGCATTTATAATGTTGTTACAGTCGCTGGCTTTCAGTGGCATAACTTTAACGACACCCCTTATCATTATGGAAGGCGGCACAGTTCTTATTACAGGCGCCAATAGCTCCCTTGCAACTCCCTCGATAGAATACCTCCTCACAAGATATCCAGAATACACCGCCGTGTTGACCGTCCGCAATGCATCCGACGAGAACACTCAAAGACTTCGGAAAATACTATCTGATTTTCCTGAAGATCGATCGACTATCCATACACTTGACCTTGGCTCCTTGGCCGCTGTGGAGAGCTATGCTGGTGTCATCAAGGCGGACATTGCTGCAGGCAGATTACCTCCGCTCGCAGCTATAATCTGTAATGCTTTCACGTGGAGCATTTCCGACGGTTTGAAGTTTACCTCGGATAATTACGAGAGTTCCATGGCTGTCAACCATCTTGCCCACCTTTCAATAGTCTTGAGGTTGTTGGGCTCATTTCGGCCGGACGGGGGTAAGATCATCATTCTTGGAAGCGATTCACATTACCCTGGAAAGAGCGGCCTTGAAAAGTTTCCCCCAGACCTTCCTGACGATTTGGAGCTTCTTGTTCATCCCGCATCAGATAAAATAGGAGAAGAAGTTGGTCGTGGGTTTCAAAGATATGGATTGTCGAAAGTGGCAGCAATTATGGGAATGTATCAATTGAACAAAAGACTTTCCAAGGTATTGTTGGAACCAAATATCGCTTGAACACTTGCTTACTGATACTTTAGGACCCATTGTTGAGCAAGATTTCAGCAGTGGCTATGGATCCCGGTGGGCTTACAGATTCAAGGTGTATGAGTTCTGGTGTACCATCTGCATGGTGGTTTCTCATGAGAGGAGTACTTGGCCCATTGCAGCCTCTCTTGAGATATCTAGTTCCAACATTGCGTAACACCAAGGTCGCAGCTACAGATCTGATTGATATCTCAGTTGGGAATGAGTACCGCGGGACAAGTGGCTACTACGTTATGCTGAACAAGGATGAAAGCTCGCCAGAGAGTCAGGATGAAGAGAAGCAATTGAGGCTGTGGAAGAAGAGTATAGAATGGATCAAAATTAGTCAGGACCAGACACCACTGCAAGAAGCATTCGCATAGATTTTGATAATCGTTGGAATATAGTGGAGTATCAGCATAGAATTATATGCTCACAGTTAGAACCATAATTCAAATGTTCTACCAAAGCTCTCTTGTTTCCAAGAGATGAGGTAGCTTGGAAATTGTAACAGCTGTCCCCAGAACATCAGAATTGAGATGATATGACTTTGAGTTGTTTCTTAGTTTGGACCTGAGAGAGCAATGAAGCAGGAACTACTAGGTATTATTTTTCGGCGAAGAAGCAGCCGAGTCAAGCACTTACCTGAATAAACAGAATCGGTGCCGATTGTCGTTTTTCAGACTTTTCACTTCCGGAGAGTAATGTCAAAGTACAACAGTTGGCCCCACTATTGTCAGACAGACTAGCATCGGTCTGATTGTACGATGTACATTCAATGTGAAGAAGACTGCTACATAGATTCTCTTCTATTCTTGATTTTCCACATCAAAAGACAATGAAAAGCAATTAACATAAATACGTTATCATTTCGCTGTGAAAATGAGGGGTGACGTGTGCATTAAGCGACAAGCGGGACTATAATCAACAAATCAAATTTGGGGTATATGGGTAGTAGTATTACCTGGTATTTATATAAAAAATAGTCCTGCAAAGAATGATAGTTTAGGACTTAACGTCCGTGATCCTGCATGAATTGATAGAGGTGATGGCATGATACATATGTACTGTCTTTGAAGCCTTTCCTGATTAACCAATACGTTCGAGACACATTAGCTTTGTTCATCATAACCACCAAATGGTTATCTAGAATACTATTATTCTCATTATTACAATTCATCCTCGTTGTGTCCTCGGCGCAACCCGGCATTTTTCTACCATCCAAACTCCATTCTACCAAGGTTGGAGTCCGATAACGAAGAACGGCAACTATGGAAGCCAGAATTGCGGCATGCGTCAGGACCCTCGGAGTTCCAACGAAACTGCATCTGTCATATCCTTGAAATATAACAATGACGAGAATCTTGCTACTCTGTTGAGCAATACAACTACGGAGAAGCGTTCGATCCCTGAATTGACGCCACTGACATGTTGGACAGCAAAACTTCTTTTTAGGGCTGATGCTGAATATCCTTCGGTCAAGGAGTCATTGATCGAGGTTAATTGGTATCGTTTTGTTCTCTAGTTGAAGTCCCAAAAACTCTTTCTGACGGAACAACTTCAGGTCCGAAGCCTGTCGATTACCAGCACAATGTACAATTTCTCCCACTTCAGCAGAAGAAGTTTCTCTTGCTATGAAAGTTATTCCTTTTCTTCAGGTCCCGTTTGCAGTTCGAAGTGGAGGCCACTCTTCTAACCCTTATTGGTCAAGCATCGGCTTTAACGGAATCTTGATCTCGACCACAAATCTTGATTCTATTGCTATCAGCTCAGATAGTTCGATAGCTAGTATTGGCCCTGGACTAAGACGGGGTGCTGTGTATGAGGCGCTTGATCCATATGGCGTATCAGTGATCGGTGGCAGAACCCCCAGGTTGGGGTAGGTGGCTTGATATTAGGAGGTAGCTTGTGAATTATTCATACAAAGACGTATCGTATTGCAGTATTGATCAATTCTAGGTGGTCTATCTTACTTTTCGGCACAATACGGATTGGCTGCTGATAACGCGAAGAACTTCGACTCCACGTGCCAACCATGCTCATCAGGAGATGGGTTGTTCTCGCAACTGGTGAAATCGTGAATGCAAATGCAGAAACAAATTCTGGCCTTTTCTGGGCATTGAAAGTAGGTGGTCCTAACTTCGGTGGGTGATTAAAGACTAAAGTATAGAATCAGACTCTTCGAGATCTTAGGCATCGTACACTATACCTATCCGGAACATCTGGTTTCAAGCAACTGCTTACTCTCTCACGGAGCTCCCTAATGTTCTAGCCGCTTTTATTGAATACCAAAAAAAATGGAGCACAAACCGATCCAAAAACTTCCGTACTCATCAATATCTTGAACACAGGTTGCTCAATGGGTCTCGTGTATTCGGAGCCCGCCATTTATCCTGATGCTTTCACTCCCTTTGCCGCAATTCCCAACGGTATTGTCAGAGTTCCAGCCGCCAACGCAACAGTGTCTCTTCTGAGTACCATACTTGGCAGTGCGTTAAGCAACTTGTGCCTTTTAAATCAAATTAGAGACTCACAATATTACTTAGGCATGTGTACCGCTCAGCGGCTAGCTTGATAGATGAAACACTTCATAATGAAATATCAAGCTACTATTTTGATACCATCAACGGTCACCAAGCTGATGGCGTCAACGTGAATATGACTTTTACCCTTTAGAAAATCCCACCATCGCTAGCGACAGCGAGTAAAGCCCGAGGAGGTAATCCAATGGGAGTTCCGTTACAGGCGCATCAATGTTCGTGGCCCGTATCAACTACAAGCTTTAATTGACGACGAAAACTTTGCTGACATTTTCTAACAGGGTGGACCACCATAACCAACTGGGCTTCGGTAGACGACGATAACGCTGTACTGGACGCGGTCAAATCGATTGGCGATCAATTCGAAACGCTTGGCGCAGCTCGAGATACCAACCTCTCCTATCTATATATGAATGACTGCTACGCGGACCAAAATCCTCTAGCCCAGTATCCGCCTGCAAGTATTAAGGCCATGAAAGAAATTGCTGCAAAATATGACCTTATTTGGGTATTCCAACTTCTACAGAAAGGTGAGTTTTTTTATATAAAAAGTATGATTGTAACATAGCCTACAGGATTTGGCTTTGGGGGTAAATTCTAGGCATTCAATAGACAACTTAGATGGAAATAAGAGTCTGGAACAATGATGTTTTGGGAGTAAAACTGGAACTTATATTATGAGCAACTCAAAGTTGAGCTCAAGCAGTATTGTTCTAGTCAGAAACCTCACGAGCATCAACTGTATCCCCACTTCCATCTCCACCATCGAACAAGTTACAATTCGGGAATCGATATTCTATCTCAGATTAGCATAACATTCTTCCTCTCCATTCCACTCTTCGTTTCCATTTGTCATCACAAAAAAAAAAGGAAATTGACTCACGATCGAACAAACTCTCCCAGAAATCCACCTCTCTCACATAACAGAAATCTGTCGTAAAATACCAATACGTCTCATTGGGATTTGTGTTTTCGAAACTATCCACATAGCATTGTACCCAAACACCATGATCCCATTCATAACTCTTGACCAATTGACTTGCTGAAGAGGGGTACTGTAGCAAGGAGCGTAATCCTCGCCAACTGTGATGTTGAGAAGGTAGCGTTTGTGAAGATCGTTAGACAAGGAAGGGGGCGAGTGCTTAGCGAGGAAGCCATGTGAGTTCTTGCTAGAATTGAGTGGAGAAGGTGCACGTTTCTCTGGTGTCGTGTAGTTTACTTGAATGAAGCCTACAGGGCCGCAATAGTCAAGCTCTGATTTATCAGCGGGCTCTTCGAGGCCAATTTGTGCCACATAGCAGTTATCTGTGGTTTTCAACCAGGTACTATTTCCATCGCTGTCAGCTTTCTGATCTGCAGTGAAATGAGAAGAAATTTTTTTGAAGATGGGGATATACCTATCATTGATCACGAGATCTCCAAGATCAGTCCAGCAAGTCACCGTAATATCAGTTCCATATTTCAGATATTTGATAACCTCGCAACTCGCGTTATCATCACAGATATTGCATTCGGTATTATATTTTGTGGTTGCAGAAGCTGTTGTTATATGCTCAATAGTAGAATCTTGGCCACAAAAGCTGAGGTCGGTTTCATCTGTATCTAATGTTAGTAGGATTCAAATCTGAATTACAAGAATACATACATTCTCCAGCGTAATCGGCGAGATCGTATTGGGTTATATAGCAGTCATCGCTTGTCCTCAACCACGTACTGTATGTTTTAGTATTCCATATAGCAGCTCACATTTGTAATTGAATCATACCTATCACCATCGATGGCTGTACCAGTAGTCCAGCAGATGAGCGATACAACGGTGTCGTAATCGTAGTATTCCTTATTTGTGCAAAGCGAATATGGACAAGTCTTGCATTCAGTCGCTACTCCCTTTTCAAGAGTATTGTTGAACGGGGGTTTAAAGGCAGCATTTGTGATATCCGCAAGAGCCAGAAAGAACCCAAGAGCGGGAAGCGATGAAATCATTATACTGCTGCCGAGTGTTCCGACTCAACTTGTGCAATGGTTAGTTTTGATAATAACTGTCGATTATATGAAAGACTGTCTCCTGTTCATCTCAAGTCTTGTTGGTATTGAGAACTCATATATACCGACATCATGTCAGACTCAGACAAATGTGGAAACCGTTGTCATTCATCGTTTATCAATGGCTGTAGCCAAGAAGAAGCTATTGAATCAATTTAATACATCTTTGAAATCAGTTAAGCTTTAAGCGTATTACTGCAGGTTCAATGCAAGTAATGTTGATCAACCCGAATCTACACAGTAATTACCCCGCAGTCATGCAGCCTTGGCAAGTCCTACCAGTCAGCTTTCTTCACATCATCGAATCAATGAAGAGAAGCCTGATGCAACCTCGTATAGCCATGTAGAAATCTTCAGTGCAGCTCGTGTGCGGCTCGGGAAACCCAGGTTGTCATGAACCGGGAAGTAATTTTCAGGCTAAAAGCAGGTACGAAGCCATCCTTTCAGTGGTGAGGCTGACAATCGTTGTAAAGTAGCATTTCTTGCTTTTGTAAATCAAAAGATCCATAATAACAACATTAATGTAGCCCACTCCAAAATCCATCTGCTGGGATGATTGATAACTGCAGGAGAGTAGTTTCCGAGGATGTAAAATGGAAAAAACGCTCTAGCCGTGGAAGTGTTGAGTTCTAGAGACCTTCTAATTATTGTTAATAGTGGAACTTCTTTGGAGAAGGCCCATCTCACCGCATGAGAAGATAGATGTGTCGTGATATGTTAGATCATGGTGAATGTCTCATACTCATAGGTTCACAAAGCTTGGTATTTGTTTGAACAATAAGTGGGCGTGGGGGCCAAACAGTACCCCACAAATTCAATGCCCGTGTCCGTTTGTTTACCATGATATCGTCGACGACAACCGACATGTACCTACCTATCTTTATTACTTGAGGCCTCTTGAACTTCAATCCCATAAGCATGACAACACTTTCCGCCGTACCCAAGCGCTTCAAGCTGATATTTTTCGTCCCATCGTCAGGACTTCCAGCCTGTAAAGCTGCTATCTTCGCCGCCGGAGCTGGACGTTATCCAGGCCCTGGAAATTATACTGAATGTTGTTGGGCTACGACAGGCACTGCTCAATTTCGACCAGGTGATACTGCAAATCCAAATATTGGAACTGTAGGTGCGTTGGAAGAGGTGCAAGAAGTCAGGTTCGAGACTTTGTGTGTTGGCGAGGAGACCATTAAGAATGCGGTTGCAGCTTTGAAGAAGCAAGTTTGATTCTTATGTTATTGTGCTTCTCGTTCCTAATGCATTTGTTAGAGTTCATCCATATGAGGAACCGGCTTATGAAGTTTATAAGCTGGAGGATTATTAAGTCTGGCGAAGCCTATGCGCTGGCGTTAATGTTGGAGAGGAATATGCAGCGAGCAGAAACAAGACATTGCTTCTCACGATCGGAAGTTTGATTTCTATGGTATTGGAATGAATATCTGAGGACAGAAGTGCAACCACGTTCTAAGAATGATTCCCTGTCTCTCAGCTCGAAAGAAACCAATTGATAGAATATATCACTTTATTCTGGCATCATTCAACGTCTTATCTGTCTTCTGAACCCACCCCACCCTGGAGCATTCAGATCCCATTTGAATTACAGTCATCTGCCTCAACCACTACACTTTTCTTTTCTCTACTTATCTCATCTACCTGCTTGAATTCCTGCATTCAAGCAACAGTGATTCATCGCGTATACGGTTTAAGATATCATTCGACCTCTTGTGATTATCAATCAATTGGTAGGCTGCTAGTATTCAATTGCACTTTAGAGCACTAGTTGGAACTGAAAAGAACCCCATTGCTTGGCAAGCCCTGATGATCGGCATCATTTTTGAACTCAATACATGGTCAAAATTGAACATATGCAAATGATATACCTCGAGAGGCTAGTGCCATCGATCACATTATGACTTGACATTAATATCAAAACTTGATCATGATGCATAGTTTGACATGATTCTGCATAACAGAGTATTGATCCTTTCCCCAAACATTACGATTGAACATCTTAATTCAAGCGACTGTCTAAGGCCGCGAGTTGCAAAATCGCTACGTTATTGAGTATTTAGCACAGGTAGTGGGAAGCTATTACTCGCCTGGTCTAATGAGACATCTTTCAATGAAACCATTCTTTAAATCCTCGCATTTACTTCGGACCTATTCTTTCCGCATACTTCCGTTTGAGTTTGATCAATCCTGTCATTCGATCTCACCATAAGATTCGTCCCAAGCAGCTCTCGATTCTCCTCCTCCAGCCCATAGCCCATCGACAACACAAAGCATCCACCGAACCCAATGCCTGCCTGAAACCCAACAACAAACCCACAACCACTCCATCATGTCCGAAATGACATCCATCATCTTCAACGGCACCTCTCTCATAAACGGAACCTCCATTCTCATCAACCCCACAATTCAATATCACATCTACAGCACCACAATCAAAGGCGACATCATAATCAACGGAACCGAATATGTATGCCGAAAAGACATCGCCACAGTAACCGCCATGATCACGATGGTAGGGGTCGCTTTTTGTACCCTAGTGCAGCAAGTAATTATTGTCTTCGTGTTGTATGCTCTTTTGAGAGCGAAAAATCGCCTCCGCGAAGATCGGAAGACATTTCAAACGATATTGTCGAATCGGGTGAGTTATAGCAGTGGTTATCAGCTTGATACTTCATGCATAAAACATCCTTCCAATCAACTGTTTCCAGTCGAAGAAAATGAAGAAACCCGAAATCATCTCGTACAACTGAAGCAGGAGGAAACTGCTTCCATTGATTTCGCCTATCACCGCGGAGATCTTGAGAAGAAGAGAAATCAAGAGTAGGAGGAATATACTTATTTCTGTTCTATCCTTCCGTAATCGCTTCAGTTATTTTTACTAATAGACATTATAATTGATATCGAATCTGTAGGCTTGTATGAAATATGGAGAACACATAGGACATCTGATCAAGAGAAATTTACTTCAACATAGACCCCTCATTATGAAATCCCCAATAGATAATTTCCACCACTACCCCCGTTCCGTTCCTCCCTCGTCCTCTTCCCTTCCCTCCTTCCCTCTTTCCCCTCCTGAGCACCTTCCCTCGCACCAAAATATCACATTTCTGCCTCTACTCTATACCCGAATATTCAGCCCCATTACACATGAAAATAATCTCACACACACACACATGTAAAACCCCAAGAACTCCAATAAACAATCTTTGTCCCTAATGCCCATTCATATCTAGCTATTCATATCTAGCTATTCATATCTAGCTCATCCACATCTACTCATCCACATCCACATCCACCCACCTACTCATCTCCCCCTCCTTCCCAACCTCCAAAACTCTCTCTCCACACTCTCAGCCCGAAGATCCTCATTTCTTTTCCCCTCTCTCCCCCTCCCCATACTCTACCCACCTAGACACCCACCTAGATACCCACCCACACAAAAATCATATCCAATATTTCCGCTTCCACAGCCCCATCCATCTATCCATCCATCCATCCAAGAGACAAGAACAATCCCCAGAAACCCTACAACCCTATAACCTCACAAATCTACAGACCTTCAAACCTCAAACCTCAACCCTCAATGTATAGACATAGATATCAAGATCCAAACCCCTCCAGATACTTCCAAGAACTACCTAGACATATATGCCATACCCAATGAGTATCACATCACAATCACTCCAAGATGAGAAAACAAATATTTTTTCAATCACAGTGCATCCCCTTGAAAGATTCTCTTTTAGATAGGCCAAACACACAACCACCCCAGTACTTTACGATCACAATAAAACCACACAGATATATATATAACAATCTTATATTTCCCAATTTATTACATCATATCTATGAAACAAACCCGTTACGCCCTCCGCCGAGTCCCTATTTAAATAGAAGATATGGAGCCTCATAATTCATCCTTGAATATCTCCTCGCTACCTTCTTCACTATCTTCATCTTCATATACATTATTATCTTTCTTGTCACTATCCTTCTGGGATTCCCCTCGATAGGTTTTCCGGGTCCCTTTTGATGGCCCTGTCCTCCATCATCCTCGACAATTCCCAAGATTTCTCTGACCTGCCCTGGGACATCGACAACCTCAATTTTCCAGCCCTTATCCCCTGCCAACTTCTTGACTTCCTCTTGTAATTTTTCGATCATTTTCGGGTCGAGATCCATTAATTCCAGTGATTTTGGACTAATAACTTCGACCTTCCCTCCCTGGGCCTTGCTTTTGCCGCGTGCAATGACTTCTGTCCGGCTTCCGTTGTCACCATCTCCAAAGTCTGGGGGATAGGTAGACGTTGTCCTTCTTTGCCGACAAATTTACCTGCGCCGACGGTTACACCGCCAATGACTATGGGGTTTTTAGGATAGGACAAGGAGGGTGAAGAGGTGATAAAGTTGGGATCAATCTGGGATGAGGGGGGATAGTGGATTATACGTTTGCAGACTACGCTGTTGGCTTTCTCTGCCTTAGGTGGCATGAATGCTACGTCGTCGCAAAGGCGGGGTGTATATACAACCATCAGGTATGAACATGTGGTCATTTCCTTGATATATCCAATACGATCCTTGACATTAGGGTTGCAGTGAAATTGAACTTCGACTTGGCGGGGCTTGCCTGTAAGATCGCAGATTGTCCCACCTTCCATTTTCTGAACGAGGTAGCGCATGTCGCCCTTGACTTGTAGTTCTGTTTTTGGTGATTCCCCGTTCTTGGGTGCCGTATGCGCTTCTATTTGATTGCCCCATTCATCCTCCTTACTCTTGCTCTTCGGTGATGTCTTCGCTCTTCCGAGAACAAATTCTTGGGCTGATGGATCGGGTTGGGGTGGGAATGCCGCCTTTCCAGGTTGTGCTGGTAGTTGATGAAATTGTGTGATTTCCTTGTTGTAGCAGAATGAATATGACCACCATCCAGACACAAAGTATAGACAATTGTTCTCCAAATCTTGAAGTAGTTCCCAGCCACGATCGGTTGCTCTAGCAAGCTCTTTTTGTTCAGCAGCGCGAGCTTCGGCTTCTGAGGTTTCGTTTCGCGGAGGTAGAGAAACCACAGGAATTGTGCATACATACGGTTCATCATGTAGATACATGAGCTCGTGGGTTTGTTTGGGAGGCTCGGATTCATGATCGGGGGAATCATCTTGGATAGGGTGTTGAGACGATTGTATGCTTTTAAAATCTTCTTTATTACCTGAAAATCTGACAGGCGAATAGGGATGATTGACGATAAAATACGCTTCCTCCTTCGAATGAAAGTCATCTGAGAATAATACTTCATACTATTGTTTCGTGAGTGTTTGACGACTTTATATTAGAATAGCTGTGAATTCGCTGGGCTTGCGCATACCTGTGGAAATGCAAGTAGGTCATCGTGAACACTGAACACATTTTGACTAGCTAATGTTATTGAGGCTGTAGCTAACAAAGCTGGAATTGATTTACGCATCGTGCTGTATGGCAATTGCGAATGGCAGATGGACAGAATTTCATTGATAAGAAATGAAGTTTGCGAATTTCAGATGGACAAAATTTCATTGATAAGGAACGAAGTTCAAAAGCTATGATCGCATTTCCACAAAGCTGTCATCATCTACTAGGCTCGAGCTAGGTAGACTCTAAGAGTGTGCTAGTGTCGGCGCGGGGTTCGGATAAACGTATTCATTTTGAAACGGCAAGTTTCCCCGACTGGCACATGACATGAACTCACTGATTTGACTCAGAGGAAGTGATCTTCTTTTCGCAATAGCATGCATGTATGAACGTAGATTATACCGAGAATAGCATTTTTGACCGGCCAACGGTGCGATATGCAACAAAATGTAACATCTTTCGATAATCAAAAGGGTGATGCAGTTGATGTCACGTGTTGTGGTTCAAAAGAGTCCAACGGAGGTTGCGAGGAATCTTACACATCCAGGGAGTTAGGAGAACGAAATATTGTCCATAGAGCTGTTAGAAATCTTGACTTTCAAGTCAAGTTAGAACCTGGGCATCAATCCATTTGCTGGGCATCGCCGATGGGTATAGATTAGGCTCTTTACAAGGCATATCTGCTCAAGATGACAAGATCACATTTCCCTTTTCTCTCATGCCGTGGAATGTTGCATTCCGACCGTCGACTCGGGTCCAGAACAAAGGTACAATATACTCAATACTTAATGCAAAGTGTCCAGGCCAAAAATACATCCGGCAGATCCAACAAACTCTCGGATCAAGGCCAGAAAAGGCCAGCGAGATGTTGGGCACCACAACATCGTGCAGTCCACGCGAGAGAGCTTACAAAAGGGTATGATGGTTATGCTACGGGTAACGCAATGCCTCCAAAGCCTTTTCGTACCTTACGTATACGGTATACAGCGTACCTTGGTCTGACAACATGGGGGATGGGAAAATGCCGCGTATTCGTGGGGTTTGCATACAGCCATCACAAACAATGCCTATGAATGATGGCTACGTCCTGGCCACACCATAGAGGCCAAAACCAATTGCCCGACATGCAGAGGTAATAAAGCGGCTACGCCCGACGAGAAGGCAGGAATTTGTTTCGTTCGTGCAATCATTACTGATCTCACCAATCATCAATCGGTGTAGTATAGGCTTGGATTGATTGGGAGAAGATATCTCAGCTTGTGTTGTTGGATACAAGTTACAACGCAGAAAGAACCGAGTCAACCGAGAGCCCGTTCTGAAGAAGCGAAAGGATACCTCGGAATCTAGGATGTTAATAATTGTGATGGGTTATTCTCGGGGACGGGATTATGTGACAGTTGATGGGCAATGGGGGTGATGGCTGATGGGTAATGGCTGATGGGTGACGGGTGACGGGTGGACATCAAGGTTATTTGAGTAAAAGTGGTCAAGATTAAGGCAACCTTGGAAGTTGTAATAATCTGGGCGAACCATTTTCAGACAGTGTGATGTGTTGGTTCGTATAATCACCGTACGTGTCGAGTCTGCGGTGGAACACGTTTACGAGGTCAGAGAGAACGAATAGGAAGAGGGGATCCCAAGCGTCCGACTCAGATTGATCAATGTTTTCTAATCATAATTACCTATGATTGGCATAAATTGCAGCATAAAATTTATGAGGCGAACTAGCGAGTTTGATTGATTGCCTTACATAATCTTCAAGGGTTGTTCTAAGCTTCGGCTTTTGAGTTTGGAGTTTGGAGTTTTGACTGAAGTTGCTTGCTTGGAGTCTTTCTTCCAATTTCAATACCTGGTAATCAGCCAGTCGGGATGAGCCGCAGTTTGACAGGAAGATCTTTACTCGTTGCTTCACTTTTCTTTCCTTTCTTCTTCCTCGTCTAGTTCTAGAAAGAGTTTAGAAGGGGATTTTGGATTGTTGGAAATGAATGTTGACCCTTATTATTTTAACTGGCTTTTTAGGGGATATGAATTATAATTAATTTTTCTTCTCGAATCTCGGTCGCTGGGTATATACCTATATATAGGTACACATAGGTGTGTATAGGTAGGTATATAGCATGAATAAATACTATAGTCGACAAGGAACGAGATGATTTGATAATTATATCACGTTTCGAACCCGATTCGACTTCATCCAGCGATATAACACGATTTCGGTGAGTAAAAACTAGGCAAGTGGGTAACATAACAGGTGAAGCTTTGAGATTTTGATTGATGCTGTGGTTGATGATCTTCCTATCACAACCAATAAGACGGGAGAATTTCGATACGAAGCAGAACGGAATATTTATTATTATTACTATTATTACTATTATTATGAGGATTATTATTCTTGTTGATCATGAGACAAACCTAAGCATTTTCAATAGACCAGTGTAAGTAGTGACGACAAGTAAAGGCAAAAATTGAAGTCGATCATTAGTTCTAGACTGGATACATGACGACTGACGTACAGAAAAGGATTCAGAAGAAAGACTTTTCAAAGAATCTTCATACCGCGAATGCCCTCAAAAATATCCTAATGGGAAAATCATTGATGAACGATGGATTGGATGACTTGATTAGTTATCAGGGCGTGGGGGAGTATCAAACGCAGAATGTCTTGCTTCTATTTGCTTGGCCTTTGAGATTATACAAAGCAGATTAACGGAGCAGAATAGCACAAAGGAGAGTTTTGGTGTTTCCATAGCTACCCATTAGCATCTACAATATTTCTTTTTTGTTTGGTGTAACTTCTTGAATCCTCGTGTAACTTCCTGGTGTGACTTTCTATGTTGACAATCTCTATTTCGGACAAATTACAATGTGCGAAGTATACGATGTACCGAGAGAGAGGGAGAGATGTTCTGGAGCAAGGTAATGACTCTGCAGCGTTAGAACCATTTTGAATCTACCGCAGCAAGCCTCTCATCTGTCCCATCTGTCCCATCTCTCATCCCTCCATCCCTCCATCCCTCCATCCCTCCACATCATGATCACAGCCATGATATGATGATGATCACAATAACCATAACAGTAACAATAACAATAGCAACAAGAAATCGATCCACCATAGAATCTTGAACACGCCCCTCACTCGCCCTCATACCCTCCATACGCTCATCCCCTCGTCCTCACTCACGACCTCCAATACTCATCCCACCACAGTTGAAACCACCCAATGCCACACCCAATGTCACACATCCACATATATCCACAACAAACTTCATCTTTTCCTAATGTAGTAAAGTAGGGAAGATAATCAAGTCGTTATCATTATTTTAATCCTTATCCTATACCTTATCCTGGTATACCAAGAAGAATCATACATCCACCCATGCATCCACTCATCCACTCATCCACTTCCAAAAAATAAAGAAAAGGTCCCATACATCCATACATACACCCATACTCACACCCATACTCACACCCATACAATCCATCTCATACATCGGTATATCCCCGTACCCATCATATCTTTTTTGGTATGACCTCGAAACATCCTAATCTGTTTAATCTGTTTGATTTGTCTCGTCATCAGAGTCATCTCAACCCACACTTCATCCGTTCTTCTGCCGTGTCATCCATATCCCGAACTCAATTTCATATGAGCCCCATCTCACCATGTCGCGCTGTCCATACAATACATAGTTCGCCTTTCCCATTTCCACAATCTTAACTTCATTATTTTCGCCTTACTTTTATGCCTCCCTATCTTCCCACGCAACCATAGTGTCATATCAATATTCCAACGGTGAACTATCATTACCTTCACAGTTCGTAACATCGTTACGTGCATCCTTCATCCATACGTATGTCATGGATCCTAATGTTCATCATTCAACTCCTCTTCACTGCACCCGCTACTGTACGAAATATGCTGGTGATCATACTCTTTACTAACTACGTGAGGCTGCAGACAACGTTGCAAGCGACGACACAGTCTCCACTATCAAACACCAGCGATTCGAAAAGTCCTTGGTGACTTTCTAACATACTCTAATAGACACTTGCTATGTCGTCCCAGTTAAGACTCAATACTTCGGTAGATCAGGATCAACTTCAATTCCTTCTGGCACAGCAAGAACAAATTCAAGCGCAAATCGCATCCCTCACATCCGGCTCGGCGTCGACATCATCGTTTCCCCATCACAGATCCCCGATATACAAACAACAAACACAACGAAGAAACAATGTTCCCCGAAGCATGTCAAGCAGTGGAGCTCCCATGGCCCGACACCCATCTTCTGTAGGAGTCCCCCCGTGGTTTTCCTCCCTGAGCTGGCTCTAACGATACTTAGGACCGGATGGAAGCAACCGGAATATCGCGGACAATATCTCAACAATCTGAGCCCGTCATGATGCGAGCAAGTTCAATGAATAGTGCATCTACACGCTCCGGAAGATTGCCATTTACCCAGAACGGCGCGATGCCCCCTCCACTCCATAATGATCTCCGCCGAGGAAATCCCGCTCTCGAAGCTTGGGTTAATCAAGATCAGCCCTACAGCTCTTACACTTTCTCGCATCAAACCTCGGCCTCCCCCCTTCAGCGCTCTATGTCTCAACGGAAACCGGAACTAGAACAAGTTCTCGAGGTTCCCCAAGGTTTCGAAAACCCCGGCGACTTCCTCTTCCGTACCGGATTTACTGGTGTCTCACCTACCCCAGTTTTCTCGATTACGCCTTCTCCGATATCGATGCACTCTTCGACACCTATGCAACTTCAACAATCTCGACAGTCATTCAACATTCCTAGCACGCCTACAACTACGACTCTTACTGATGCAACTACATGCATAAGTAACATGAGTCGACAGAATAGTCTCTTTAATGAGCCCCTGGTGGAAAGTATTGAAATGATGAAGTTCAATTCGAACAATTCCTTTTCTACAGGTATCAATGATGATTCTGTTTATCCCGTTGCTCCTCAGTATAGTTCTTCTCATCATAGTCGTCGGTCTTCCGACGAGGAACAGACTCAACTACTTGTTGGGGCTGGTGGTGTTGGCCATGATTCTCAGTTTCCTCTTTCTTTTCCTAGTACGGAAGCCTTTGCTCAGTCTCAAATTTCTGCACCTTTTGCTCAACAGATGGAAAAGTCACAATCGATTGAAAGTGTTTCATCGAGTATGTCATCATCATCTCGTAATAAGCAGCGGCTACAAGTTAGTAACATTGCCGCTGCGCGACCACTCATGCCTAAGGGTGGTTGTGAGGAGAATTCGATATCACGAGTCAACTCATCACAATCAATGACTCGACTCGATTCGAAAGATGTGACAAATGATAAGGTTGCTATCGAAAAGCGTGCTTATCAACGACCAAAGCACGAACGTGTATTTTGCAAGTTATGTGATGAACACCCTGATGGGTTTCGTGGCGAACATGAGCTTCGAAGACATTGCGATCGACAACATAAGAGAATGGTGAAGAAGTGGGTTTGCATTGAACCGCTGAGCAGTCAAGGACGCGAAAAGCCTGTGTTGCCACTCTCAAAATGCAAGGCGTGCGCGACACAGAAAAAGAAGTATGGAGCATACTACAATGCAGCTGCACATCTCAGAAGAGCGCATTTCAAACCCAAATCTAAGGGTAGAAACAAGAATAGTAAGGTTGAGGAGTCTCAAAAGCGTGGTGGAAAGGCTGGAGGAGATTGGCCTCCAATGTCGGAGTTGAAAAATTGGTTCAAAGAGGTGGAAGAGCCAGCAGCAGATTATACTCAACAAGACGATGAGAACGATGATGAAGACATGAATGAGAGTATGATTAACGATCTATCGCCAAATCAAGACGCACCAACTGATTTCGATAATGCTATCAACAAAGTTCCGATTCACTCAGTGTACCCCTCGATCAACACACAAAACTTTGCCAGCAACATCAACTTCGACAATTCGATGCAACAGAACATTGATTTATCAATGAACTTTGCAGGTCAAACAAACTTTGACTTTTCTTCTTTTCCTATGAATGACCCATCAGTGGCATTCTTTGATCCTGTTTCTTCTCTTCCTCAAGTTTTTGATGATCAATCACTTGTTGGTGTCAATACTGTAAATTTTTCTTATGATCCTTCTTTGTCTTTCAATTAGGTATCATTCCTACTCTGCTCATACTGGTATGTTTCGAGTATGGTGTGACTACAATTTTCCTTTTTTCTTATCTGCCTTCAGTCATACTTTCGATAATTCATCAATTTGGTGAGTTGAATTGATGAATTGTCGCGTGGCGTCAGGTTTCTAGATAGGCAGGCGTATTTCCATTTTCTTTCCTCTTTCGGTATCTTTTTTCCATCTCTTGTCCCTTTCTTCGTTGAGAAGTTACGGCTGTTATGAGTAATGAATTCGATATATCTGGTGGTGGTATCTTTCTTTTTTTTCCCTTTTCGTTTCTTTCTCATCTCTTTGCCTGGGTTCAGGTTATTGGATTGGTTTTGAACTTGATGGGGGTTTTGGTGTTTGGGAAATCGATAACGAGAGTTGTCGTGGTTAGGATGGGATGGGACAGAACAGGATGGATGGATGGATGGATGGATGGATGATTGATTGATTGGATTATACCTACAGTAATAATCTTGATTATATACAAGTTTATTTTATCTGTTTTTTTTGATTGCTTGTTTTCTATGGCATGATTAGATGGCTTCTGGTCTAGAAGTGAGTGGATTTCTGATGGTGGGGAAGGGAGATGAAGAGAGTTGAGTGGTGAAGTGGTGGTTGCAGTTGGGGTTGGATTTGGAGAGCATTGATGGCATGACATGGTGATGTGAATGTGGAGACGATGAAGATGAAAGATGAAGATAGAGATGTGAATAAGACACATGACAAATTTGTAGATACTTAATGATAATACAGATTGATTCTTTCATACATACACGTGGAATTTATGGTTTTGTTTGATTCTTCTTGGTGTAGGTATCCTTCGTGTGTAAAGTTTGGTGTGGGTGATTTGGGGGGGGGAGGATTGGGAAGGGTTGGGGAGAGGGCTAGGAGGGGGGTGAGAAAGAGGAAGGATGAAGACGAAGAGGAAGGAGATGGTAAAGTCATCTAGGTATCTTGTCGACTTGCAATTTTAAAATCATCACGCTACTACGAATTCCGGAATCACATGTATGAGATCAAGATTAGATCTGCACGACGATGAATGAGTGTGAAATATTTTTATTTAAAATCAACGAACCCCTGCCCCGGTTTTGAAAGGAAAGAAAAAGGAGAGGAAAAGAAATATGAACCACGCCAGCTATTCTAGTTATTGATCATTGATCATTGAGCTACAGTATCGGGGAAGAGTCTCAAGAGAAACATATTTATCTGACTATCCATTCATGCCTCCGTTCATTCATCCATGCATCCATGCATCCTTCCTTCCTTCTATCCATCCATCTATCCATGGTGTACTGAAAAACAGGAAACTCGTTGGCTGAAGGTGTGTTTATCATCGTGTCGGAGTCATGGTTGTGTGGATGTGAATTGGATTTCCTTGATCATGACAAAACTGCTAAGCTCGAGGAGTGGAATTGAAAATGAGAGAGTGTGTGGAGTGGAATGGAGAAGTGGTAAGAGCTAGGTATGCGTACATACATACAGAACAGACGATGAAGAGATTGTGTGGAAAATCAAAGATGAAGGTGATGGACTTCGTAATTTGTGGTGTGCTCCATGGCGTCTTGTGAGGTGAGTTGGGTTTTCTGTGGTATTGAGTTCTCTGCTTGTTGGTGGATTGGTTGCAGCAGTGAGTTCGAGGAGGAGTCAGGAGGAACAACCATGGTTCGAGTTTCATCAGCTTGGTGTGAGGCTACGCGATCAAGGAGGAGAGGAAGACACCATGCCTTTTTCATGGTTCGAGGTTCGTCAGCCAGGCGTAAAGCTAGACAATCGGAGAGGAGAGCAGAGGAAGACACCATGCCTTTGTCATGGTTCGAGTTTCGGCCGCAGAACACCTTGTCCGACCTTTCCAACTGGTGTCGTGCAATGAGATCTATGGTGACTCTTGAATTGCGGAAGAGGTCCAGGCTCGAGCGATGACAATGCTTTCTGGCGCATCAGGATGTGTCGTAGTTCCTGTATGGCTGGTGAGACCAATCCAAAGGCAACCCATCGAACACCACGAAAAAGAAGACTCCACCACCACCAAATTTCAAATTCCTGGAGAACTAGGACACGACCCCCAATCTCCCTCATATACCTTTAAAAAAAACAGCCCGCTCCCAGGGTCTCCAGCCAAATCCTCCAAATATACCATGATACAACGCCAGCCCAGCCCCAGGGTCCCCCAACCAGTATCCTCCACATATACCATTGTTACAAAAACCCTGCCGTGCATAACACCAATTCCCCCGCTATCTACCAAAGAATTTAAATACAATAGAATCCTGCTTCGCATTACTAATATCCCCGGAGAACCGCGCCCAACCCTGCCCGTTCCTCCACCAAGCGAGTGATTCGTACCGTTCGTACAGTCCTACTAGGTACACGTATATACATCCTGATGGCATACTAAAGCGAGGGAAAAGGCAACGATTCTCCTCACCAGTGCCCGCAAGGCCACCAAAGTCTAACGGTGGGCTGGATCTTCATCGGTGTGGGTCATGTAATAGACGTCCCACGCGTCTTCGTGGTTCCAACCCCACTTGGTGTCAAACTTTGGCTTTCTGAAGGGAGCCACCCCGTTCTGGACTCGCCAATCCCGAATCGCGCAATACTCTTCCCGAGTAAGGCGGACCGGCTTCTTCTTCCCAGCCGGGAGGTTTCTGAAGGTGCGCAGTGGCTTATAGTCGGCCCCGCGAACCATCTTCACTTCGTCCTCGGTAACCGAGGGACGAAGAAGAAGGAACTCCTTCCTGTGCTGGTATGCTGGGGTACCACCGGGACAGCGCTCGATTCTGTCGTCGACTCTCATCTTGGCCTCCTTGCGGGGGCGAGGTTTCTTGGCGGCAGCGCGGCGACGAACGGGTGCCATTGTGAATGATGACTGTGAGATAAATTGAATTAGCGAGGTCAATTGAAAGACAAATGAGAGTAAAGAAGAGGATTGCAAGACGAGAGCAACACATGAAACCATGGTGTTCAAGTCAAGCTCATGGTTCAAGATGTGTTTACCAGGCTGAATGGCACCGAAACTTGAAGTTGTTGATTTCGCTCGGACGAGGCAGCATTGAGATGGGAAGTGGAGGAAGAGAGTCTTTTGGGGCTCCTCAATGCGGAGTTTGAATTCGCACATTGAGCGAAAATGTCTAAGCAAGACTGACTGACAAGTCCCAGTACTTGAAGTTTTCTTGAACAAGTAGCGGTGGAAAGAGGAGTAGAGAAGAAAGACTTTTTCTGACTCAATTGAAAGCCAAGCTCCAACCAGAGGTTTGACCAATACTGCTATATGCAGAACAGATCAAAACAAACCAGAAGTTCATCTTTCTTGCAAAACGCAGGAGATAGGATGGGAAGTGGTGGAGGGGAGTTTTTCGCTGTAGCTTGAAGCGCAGTCTCAACTGGCACATTAACTTACACTGCTTTACGCAGATAAGATTAAAGCAGGCCAGCTATCATCTTCTTCTCGAAATAAAAGCGATCAGATGGAGATTGAAGAAAAAGGAAGTCTTTAAAGCCGTTTCCAGCGAGGTTTCAATTGGCAAAATGACTGATACTGCCATATGCAGAACAGATCAAAATAAGCCAGTTGTCAATCCTCTCTCAAAACGCAGAAGACAGGATGAAAATTCAAGGAAGATAGTGATTTTGCTGCTCTTCAATGTGCAGTTTCAACTGGCGCAACGAAATATAGCATAACAAGCAGAGCAGATAGCGCGCTTTCAACTTTCTTGCTGCTCTGGTGCACCATACATATTGAGCTGCACAGAACTAGCTGAAAGCGCGCAATATTCAAGCTTTGCCAGTACAATGCGGGGGGTTTGATAAAAGGCATAAAAAGGAGAGTTGGACGACTTACAGATTGTGAGAAGGCAACGGTGAGAAGACTGCGAAAAGACGATTGTGAGAAAACGCTTGCGAGAAAACGACGGCGAGAAGACGAATGTGAAAAGGCGGCAGCGAGAAGTGAGCAAAGAGCTTTTAGTGCAAAGATGTTCTGTATCGTCGCTGTAAGCTTGCAGTCAGTTAAAGTCCATCAACAAAGGAGCCCATAGAAATTTTACTTACATTCGTAGTTGCGTGGTTCGTTGGAAAGAAAAAGAAAAGGGAAACTGGAAGCGGTCGAGAAGCAAATATAAGAAAGTGCGCTGAGCAGGTTTTTCCTCGGCTAATAGACAATTTTTATTGGTTTTCTAGAGGAGACTTGATAATTGAAGCTCCTCGGATCATTCCGAGCCGCTGTCCACATGAGTTTAATTTGAGGACAACAAGGTTCTGAGGCTCTGAGGCTCTGAGTCATTTTGGAAAGGCTGTGGGCTTCTTTGTTATCACTTTGGACGCGTGAATATCTTCAATGGTCAACATGCTTTGGTTTGAGCCTGTTGTTGGGCAGGAGAATAGGAATTTAGACCATTTTACACAGAGAGCACTTTCTTGTTTAGAAAAGGGAGCCTCTAAGTATCTATATTCAACAGATGCAGGTCACTCAATAACTACTAGATAGCCTCTTTCCCTTGGTAGATTAATAAAGAGGTTTAACCAAGAATATTACCCCCTCACTACTCGGGAATCTCGAAGTCATTTCCGAGGATGAAATTAGTGAATATGAAAACATTTTCCCGCCATCTTGTGTGGCTTTTCTAGAATGCCTTTTTACCAATTTTCAAGTATGCAGATATTTCTTTACAGCTAATATATCAGAGGTCTCAATAGACTGATATGTAATTCATATTTGTAGATTTATATAGATCCATCAAGAGGATTATATATTGCTGAGGCAACTTTGATCGTTTTTGATTCCCTACTATCGTCAACATAAATCTATGCCCTTACTACCAAGATACTTCTAGAAACCATTCGAAACAAAAAGATGGAAGCATGTCACAACTAAATTGAACTAATCAAAAGTCTCCGTTCAACCCAAAGTGAATAATGCCCAAAAGTTTGCAAGGCGACAGCATTATAGTAAGATTAATTAAAATCAAGGTAAAGCAAAATTTTCTTTGATAACAAGTCATACTACTTTTACCGGAGTTATTACAAAAACTAGAAAAGAGAATTCTTCTATAATCTGGTTTGGGCTATATGAAAACAGTGAATCTCTTCCTTGTGTTGAAGCCATCTATGGGAGGACATTTTTTTGAACTCGTAACTACAAACCTCCATGTGATCTTTAAAGACTTATAGACAAAATGTCTTTAGTCCTTACTTGTATCATCTGTGTTTGCCCGAACAATGAAACACTGGAATGTCTATCACAATCGCTGTAGGCTATGAAAGTGCAGAAGAAATAACTATGATAAACTTAAGAGCCAACGTAATTCTAGAAAAGCTTCGATGCTAGTTCAGAAATATCACAGCACTGCTTCGAATCTAATTCTTTACTGTGCTGTTCTTCTGATCTTCTGGCATCTTCTGTCAGCTAATCACCATAAAAGCTTCTTAGAAATTCAACAACATGTGTCTATGGATCTCTTCTCACTTGCCCGCTTCCATTTAAAGGTGGGGAAAAAGATGGAGAAAAAAGCTCACAAGTTTTCCTGTCAAGGGAACATCCCGTTGGGAATAGTGTTAACAGATGTTTAGGGCTTGTTTAGAAAGAGGTAGTGCTGTATATTTTGAATGGAGATAGAGGTCCTTGTGGGTAGTTAGAATTACCTAGGTAGTTACTTAAACTCAATTGACAATCTAATTAGTACGCTTGCAGTGATTCCCGTACATCCAAGAGAACTACGGCCCTAGAACATTCTCAAACAACTGTATTGGCGCGGCTATTAGAAACCTCCTCGTAACCCTATCATGCCCATCGAAGCTTGGTTGATAAACGATCGGGCAGATAAACCCCAACACATTAGTCGCCGGCAGGTCACTGATGCTTCAGAAATCATTTCAATATATGTCCCACGTTGGTATGTATTGAAGCGGCAAGTCACCCGCCTCAGAGCCGGATACTAAATCTGTCGTTTTGGAACATATGATTTTGGCTGTGTCCCATCACGCTCCCCTGTCGCTCTTATGCAGTACCAGTTGGAAATAACCACCCAAGATTCACAATTAGCAGTCTCGAGCCAAACATTCGTAGTGAATGACAACCTGTGAAGATTCTGTCATATTCTTCGGTTGAAGCAACCAACGCTGTCGATATTTCTTTCTCAAGAAGAGCCAGGGCATTAAAAATGGCCCAGTCATACCTTTTGCATGCTGTGGGCTCTATCGCTTGACGACGAGAGAGTTACTCAAGGCGCAAGAAGTAACGATAGATGTTATATTGAGTCATATCTTTCCAGTTGAACAATGTGGTTTCATTCGGATGCAGCGATTCATCTTCAGATATCGAACCGAAATACGGAAAGCCTTTGACTTTCGAACAAGCGTTGTCCTTTATATATTGGCCAAAGATCCATCGTGATTGGGCTATGCGTGGAATTCAAAGCAGCTAGCTGTACGTCGTGCAAGTACGTCAGTAGCGAGAATATCAATATTAAACCTCACTCATGATATGGTAGTCGAATCGATTGAACTCGCGGTTGTCTCACGATAAAAACAGGAAAGAATTTGAGCATGTGAAGATATGTGAGCTCGGCCCAGCCCGAAACCTGATCGGCATCGGCATCGGCGCCGGAAGATTTCCATCATTTAGGCGTCAAATCGGCACATAAATTCTGGCATTTAGCCATCGCATCGGCACGAAGATTTTGGTGTGGTTCAATTTGAATTAGCCTGTGACTAAACCGCCAAGACTTGTGCGATCGAGCTGATTATAACCGGCAACATCTGCTTTTTAGATCCTCCTATCAAAGTTGTTGATCATGTTGGCCACTACGCCTTCTTCCCAACGCAAAGTAGATGCTGATATTCTTGCATTCCTACAACACTGAAGAAGCCGGTTTAGCTCATGTTTGCAGTGTTCGTGTCCGCTGAATGTAAAATAGGTGTTGGAAACTCCCACTCACTCCAAATTTGACGCTCATAAACCAAATAAATGATGAGTATTGCTGCTTTTCACGAGAGCACCTGGGGCATCTTAGATTTACGAAACAGGACTTTCGAAATCAAGCATTTTGACGGGTGACGTAGGTACCTGCAAATAAGAATTCGTGATGGCCGGCCAAATTACCTCCCTGGAGTAACAAATGTGAAGATCTCGTTGTGCCAATTCTCGTGGCGGATAAAGCTCAGGACAAAGTTGACGAGAATAAGATCTACTCTTGTGATTAAACGATAAAAACTTTCGATGTTTCCTTCTTCTCCTTCTTCTCAAGAAAGACAAATCCATCTGATATTGATTTTATGTTTTGCATCGACAGGGAAGAACAATCAAAAGTCACAATCTACTCCTCATATAGATGTACATACTAGGTAGGAAGTATTTACTGGATGCGCATGTTAAATGCTGAGTCATTCGGCTTTCAACTATAATCTTCCACTCGACCTAGATTCCATAGATTCTAGATTAGCACATACATAATCTCATTCAATAGAATCATTAAAGTCAATATTACTTTCTAACGATACTTGTGGATGATTGACCTTAATGCTTATAGAAACTTGTCTTCCATTTCAATTTATTACTCACCAGTTATCCATCTCTCTATTATGCATCTTGACCCAGAAACTGATTTACTTGGCGGGCTCTTCAAACGTAGCGACAGCTGAACCATATAATTAGGCCATGTATGCCATGTGAGTTGTGATACCTTTACTAGAAACTCTTCTCGTATAGTGGCTCAGGAATTCCACAGCTGTAAAGAAAACTGCAAAGATAGTGTCACCTGTATGTTACTGTATATCATTGTATTTTGTCAGGCTTTGAGAGTTCGTATAATCTGATCCTCGTACAGACAATGGCATTAAATCATCTTCTATTCTGAATGAATGACATAGGGTATGAATTGGGATCCAGCCATCCAGGGAATGGAGTTTGATTGCGATCCAGGATTGCATTCATGATAGTAATGATCTTGAGCTATATTCAAAGAGAAAGATCAGACGAGCTGCCATCGCTACACCGGAATGCACCAGTGACACAGTATTTAGCAGCAGATGTTGCACTCACCCATACTCCACATCACTACTATTTTCAATCAAGATTGGATGTTTTCAATAAAGTCATTCAATGAGAATAAGAATCTACCGACGATGTTCTCACAGGAAAAGGATTCATGGATTCGATATTGATTTCAAACGAACAAGATTATTGGTCCTGGCAGCATATCTAATTAAGCTTATAGGAAAGAAATACATATCGAGCACTAAGGCTACACCATCTACCCATCTATGAAATCTTTACTTTGAGTATACGATGCGTTATGATTGTAGACTATACTTGAATTTTGATGGTAAGTATGTCTTTTCAATGAAGCATGTCCTCGCTTGTCGTCTCCTATGACTTGACAGCTGAAGGAGAATACCTGGTGACAAAAATGGGTTCTTTATCAGTTTGATAAACCTACTGGTTCCCAGAATACATAGCACATTTAGCAAAGCTACCAGGTTCTTCTTCCTTGTAAATATTACGCTCCATGCACGGCACACAATTCATACTTGAACGCTCATATCGGTCTATAACTGCTTACAATCAATTTCTTATTGCTATTAAATATATTCAATGCCGCCCAGTTGAACAATCACCCGTTATGACTGTATTGTGTACGATTACCACGAGTATTTGTATCAAAACCAACACCTAGATATTCCATATATTAGAAGTGAACATGGGAATGACACATCAGTTCTTATTCAACTACTAGGAAAAGGTTGAAGTTTACCCCGAAGCAGAAAGGGCAAAAACCTATATACAAATGTGATAGTTAAGTACATTGAGCAAGTTGGCATCATATATCATATACATACTACTAGTAAAATCATCGCATGTGTAATCTTCCAAATTTAAATTTTTGTGATCGGTCATTATGGGATAGCATGAACCTGGCCGTGGGCTGTTAAACAAGCCACGTGGAGAAGGAATGTGACTAAAAGAAGAACGAATGCACATCTATCTGTTATTCGTGCAGTTCTACGCGAGCCAACATGCATTGCTTGATACCCTTTCAAGATGATACCTGAAAACCACTCTGCCATACCATCCAGGTACTCGTCCCACAAATAATGTAATTCCACATTACGCATCCTCTATATAGGAACACACATAGTGATATGTGTATTCATCTTCATGACATTCAGCCGAACATAGTTAGCAACAAGTTTCAAAACAAACCTTGGGAGCCGTTCAGTTAACAAGTGCGTGCCAGAACGGTTGGGATTTCCGCAAGAGGGTCCGACTCTCCAAGTTTCCAAGACATGCTAGAGAAACAAAGCGGGGAGACATACCGTATGCATGCAGGGACAGAACAAGGTCTTCGATAGCCTGAACTGTACTGTCTAGACTCTAGATCACTGGTTGATCGGATCTGAGCATCTCCAATGATCTTGTGAATCTGGAACCATGATTCAAAGCCACGCCTAACTGCATATCTAATTCCAAGAGCAAGGATCGGGTAGTTGTTCAGCCTATATAAACTCTAGATCGACCTTATAAGAATCATAACTTGTGTATCACTGGGTTCAGTTTACACTGCATTTTGAGACCATGGGGTCAGAAGAAATTGTACATGGCCATGATCCCGCCGACAGACCTTACTTTAGGAGCTCTTTGAAAACATAAATGCCTTTGAAATATCTTAAGCCATGATCAGCTTTACATCCAGCTAAGCAAAGGTAATCTAGAACTCTCTTTAGGCGTCCACTAGCTTCTATTTTCAAATCGTACGATATTTACCCAAGTAATACTAACTAGATGAGAAGACACAAAAACTACTATTTAGAGAATCTTCCTACAGCAAGAGACCCTGAAAATCCAAAGATTGGCTACCCCAACAGTACAAAGGGGTCAGTCACACTACTCCAAAGAACCCAACATTACTCGACATGATTCCCTCAGAGGTGGGGCTCGCCGGCTCACCACTAGCCACACTACACAGCACTGCTACTCGACGCACGGGAATTACCGGATCGCTGGAGAACTATCCCAGAACGTACTGGTGGCTCGGATAATCGTGTCGTGCATGTGTGACTTTGATCGCGTGGTAGGGAATTAAAGGGGGGCTTAGCTTGTGATTAGTGTTTAACAAGAGATCGTATATGTGATATATTACGCAAAAGTGAGGAAATCGGAGGTAGTGATGGCATTTTATGTTCGTTTCGTTTCCTTATCGCGGCGGATTATATTTTGTTCGAATGGAATAGAGATTTAAGTTACTGTGAGTAGCCGCTACACTTAAGATCGAATGTCTAATTGGTTGATGCCTCATACTGCTAGTTGCACGCTCTTAGATCTTGACTATTCAGGCTGTGTAGAAGATATGAGGCTTTAACATGGCTAACCACACAAGACAGGAAATTTTGGACCCTCTATACAATACCGACATCCAAGTTTCCCAGTTTTGTTATTTAGCACCACAGGCTACCACACTTCTACTCGCAAACCATGCAATACTATTCGTCAAAATGGTCTACCGTAAGAATACGAATGCCTCTAGTGCACAAAGCTCGTATGAGTGCTCTGAAGTTAGAAATACCTGATTCCATTCCACCACTAGTATGAATAATCACTATGGCTATATACTTAACAGCTAATCACCACAAAGAAACATTTGTAAGATAGAGGACCAAGCATTGGTATGGCAGCTTAATCAAGGAAAGTATGCTTGAGACAAACATCAGCAGGTTGCGAAGGAGGGTGTGGTTGAAGATGGTATTGATATTATGATATTAAAACACTTTTGAAGTCAATTTCCGACCCAGAGAACACTCGTATACATGCCTCCCCAGCAGTAGAATAGATGAAGCTCCCATGTTGTAAAACGACGACCAATGATTCCTCAATAACCGAACAAGTAACTATATTGCCATGATTATCGCAACAATTCATCCCGGCGTCCCTCGCATTCATGCCTGCCATGAACTCCATCCTATCGTAACAAAAAGAACTCATAACATCATGTCTTCATGTGCGGTATGTCAAATACCGCCGCGTCTCGTACAGTCGTGCTCCAGGCGACTAAAGATCCCTAACTGGATCGTATGGCTTAGTCTGTCCGTTCTCTCGGGTGATCGGCGATGACGTATACGGTACGTACGACGACGATGGTGTATATGTTTGACTCGATGAGTAGGTGGCGTAGCCACTAGTAGATGAGCTAGGCTCTGAAAAAATACGTTAGTACTCTAGGTGTAGTGAGAAAGCGGGGAGGATACACACCAGTGGAAGAATAGTCGTATCCCTGAGTGTCTCCTGTCGGTAGTTAGAATAGAGCGCCAAAATCATGGTTTAGCTCATTGACTAGTGGCAAACTGCTGCACAAAGGGTCCTTTATGCGAGATATATGGCGTGCATACGTCTCACACAGACATCATTTCTTTTCTTCCAGCTTGTGTGTATAAATTTGGTGGATAGAAGCCATCATACATACCTGTATTCATGGAAGCACTTGAATAGTACGAAGAGTGACTGTATTGCTCATCTACCTGTACATGTCTATGGCGTGAAGGGTATGGATGGTGCGAATTATGGTAATTGGGGTAATGTTGGTGCGAAGGGGTTGTCGAATTGTATGGCGCAGTATCCCTACTATCGGCCCTGATATTTCTGTTCCTACCATCTCGATAGCGAAATTTATGATATAAGAACCATCTTGCGATCCAGTTCGGGCAGTCGAGAGTTGGCTTGGCTAAGTTCCAGTAGTATGCCGTTTGATCAGTACCATTTTGGACTATCAGTTTCATTGCTTCATCCTTCGATCTCTCGACAATATCGCTCCAATCGTACGGAGGTTTCCCTTTGCAGTTCTTCTTGAGGTGGCATTTCTCCGAAATAAGCCACCTGTAGACTACATCTGTCTCTTTCTGAAATAGTGGCCAAGATAAGTAAGCACTCTATTGATTAAACTTCTCAATTTGGCAATGATAACGTCGAGTCAACGGGGGTAGTTTGGTTGAAATGAATGCTTACCGCCATCAGGGTATACGTCTCCGCACTAATATTTAGATGCTTGACGAGGTCATCTTTTGTTTGACTCATTGCCAAAGGGCCTAGATCAGATGAAGACATGATGGGGCTTGTCGAATTTCCGCTTTTTGAAGACTGGACGTGCAGTATGGAAGGAGAGAATTGCGATACTCATAGCGAACTTACAGGACCATTGTAGAATTATTAGGTAGCCGCGTTGCTTGCAGGGCTTTACGTATAAAAGGGTGGCAAGTTATGGGTTTACAAGATTCGAAAGATTGGCCAGTGCCAACTTCGGGTTTGTGAAGCCCGTATCTCTCAATGCATATCATCGGCGTCTAGTTACAATAACATTTGGCGCAAGTAGAAAGTATTGCATGTAGCAGGGGGGACAAACATTGGTTCAATTTGGTTGGGACCAAGTGATGGCGGCAGTGTTTTCTTCACCAATGATTCTATGGTAAAAAGGACTGGATCCTAGTCAAGTAATATACGGGGATTGACCGGAAGTGTGTGCCGGCCATCTGCAAGTTCGGGGCAACTGATGTCGGAGAGACTCCCGACGCCGAAACCACCCGCTTAACTCGGATTACCCCAAGGAATGCTCAGTTGCACAGAAGACCCTGCAGAACCGTGATGATAACTCTGCAAAAACACAACTTAAATGTCGCTACGGACGGCACATTCATGAGTCAATGGGTGACGCAGAGATTCTACATACCTATAACTGCACCACCTCAAAATATGTATTCGTTCAAAGGGAAAACCAAGATATAGACCTCCGTGAAAGGAAATTCTTACAAATGTCGAATTTTCCGCATTCAATCCCTGCTGCAATAACTGTTTTGATGTCTAACGGCAGGTGTTACCATTTTGGGCAATGCTTTGTAAGACGATCAGTGGAATCAGCCATGCTTGGCCTGAGATAATAATCTGGTTCTGATAAAAACTGGACGGCAAGAAGAAGTCTATGCCGGTACTGTTCCGAGTCTCATGCTCCCCATGAAGTAATGAGAAGGTTTTACTACGGGACTCGTGTAAATATACACCAAACAGATTTTGCTATTGACTGCAATTGAGAAGTTTCCACTCACCATCCTAGATATATTGGGTCTCACATCTCACCCTATCCAATCGTTCAAGGCACATCTGCCATCAATTAGTGGATCTGACATCCTGAATAGATTACTTTAGTTCAGGGGGCACATCATCCGATTTGTAGAAATTCAAAATGTAACCTCATACCTGATGTAGTCAACAAAAAGAGTCGGGAGAACTCCCTTTAATGGTAAAAGAATAAAAGATTCTGGATTGTTCTGATTCCACAAGAATCAAAGATAGCTACTCTGTCAGTATAATCACCCTATGCAACATTGTGTATACCTAGTTTAATATCATATCCCCTTCACAGACGACAGAGCTAAAGGTCTCAAAATCTTAGGTAGGTTGAAACAATACATCGTTATCAATCTGCTATTGATCACGTAATCATTATACCCCTCCATCTAGCGAGGGTGGTATAACTTATGTCAATGGCTTGTTGGCTTACTGGCTTGTACCGCCGTAGATCATAGATTGATCCGGCCTACCTAGCTTACACGAACTGGATAGCGTGCAGATAGATGTATCACTCATTAGAAATGTTACCTCAAACCCAGCGTTATGGTCTGTATCCGCGAACATTAGCCTTGCCATTCTTCAATTTATTGACAACTCACCTCAGATAGTAGTACAGGAACGGCGGAAGAGCTCGCATTAAGTCTGGTTGATCTGCAAGTCTTGATGTAAGTTTGAATATATGAAGGGGTGTAAATGATTCTGTTTCATTGCAGTGATACCTTTCCACCACATTCTGTTGTAAATCGTGGTGAAACAAATTTCCCTACCTAGGTAGTGTCTGGATCTTGAACAATAGAGTTAAGAGAAGTTAGAATGGATATTTAATACATCTTCATATGATGACGTATTTTGCTCTTGACACCAGTATGTTTGAATGTAACCAGCCAGATGATGAAATGGCTGGCTTCCTTTCTAATACACGTCGGCGTCGTGATTAGAGAAAGCTTGCACTCACCAACTTCTACTGATTGGTAGATACAGTACGGTACTAGGTGTGTATTTCATTTCATGATACATCATGTTACTCGAGGTACGATTCTAGAATTTCAAAATGCTAGAATGTGGAATGTGGAATGCTAGAATACTACTCGAGTAGATTCTTTCATCCTTTACCAAGACCCTTCAGATTAGACGAATGTTGTCTGCATTTATACATCGAATACCAGATACCACTCGTCTCATTATTAATAAGGTGACAAGTATCTATTTATAACAGTTACTTCAATTCACAGTCCAGGGAAGTATTCCGTAGATAAAGAGCCCTATCCCCCACCAAGGCCAAGAATGATGCGCTGATCTACCTGGCTAGTAGTCTCGAGCCAGTCCATGCCACCAGTGCCTCTTCAACCCACTTTTTGCTCATATAACAATCATCGAAATATACCGACGACCTATGAAGGACAATTGATTTATCAGAATTATTCCTAGACTTTCAAGAGAAGTGGACTCGTAAAGAACCGCATGATACACAGAGTAAAGAAATCCTTAGTATTCACTACCTACCTAGTGATTTGAGTGACTAGCGTTTCTTGTGGCTCTTTCATCGTTCCACTCAAGAAGCTCGCATTACCAACAACACCCCACTTCACCTCGTCGTGCTACCCTTCCACGCCCGCCGCCAGACATGCTCTCCAAGCTATTTATTTTGCTCTGTACTGTTCTTATGATTGATTATCAATGCGAAATATACAGGTACCATCGCGTTCAAGCAAGCAGTAATACTTCGGGTCGGGTCGATTGTGTACCATAGTCAAAAGATATGGTTTCTACGATTGTGCATTTGCCAAATGGCTACCATATAACAGTCAACCCTGTTTTTGGAGGCTTCTTTTTTAAGGCTAATGAGTTGAACACACATAGCAGCATCTTCCCTGCTGGCTGGACTGTCATTATCCAGACCGAAGATTATTCGGACGAACATCCTTTGAATGGCGATTCTGAAGCTACAGAGCTTCAAGATGCGCCAGCCGAACGACATTCACACATACATCCTTTCAGACTTCCAACTTTACGCAATGATAGCCTCTTTATTTCTTCCATTTCGAACCCCTCGAGCAATGATTTCAAAGCCCCTATCAGCCCCACTCGGCAGATCGCGATGATGCTCTGGGCAACATTATACTGGTATTTCCATCAACCAGAACCATCCCCATATGTTACCACAGCCGCTTCCAAAAATACACCTGATGCCGGAAAGCCAAAGGCAGATTGGCGCATACATATTAGGAGAGAGGGTGTGCTGCGGGGTCGCAACTTGATACAAAAGCTTGAAAGAATGGGGTTAATTACATCGGATGATTCATCAGTTGGTCTCGCAATTGATGAGAATACACCCGAAGGATGGTCAAACATGTTCACTTCAAGAAGAGCATTCTGGCAGCTGTCGGCACGGCTGTTCCTTTTTACTTTCAGCCCGAATCTATCTCTAGCTTCCCCGCAGAGCAGCCGACCGGGCTCACCCATCCGTGATACAACAAGCAATCAGTCTCCCTCCAATAATAGAGATTCTACCGATTCATTTACTTCTTCAGGGTTATGGTCACCAGCTTCCATTGGTCCTTTTTCATCTGGAAGCCATTTGCCGACATATTATCCACCACCTCCCACACAATATACGAACACGTCAGGTGTGCGCCATCCCCTGCGTCCCAAGCCACCCCGCCAAGGTGAGACATTTTATACGCGTTACATCCCTAGTGTAGGTCAATACTTGTCTTTTCGAGTCGCTTCCTTATCCTCCAAGCCTGTGGTGTATAACGGTCCAGCCTCAAGCTTATCACCCTTCCAAGACCATGCCAAAAGTACATCGATCTCCTCTATTGGGGCATGCTTGTCCGCAGATTCGCAAACCGCACACTCTCGCACTATTGCACATCAAATCGAAAATACAACTGAAATGACGGATCTCCAGCTTTTGAACCGTTGGATGAATATCCCTCGGGTTGATAGATTTTGGGGCTGCTCTGGTCCAATCTCTACACAAGAAGAATTTCTCAAAGCCAATTTGACATCTAATCACGCATTCCCCGTCATTGGTCTTTGGGATGGAAAGCCTTTTGGGTACTTTGAATTATATTGGGCAAAAGAAGATATTCTTGGGAAACATGTAGGTGATAGCGTAGGAGACTTCGATCGTGGTGTTCATGTTCTGGTTGGTGAACCTGAATATCGGGGAAAGCATAGAGTGCAATGCTGGATCACTGCTTTGGCGCACTGGGCTCTAGTACAGGATTACAGGACTAATTCCTTTGTGCTTGAGCCGCGGGTGGACAACGAGAGGTATTTCTCGATTTCTCTAGCTTTTTGCCCCTTTCATCACAGTCCTTCTCTCTAACTTTCCCCAGGTTTATCTCACATTTGCAAGAAGCTGGCTTCGTCAAAGAGCGAGAGATCACCTTTCCTCACAAACAGTCTGCATTCATGAAGCTGCGAAGAGAATGTTTCGAAGCGCCTGCATTGTGATTGTTTCAATACTCAATGCAACCTCGACACATCAAAGAGAATGAAACATTTTTGCTCACAGGTAAATACTTAACCGTGCTGGTAGGATAGCACGAAACTTGCATGACGCTAACTTTCTTGCGATGAAAATCCCATGAAAGTTTTCACGCCAGTAAGTCGCTGCTCGTATGGACCACAGCACACTTAAGTGATCAATGTTGCCGCATAAATCGGGCAAGCCTCTATCTTACTCATCTACCCACAATTATTACTCCACTCAATAATTTATCGTGTGGAGTTTCATGGACAACTGACAAGCAATACGTGCCGCCTTCAACTTACTTTGAAATGCGCCATCCACACCCGCCAAATGGAAATATGTGGGGATTTTGAAGCAACGAAACACCTTGAATTTATGGTCAGTTATGCTAAGGCATAATTGATATCGCGGGGAATCATATCCGACATATGTATGTGCATCAGAAATAGCCAGCCTGAGCTATAACAGTTACCAAGAATAGAAGCATTTTGAAATTCGGCTATGATTTTCCTGATGTTTGATGCGAGTTTTACCCGTCTTGGTTCGAGCCTTTTCAAACCCGAAAAAGGCTTTGTGAGCGACTGCATGGCATTTTGGGGAGGAACAATCATGCAATACCTACAAGCGCAATTGCGGGGTGGAGAAGCTGATACACGTCTGATATCAAGTGCATCTCCCTTTCTACTATGTATAGATTCGCTGCCAATCAGATCGCAAGAACAGTCTTTTCATTAAAGCTTGATCTTACCTGAAACTTGTTACGATAGTTAAGACGGTTGACAACATCAGATTCAGAAAAGATGATGATTAGTTTCTTTGATCAATCTCAGCATTAAACATCCCCGACAACATTCGGCTACAGTTCCCATTGGAAACCAGCGCCTGTTTCAATTGTGTATGATAGATTAAACAATTTTGGACTCGAAAATCGGTGAATGGACTGTACCACCATGTCGAAACTGTGTCAGTCTTGCCGATTACTGGGTACATCGGACTACTGTGGCTTCTCACAACCTGTACAATACTTTGCCAGCAGCTACATTCAATAATCTCTCTCTGCCCCCCCTTCCCTTGTATTCTGGGACTGCATTTTGCACATGCAAAACAAAAGGGTATATGCTGGTGGCAAAGATTCTGAAGCAATGTAAGAAGGAGTAGGACATTCCTCCGTAAAAGTAGATCTCGCCTTCCCATACTTCATCAAACGTCTCAGCAAGAGCGATACCACAAGGACGGTGTCACTGTGACGCCACACACATGCATGAAAATTAATACAGGCTTAGAAAGTACACTCGTACAACGTTTCATCTAGCCTTCAGATGGAAATGGAACGACGGGGAAGCTCCACAGAGCGCAATCTGATACGGAGTCAGTCGACCGGTCGATCTTAATTGCATTAATTGAGCTATCACAAGTGATATCATAGAAATTGAAAATACCTGTATTTTATCTCCTTGGGTGCAACGTGGTTGTTAAGGCTGTTAGCACCATTTTTTGTACAGCTATGCAATTATGGTTTTAGCGTCTGTGGGAAAATCATCATGCTGGAGGTTTTGCGGAATCATTTGTGCACGGCAAGAGTGCTTTATTAGGTTTTATACAAAGGTATATGTTTTACTGGTTTCAATGTGTGATCATATGATATGATTTGGAATTCTTGGGGGGCGGGTTTCACGAGGATTTTTTAGAAGAGTTCACCTGCCAACGACCTCTCCGACCTCTTCTATCAACAACCACAACAAATGAAAAATATGTACATCTGAAATGTAAAAAGAACAAGATGATCATTAGCTTTTAATTATTTGAAGTTTATTTGAAGTTTATTTGAAGGTTTATTGTATATTAAAATTGAGAGGGACAATCAAATTATCGAACGTCTTCTAATAGGCATGAACAAGCTGATCAGATTCCGTCCATTTTTTCTTCTCCTTCTCTCTCTTCTACCTTAGCGAATGGATGTCCTGGCTTGTTTGTCTAAGTATGGGTTTGATGTTGATATTGATATTGATGTTGATATTGATATTGATAGTGCAGACTTTTGATGGCTGTAGACTATATCTGATTCGATAAGATCAAGTGAGTCTGAAATGCCCCTTGGAGAATAGAATTATGCCAGAAACGGCGTTTAAACAGGTTTAACCGTTCCGTTGGCCAAAGCGTTCATTTTGGGGTGAACCCCAATCGATAGGTACTACCATACGGTCCATTCCAGAAATACCGGTAGAGACCCTCAAACCTTAAGAATGAGTGAACCCTTCTAAATCCATAATACCAGGAGCATCTTTAATACAAACCTTAATCGGTCTCAAACGACATGTACATCACACACCAGAAGATTCGATATTATTAGATGTGCTTGTCTTCTTTTTCTGTTTCGTTTCAGGATGTCGAGCAAAGCAATGTTCGATGTTGGATGTTTGAAAAGGTCTTTCGATAATATTGATTGATGGCTTGGATGACTTGGGTCTACATGGCGAAATCCAACTGACTCTTCCTAGTTGCGTATGTGTGTGTGTATGAATGTACGTATGTACGTATGTATGTGTGAATGTATGTTTTCCAAGTTTGTCTGTCTACTACCTATGTACCTCTGTCCGCGTGTGCTCTGCGCATGTACAAAGTATTGGATATATACCGTAGGCACTGCACCATCTGACAGATTGGGAAGACCCTCGCTTGCCCCTCCCTTGTCCCTCCCTTGTCCCTCCCTTCAAGACGTCGATTGGGTCTTCGGAGGAATATGGGAAATTCCGTGTTCTCGTGATAAATGTTAAAGGAGTACTCCGTCAGGGTGGAAATTGGGGAAAAACCTCCCGACGTCTCTTGACTGATTTGGCGACTTAGTGATGGAATTCGTAGACCAATATGATGATGATAACCGCATTAATGATGAGGTTGACTTTTCCGCCAGAGTTTGAATTGTGGGTAACATGCATGACAGGTAATTTTATATGATTGCGATTGGTGTGAACGCAGGAAAGGTCGGTGGTATCGGCCTCCGCGTTCGCCGACATTGAATAGCTTCCACGCTAAATCCGCCAGAATCATGCAAAGGCCACTCTCTAACCTTACTTGACGATCGCATTTTAAAAAATCTGGAAATGAGAGGAATGATTCATGCTATCAGTTTCGATTTTTCTATGAGCGATCATGATTCTAGCTGATATATTGGATGATCGACTATGGATACCTCCCTGCTTTCTTCAATCTCTAAACCTTACTTGGCGAGTCCACCTAGGGACGGGCAAAGTCCACATCGCGAGTCGGAATCTCTTGGGATAATGACCGGTGGCGTACGTGGGCTATGAGCTGCTGCTGCTACTAGTTGTAGGGCGGGGTCATGCATGCTCTCAGCTTCAAGTGAAAAGGCTTGGTTCCCCCAACATTTGCAGAAGTCTCCTCATAAACTCTTGAATATTCTATATAACCATCCAACTTGACACCTTTCACACCATATTCGATTGTTGACATAGTAGCACAATCCCTCGACTCAAGTTATACATCACCCCGCCTTACAACTCGTGTGCTTAGCAGTCACACATACATCATAGGACAAGAGATCTAGTCCCCGCACACAAGCTTCGCTTTGACCATGAAGATGAATACATTGTCACAAAGATTTTCCCGATTTCGCTCAGATATGATGCAAGATGTGAAGACAAAGCACATTGAAATGGCACCACCGTCACCTCCATACATCGACGAGTTCGAGTATCAAGTCGAAAGTTTTGGTGACGTGCCACAGGCACCACCATCTCCGGCATTATCATTTGAGGAATTATCCCCAAAGAATGACCGCGTAGCCAGAAATGATAGATCAAACATTGCCGCAACCACATTTACCTGTTTTGGAAACCTTCCTACCGAGATCAGACTGTTGATCTGGGGTATGTCATGTAAACAGCAACGGAGGATCGATGTTGAATTCGATGCAAAGTTGAACCACTTTCAACAATTTGGTCCCCCTCTCTTCAAGTCAAGTACACCTGCGCCAGATGTCCTCTACGCATGCAAAGAATCAAGAGAGGAGGCCTTGAAACATTACTCTCTCTGCTTTAGACAGGATATTTACGAATCCGAGAAAAGGCAAGCAAAGATATGGTGCAATTTTGACACCGATATTATACGATTAACCCCTGATGGATGGGGGCGAAGGGTTCACGATGGCTTTTTAAGGCAACTCGCCACGACGAATGGCATTTCTCGCGCATTTAACATTTGCAACTTCAGTAACTACAACCCTGGCTGTTTGGTCCAAGACGAAACCGCAACATTCAGCTGGACCAACATTTTCGACGCCATTGATTCTCACATATATCTTGGCTATGAGTTACAGGACATCGTTTTATACTACGATGCGGAGGATCTACCAGAGCAAACTTCAGAGCAAGCTGATAGGTCGGAATTCGTGGAGCTAGACTGGACTGCAATGGATCCAGAGTCTCAAAAGACGAAGATGTTGCAGTGCGTGCAGAGAGATTTATTAAAGAAAATGCCTAGCTACTGTCCGCCTTGGGAGCATCGCTCATTTACACCAACAGATGATGATTCCGTACCCAGGGGGAACGCAGTGTGGGAACTCCTCCAGTCAAAGGTCAAATTAATGGAGCTTAAGGTCAATCATTGATGGACTATTTTTTTGACCATTTGCAAAATAGGGAGGGGTTCACCAATCAGAAAAGATTTTTCGGAATTTGTATTTATTTATGAGAAGTCATGTGTCTCCAACAAAACATCTATAGCTATTTAATATTATAACATCTTTTCAACTCCCTACAAATGTTTATTCTGCCTGTCACTTCATATATATCCAATGATCGATTTGATTGCTTAGTACCTGGTAGTTACAGTCAGATATATCGTCAGGGGAGATTGCTACGATCTCTTCGTGGGTGGCGATCTCTTCATACCTAGTGCTTATCATATTCTACCAACCACTAATACCTAGCATTCGTACCTGCGTACCTAGATTTGGAGGGTATGAGACGCAGCCGCATTACGTCATTAACGACAGGGGTCAAGCATTCGAGCTCCCAACTTCCGGAATTTCCAAGGTCCATGTTAGCTTGCAATGATAACTAGGCAAACGGACAACGGGATAGGCACTTGGAGAAAATGGGCATTTCGATAACAGTTGTTTATTACCGTAAGCTCGCTTTCTCAATATCGAGATAGAGATTAGAAGGCTCGCAAATATGCGACGAGCGACACATCTTTTACCGCGGAGTATATCCCAAACGACGTACCGACCGACCTCATTTGTAGGTACTTTTCGAGATAGAGCCGCATCACAACTTTTTACAAAACAAAGCCCATCCTCATGCCTTCGCACATTTACTTCGACGAATATCTGGAGAGAAGAGAAGAGTCACACAGAAAAGGCCAAGGAATTGAGTCGAAAGGGATTGGACAAGGAAGAAGATTGGTTCAACAATCAACTCGATAATGCAATCGGCCAGCAGAAGGAAATACAAGCAAGAACACCATGGCATAGAGAAGGCGCCGATCAACCACCTGTGAAGAGGAATAGGAGTGCTGGGGCTATGACAAAAGGTTCCTTGACTTATCTCTCCTTTTGCTTCTGTGAGGACCATGTCTAATAGTTATAACACAGGCAAACTTCTTACTACACCCTCTCGACTTCTAAAGCTCATTTTGCCTTTGACCACGCGGGATAAGAACTCTGATCGGAAAGATATTGAGCCATTAGCTCTTCTCGTCCACCCTCAACAACCTCTCTCCTATTTGGAACGACTTATACAATCCGAACTGCCCATGATAACTGCAAAAGATGGACATACTGAAAAAGTACCCGAAGTGTATTTCCGAGCTGAAGATTCCGCACAAGGCGAGATTAAAGCAGATTCTAGAAGAGATGACATGGACGGAGAATCAGAAGAGGGAACAGACGAACAGATGGTCGATGGAAAAATTATGAAACTTGGGAAGATCAATAGCTCGAAAGATAAGAACATATCTAGCGAAGAGAAGAAACAAATACAAAGTGAATTAAGGGGAGGACCTGGCGAGGGAGGAGTAGAAAGTTATTCGGGACGTGGACGGGAACAATCTTCCGATGGAGAAGTGAAATTTGTTCGCTGGTCTTCATCGACTGAGATTGGAGATTTCATTCGTGATGCTGCGCGGGGGAAGGAATTTGCAGTTGAGATCGAAGGTGCATCTCATGAGATCCGAGTTGGCGTGCCGTCTTTCAACGATCGAACCCATTACCTTCGAGTTCGTCTACGCAAAACCAGCAGGAAATTGGCGGATTATGCGAAAGTGAAGAAAGAATGTGATGAGCTTGCACATCGAGGAGCGAGACATCTTGCCATGGGCGGTTTTGGCGTGCTTGTGTCGTGGTGGGGTGCTATCTACTACTTTACGTTTATGACTTCTTATGGGTGGGATACCATGGAGCCGGTTACATATCTAGCAGGTTTATCGACTATTATTCTCGGTTACTTGTGGTTTCTCTACCATAATCGCGAGGTATCTTATAGGGCGGCGCTCAATTTGACGGTCTCGAGACGGCAGAGTGCGTTGTATCAAGCGAAAGGATTTGATTTGCAGAAATGGGAGTCATTGATTGAAGAGGCGAATGCGTTGAGGAAGGAGGTCAAGAATATTGCTGATGAGTATGATGTGGAGTGGGATGAGAAGGCTGATGAGGGGAGTGAAGAGGTTCATGATGCGCTAAAGGCTGAGAGGAAAAAGACTAAGAGAAAGGAGAAGGAAGATGAAGGGGAGGACGATGATGAGGATGAGAAGCATACGATGAAGGGGAAAGATGATTAAGGTGTGCACACTGATAGACGAGACACAGATGGTAATATTTGGGTTTGCACGGGGATGGCGCATAGCGTGTTAGAAGATTTGAATTTATACCACAGCATAGCGTTCAGAAGCAATAAATAGATAGAAACGACATACGAATATAAATTTTACACATTGAATTACTACAACACACTTGCCATCTCCCATCCCATCCAACAGAGTCCACCTCACACAAGGACCTCCAATTCCAAGCCACCCCCCAAAACTCCCTCATGTATACATATAAATGTCATATAAGCTCCGCAAACCCAAGCATCACTTCCGCGAGGAAAACTCCGCCTCAGCTACAAATTCATACCTACTAGGTAGATACAAACCGCGTCACCAACAATATATTCATTCTGGCATGCAAATATGACCGACCAGCCAGTTGGGGAGTGGTATCAAGCGGTTGATTTAATCATGCGTTTTAAGTGTAAGGAGAAAAGAAAAGCAATAGAAAATTTTGGGAGAGGAGTTGATATGCGGTGCAAATTTTCGAGGTGGTCTGTGCATGGGCTAGTGCGTGGATGGCAGGATGGGCTAGTAGGGTGGGTGACTAAGCGAGGGTTTATTAGGAGAGAAATTTTTGGGAGGGGAAGAGAATTTTCTTTTGTGTACAAACAACAATGGTATTGAGGATGAGGATGAAGATGAGGATTTCTTTGTCTCTTTTTGGGGGATGAAGACTTGAGATTGGTGGTGTGATGATGGGATGAGGAAGGAGAGAAAGGTACTGAATGATATTATATTATATTATTTATGTATCATTCATATCTTTCCTCTTTCCTTCCTCCATTCTATCCATCTGCGCCAGATATCCCATCCATCCATTCATCCATCCCGGTTTGTATCTTCTCTTCTTTTCTCTCCCCTCCAATTTCCCCTCTGGTTCTCTCTTGCTTGCAAGAAGATCCGACCCGCACAATTCAAACAAACAAAACCACATATTGCCTACCTCCTGATCGTCTTCGTGGACTTGAGGTCACTTATTTTAAATATCGTTCGTGGGATATAGAACCAACGGCCTAGACAGCCAGTCCATTCCACCCTGTTGGCGTAGAATAGTGCGCTAGGAGGACTAATCGTGACAAACATTCTTGTTTTTATTTTATTTTTTGCTTTGGCTCTACTTCCTGAGGGGGACGGAGGGGTGGGAGGGAGGAAGTGGTAGATAGTGGATACAATACAATAAATTTTTTATCTCAATTTGAATTCTTCTTCATGATCAGTACTGTGATTGATTTGTCTTTGTGTGATGGCCTGATGTGTAGATGGTTCATTCTATTTGTCTTAAGTTTACAGATTCTGTAGGTTCAAGATTCGTGTGTGTTCAATGTATGTTCGAGAGTGCCTTCAATCAATATATTGTCGGCTTGAAAGTTTCAATTGATTTTCTACTTACTTTTTGCTTGGAAGGCAAGTGAGACAACACGGAACAGAGAACAGTCACCCTCAAGTCCCAACTTGTAACCTATGTTTTATTTCGAAACATATAATTCCTGCTGCCGATAGTGTGTATCACCGCGACAGATCTAACCCCCAAACGCCAGCCATTATGTTATGAATTGGTTGTACACCCATTATTCCTCTTTATCCATATCCTCATCCATATCTCCACCAGTGCCAAATAGATCATTCATGTCACCCGCACCCTCCTCATCGCCCTCAAGATTATCCTCCTCTGTACCAGCTATGATACCTTCCATACTCTCTCCAATTGGCCCCTCCTCTTCTTCTTCATCATCCTCCACCCATTCATCTTTCAAACCCCACGGCACACCCGTAAGAACAAATCTCTCAGCCGGCAATCTCACACCCCATTCATTCTGTAAAACTCTTGGCAGCGCAATTTTATTCCTCGCCTGTGCCGTCTCTAATAAAAACTCCTTGCTCAATCCACCACCATTGCCCGAACCAAATTGATACTGCAATCGGCTCTGAATAGCTAACTGCACCGCGTTTGCGCTAACCTGTCCATCCGCATCTCTGAATCCCCCACCGGGCGGCGCATCGCGCGCGCGCATCTGCTGTGATACGTAGGCATCGGAAGAGAGATGTAACGCGTCGGAGAGAATGGAAGAGGAGTGACGATATGCGAAATCGAGCAGTTGCAGCGGAACGCGTTCTTGGTATGCGGATACGCCGAGAGAGGAGAGAAGCATGTGGATGAGTCGTGCGTCGCGCGGTCGTTTCGATAGTCCGTTGTCTTGGAGGGAGGTGAGGGGGACGCTGGGGTTGGGCGCGGGCGATGAGCTTGCGGCGGCGGAGGCGGATGGTTGGGGTTGGGAGAGGGGCGCGGAGCTGGTTTGTGTTGGGGGTGATGGGGAGGGGTGCCCGTTTTGTCCGTTTGTTTGAGGCTGGGAGTCGCCGTTTATGTCGGCCATGATGGAGATGAGATGGGGTTTTTGCGCTCTAGATTATATGTTTTTGGAATGAATCTTTCTTTGATTGTGTCGCAAATGTGAGTTGATTGAATTGTTGGTCGCGTGAGGTTTTGTCGTTGAAATTAACTTGTAAGACGTATGCGACTCGAAGATTGTTTTATGTTGAGCATAGCAGTTGAATCCAAAGCTGTCGAACAATCTCGAATTCTGTGCTGTAAGATGAGTATATTTACACCTGGGAGCTCAAATATCTGTGACGCCAATGGGCAATGAATGCAGCTGCATAACCCCGATACAGCACAGACCGCACCTTAAATTTATTTTCGTGGTATCATTCACTCGATTGATTGCCCCTCCATTACATAACCAGTTATTTGTCGGATCGAACTTTTTCTTTCTGATTGTTGACTCACTTCTCTCCAAACTTCATTGGAATTCTCATTGAATTTCAAGACATTGCTATCGTTATTCAATATGGATACTACAACTTCACTTCCTTTTCTTCCTAGTGTTGACCTTGGGAATGGTCCTGCAGAATCAAAAGTAGGACTTACAAGAGACCAACTATCTTATCTGGGGTGCGTTTACTTCACAGCGAACAATGACACCATCGATATTCTCCTTGGATTCTTGCAGAGACACGTTGGCATTGAGACTTATGTCGATGTATCTACCATTGAATCTACAGACGACATTGTTACGATTCTAGATGCTGGAGCTCGTACAGTATTTGTGAAGCCATCACAGCTCCCATACTTGGAAAAGCACACAGATCGAGTTCTTCCAATCATTCCACAACCGCAGACAGATGTCGAATTTCCCAATGGAGGACTACTTGCTTTTGTGGACGAAGCCTATACTCGATCTCTGCTGGAAGAATTCAAGACCAAGAAAGTGTCTCCGATCTTCCTTCTGCCAACCCCCGAAAGCGATTTCGAATTACTTGCTAAAGTTGCCAAAGAATTCTCTGCCATTCCTATCATACCCGCGACACACCTTAGCATCGAAGCGGCTGGAGAAGGTCAAGTTTCTCTTCCAAAATTGGTTGCGGATTCATGGACTTCAGATAGAGCAGACAAATTGATTCCTACTGTGGTTACAGATGAGAGAGGAGTAGCTTTGGGACTTGTATACAGCAGCGAGGAGAGCTTGAAGGAGTCATTGAAAACCGGAACTGGAGTATACCAAAGCAGGAAGCGTGGATTGTGGTACAAGGGGGCAACATCTGGAGATACACAAAAACTCATCAGAGTGTCTTTGGATTGCGATCAGGACTGCTTGAAATTTGTGGTCAAGCAACAAGGACGAGGATTTTGCCACCTACCACAATCGACTTGTTTCGGTGAATATAAGGGAATCTCCAAGCTTGAGAAGACTCTTGTTTCAAGGAAGGCTTCGGCACCTGAGGGATCCTATACCGCGCGTCTCTTCTCGGATGAAAAGTTATTGCGTGCCAAAATTATGGAAGAGGCAGAGGAACTTTGTGATGCCAAGGAAAAGAAAGATATTGCTTTCGAGGCAGCAGATCTCATCTACTTTGCTTTGACAAAGGCAGTTTCTGCCGGAGTTAGCCTTGCAGACATTGAACGTAACCTTGATGCCAAGAGCGTAAAGGTTAAGCGAAGACAAGGAGATGCTAAGGGGCAGTGGGCCGCAAAAGAAGGAATCACCAATGCATCCACAGCCAAGACCGAAAGCGTCAAGGAGGCCGTCAAGGAAGCTGCCTCCGTGCCAAAGTCTGCGGACGATAAGGCAGGACTCAAAAATGGACGCATCACTATGAAACGATACAATGCTGCAACAACATCAGAAACAGATCTTAAGGATATTTTGCAAAGACCCTCACAAAAGTCTACTGACATGATTATGGGCATTGTGAACCCCATTATCAAGGATGTACGAGAGGGAGGTGACAAGGCATTGCTTGGATACACCCACAAGTTCGAAAAGGCAACCTCACTTACTTCACCTGTTCTCAAAGCTCCTTTCCCACAATCACTCATGGACCTTCCAGCAGAGACTATCGAGGCTATTGACATTTCTTTTGAGAACATTCGTAAATTCCATGCAGCACAAAAAGAGGACCCATTACAGGTTGAGACAATGCCAGGTATTGTTTGCAGCAGATTCTCAAGACCCATTGAGCGTGTAGGACTGTACATTCCAGGAGGTACTGCTGTACTTCCAAGTACAGCTCTTATGCTGGGTGTCCCAGCGATGGTTGCTGGCTGTAAGAAGATCGTATTGGCATCGCCTCCTCGATCTGATGGTAGAATTACTCCTGAGATCGTCTATGTTGCCCACAAAGTTGGTGCTGAGAGTATTGTCTTGGCTGGTGGCGCCCAGGCTGTTGCTGCTATGGCATATGGTACTGAAAGTGTCACAAAGGTCGACAAAATTCTTGGTCCAGGTAATCAATTCGTTACTGCGGCAAAGATGTACGTTAGCAATGACACCAATGCTGGCGTAAGTATCGATATGCCAGCTGGTCCATCTGAGGTACTCGTCATTGCAGACAAGGAAGCGAACCCTGCATTTGTTGCATCGGACTTATTGTCCCAAGCAGAGCATGGAGTTGATAGTCAGGTCATTCTAATTGCTATCGATCTTTCTGAGAAGGAATTACAAGCCATTGAAGACGAACTTCACGCGCAAGCCATGGCTCTACCAAGAGTCGATATTGTTCGTGGTGCCATTGAGCACTCGATAACTCTTGTTGTCAAGGACATTGAGGAGGCAATGAGACTCAGCAATGAATATGCTCCAGAGCATCTCATATTGCAAGTCAAGGATGCTGCAGGTGTAGTAGAACTAGTTGAAAACGCCGGTAGTGTTTTCATCGGCGAATGGACACCAGAGAGTGTTGGTGATTATTCTGCTGGTGTCAACCACTCTTTACGTAAGTTTATAACTCACATAATTGCGTGACTGTGCTAATAACTGAAATAGCTACATATGGATTTGCTAAGCAATACTCTGGTGTCAACCTTGGGTCATACCTGAAGCACATCACTAGTTCACAACTAACAGCTCAGGGTTTGAGAAATGTTGGTGGTGCTGTGATGCAATTAGCGAAGGTCGAAGAATTGGAAGCTCACAGAAGAGCTGTTGGATTAAGGCTGAAGTATATGGATGAAAACAATCTATGATGATTTGTATTTAGCGGGTGAATGAATTTAAAATTTCTTATTGCGTTCTCGCTTTGCTGGCTAAGTTACTAATAATACAACTCGCGCGAGCAATTCAATACCGTACATGATTTTTGCTACGGTAATTCACTACTTTAAATATTCTTCCACTATCTATCTATTCCTTTTGAAAACTCACAGCAACACATATTCATTCTGATAACTCAAACCCCACATCATAACAAACATCAACTCAACATCAAAATGGTTCAGAAACGCACTATTGAGGTTGTAATACCACAAATGTCGAGTCAAAGCATTAATCCAACAACAAAATCAAAGGAAGTTGCATCAAAGACCACCTCAGTAACTTCTTTGGCCGCGATTGACGAACAGGAAGATTTATGTAGTCCTAGTCCTCCACGTCGTACGGATGGCGAATTACAGAGCAAATTGAATAATTGCACAATGTCTTCGATGTCTAGCTTGCTGGGACATTTCTTTTCCGGGGCTAGAGAAGAGATAAAGGAGACGGAAGATGCAGAGGTTGTCCATGGCGCCAATCCTCCACATCGCACGAACGATCAGTTATTGAACTGTGGCGGAGATAATCATCAATCATCAGCAACTTCGAGCGAGAGAAGAGAAGAGGAGATAAAACGAGAGATTGACCATGCATATGGGACTAATCTTCCACGTCAAGCAGGCGTCCAAGTGAGATTCGAGCTGGATAATCACGAGGCCTCGACACCCTCGTTCGCTTCCAATCGAACGACTCCGCAATTAACTCCCACTTCTTCAATAGTCGATGAGGTGGAAGGAAATCTCATCGATCTCTACAATGATAATGATCATGATACCCCTCTCCGCCATACGGGCGAGGAATTCCTCTCTGACGAATTCGAATTCGAACCCCATCCTCATCCTCATCCACAACCACATCCCGCACCCAAATCCTTCACCATCGAACAACATCCCCACACGCAGACAAAAAGCCCTACCACATCTCAGCAAAACCATCGTGCGCCCGCAAACATCACATCCACCTCTCCACGCGCAATCCCCAAGCACGAAATCTTCCTCCATACTCTCCCATCAAGACATGCATCGGTCCCCCAAATCCGCATCTGGATCGCAAGCTGGTTTTCCGGGCGGGACATCGCGTTTGCCGTCCCGTGGGAGGGCGAAGATATCGGGTTGCAGCGATATATCGATTGTGTTTCCTGGAGCGGAGATGAGATACACAATGGTGGTTATGGCAGTTTGGAGAATGATCTGAGAGGATGGATGTTAGGTGGGTATGCGAGACCGATTGTGAGGGATATTGAGAGGGCGAGGAATATGGAACGGGAGAGGAAGTGGGAGGTGGCTGTGGGGAGGTTTGCGGATTTTCTTTATGGTGCGGTGGTCATGGGGGTGGTGGGACTGGTTTTGATGGTTTTGGTGCCTTGTCCTTGTCGGAGGTATTGATTCTTTTTTTGTCGTCATGGACGTATGGAATCCATAGTCCGGAACTCGTGCATTTTAGAATCTGCTTGAGATCTCAGTTGTTGAGCGATACCAATATTGCGACTATTAAGGGGTCTCGAGCGGGTGTATCTAAAGAGAATAATAGACAAGAATTTCTATAAATTGAGTTTATGCTTCATAAGTGTATTGTACTGGTCATCCATTCAAAAAGAGACAACGATTTTGCAGAAGTGTCAAACTGGGTAATGTATTTAGTCGAACTATATACATATTTGAAAATATGCTTGATAGATAAACTCGCCATCTTATTCAGAGACCGAAAGAAAGAAAAGGTTTTTAGAAACGCCTCATGATGCCAACAATTATCTACACAGGCCGTGGAAAAAAAGTATTGTATTGTGTCGTCAATCATAACCAAACGAATCTTTTTAGCCAGCTTGTTACAGGTAGCAAATCATTAAACCCCACTCGAGCCCTATTAAAGCCCTGAGATATCGCAATTTAAAAAGACAGGTGGGAAAGCAAAGATACCCGCTAAACGCCATCCAGCCCTAGATATAACAGTACATGAAAACTGTGCTACTGTTTATTAAATATATTCGCAGTCTACGAATAGAACTGGCTCTTTTGAAAACTTTCCACTCCAATATCCCCTGCCTTTCCCGCTACTGCAGGAGGAGCCGCTAATACCTTTACTTGATTAGCATTGCCGATACTTGAACTAGTCATAGTACTAGTTCGACTCCCACTTTGACTTGCACTCTTGATTTCGGCGATAGGTTGACCGGGTCGCCTTGCTACTTCCAGGTATACACCAGGAAGGTATCCCATGCGACCATCGCGAGCACGACATCGCCACCATTCTGATGGATTGCCCATGGGATCACTCTTGCTAATCACTGCCACTAAATCTCCTTTCTTGACTTCCAGATCTACACCTTGGACTGCTGCACCGGATTCGGGGGTAAAGTCGTATAAGACGCGGCAGAAATCGAGTTTTGAAGGGTCGAGTGGTGCGGGGACAGGCTGGCCATCAGGGCCCATTAGTTGACCTGATGCAAGTAATCGTTTTTGCTCCTCTTCTTGAGAAGCGGCGAGAGCTTTGATCATCTTACCCATGAGGTATGGGAGACCAAATGCAGCTGCTATGAAGAAAAGGAAGGGTTTTTTGGATGGACGAGGTGGAGAACTACCGTCTGGCAGTATTTTGCGGCCTTCGAAAGAGGCGAATGCGGAAGGTGTTAAGGAGGTGGCATCTACAGGCATGGGCCGACCTGTGATCTTTGCAAAGAGAGTGCGTATCCAGCGCATCATAGTAAATATTCCTAAGATGGATCCCAGATTATTGCGCAAGTTTCCGAACTGCTCAGCAACAGATACCATCGCTATAATTGTCAGTAGAGAACCTTTTAAGAACAGTTTCAAGGGAGTTCGCCTACCAAAAAAACTAGAATGTGTAGCCATGTATGTGCTCTCAAGCATTTGAGCAAATCCTCCAAATGCACCAACTACACTTTCAATTATCTGGAAAGTAGCTTGTGTGCTTTGCGTGAAGCCTTGCGTTAAGCTATTGGGATCATTCGGTCCCATCCCTCCCATATTTCCATACATCCCGCCCATCCCTCCACCATACATAGATCCATAACCTCCCATACCGCCATAACCATAACCTCCCATGCCCCCCATTCCTCCCATTCTTGAATAGGGTGATGAATAAGATCCCATACCTCCCATACCTCCCATACCATATGGCGAAGCTCCTACTGCTCCCATCCTATTTGCGCCGTATGGTGAGTATGCGGATGCGTTCTGATTAACGGTGTTCGTAAGAGTAGATGGTCGTTCGGGTATGGCTGGTGCGCCCGAGGTACTAGCAGATGTAGATGATAAGACTGAGGGTCCAGCAGAACTACCCGAGGTAGCAGCAGTAGTTGAGGTCATGGCTACGCGAAGAAGATCAAACGTTAGCAGGGATAATAGGAGAGACAAATGTTATCTTATAAACACTAACCAGGGCTTGGAAGTGCAGTGCTAACTGCAGCGCCACCTCTTTCCCAAGGTTTCGGCGGTGAAGCCATGATAAATTACTCGACCCAAACAATATTGTCCAGACTGCACCGATGTACCTATACCGATGGTGAAGGTCTTATAGCAGTGAAAGAGATGAGTTTTGGTCGCAAAGTTGACGGATTTGATAGATGAGATTAAGTGATTTCTAATGAGATCCAAGCTCGTGATGGCCGATGAATAAAGAAGGCTAAGCCTGTGACAGTAGAAATTTGCGGGGGGGCTGCTTGGATTGGATTGGCTAGAAGTATTTGTTTGGTATGTTGTGATTGAACGCGGATTGGGAAGTGAAATTAGAATGAACAAATTGATAATTGATTACAACTCCACAAAGGGCGATTTTTGCAGAATTATTATACAGTCAAGGTAAAAAGGAATAGATTTGGATGAAGGAAGGAAGAGTTGAGAATTATGTTGATTGATTGTTCGAATTCCATATGGAGGTTGGGAATGAAATTCATCAAAAAGACGCCCGACGCTCATGCCCGAAATTCGCTTCTGAGCTAATGAAAGACCTCGGTATTTCGGTCAATGGAGTTTGAGTCAGTCTATCTATCCACTTACATACTAGCTACGAGCCTACCCAGACCCTTTTATATCTTTCCATTGCCTAGGTACGCTCGAGATGGATATGGCTGACACATGATATTACCAAAATATTGTAGGTAGGTGATGACATTTACAAAGTACAACCTGGGTGCTGGTACATATCACGTTCACGTTGTCTACAAGTAACGAGATATCTGGGTAAAATTGATAGAATTTAAATAATATCAATCGAATTCACATCTGCCAACTTTCAAATTCTTCCTCCTAAGCTAATAAGTCTCTGAAGACTTTATAAGCTATTGAGTCTTCGAAGACTTTACTTCAATTCAGCAAAGGCTGGACTCTCTGCGATGAACTCCTTCCATGTGGTCAATTTGTCCACCAAGATCTAGATGGGATATTAGTATAAGGATCCAGAAAAGTTCCCTTCAAAAAAAACTTACAGAATGGCTTTCATCCAAAGAATCACCTCCATAATATCCAAACTCGTTCAACAATCTCATATTCTGCAACAATTCCTCTTGAGCGTCGTCACTCATACCAAAGCTCTTGAGAATGTTCTTGTAGACCTCATGGGGAAGTTCAACATTGTCGGCTCCTTCGCTAGCGGCAGGATACTGTTCCGTGAACTCCTTCAAAATCTCGGTCAAAGTGTAATACTTGGTGGCACCGTAAATACGCTTTCCAAGAACCTTCTCTCTATTGAGAAGGATACCTTTGACGAATTTACCAGTGTCCTCAGCTGTAACATATTAGTAAGTAATTCTTACAAATTCGGATAGCAGCAGTACTCACCAGCAGCAAGAAGTGGGACAGAAGCTGAAGCTGGAATTGGGAAAGCAAGCTTCCATTTGTTGTCAGGTGGTAATTTTTGCAACATTTGGCCAGGAATATTGGACATGTAAAATCCGGCCAAATAGAAAGTCGCTGGGATCCCGATCTTTCTGACATATTCCTCGATATGGGCCTTGGAGTCAAAATGTGTGACCTTGGGAAGGGCTCCTTTAGAGACTGTGAGAAACTGGTTAGTTTGAAGTCCTCGTTACAGGTTGGAGCAACGAAAGTCATATGAGAGCTTTGAAATGCCCAAATAAGATGAACGGGGTAGGATATTAGATTTCTTGAGACACATAAAACCATCAAAGTACAAACAAGATAGTAATGAAAACATGGCATTTGAGCTGTAGAAGGAAAGAGTGGCGGGTGGAAAGACTTACGCTCCGTAATGTCCAACAAAGAACTCCAAATGAAGTGTTGAACACCAGCTTCCTATGGTAAAATTAGACTTGAATTCTCTCACTCAATGTGTTCAATCGCCAAAGATCTCATACCTTTGCAGCATCTGCAATTGCGATTCCTTGCTTCTTCTCTACGTCGGCACTTTGGCTCTCCCAAAAGTTGGTAACGGCAAAGACAGCATATGCTCCCTTCAATGCAGCTTTGAGAGACTTGGCATCATTCAAGTCTGCCTATAGATATTTGTCAATTCTGAACAAAGCAATGTAGAAGCTATTATGGAACTTACGGCAAATGTCTCAGCACCGAGAGCCTCGATCTTCTTTGCAGCAGGCTTTGTTACATCTCTGGTGATGCCTCGAACTGTCCAGCTCTCCTTCAATTTAGGATCAGAGAGAATGCTTTGAACAACTGAGCCACCTTGTGCTCCTGTAGCTCCGAAGACGACGATCAATTTCTTATCACTGGAAGACATATTGATTGTTGGGTTTAATTTTGTTGATTGGGGAAATTTGATGGTGTTGTGGTTGTTGAAAGAGGGGTAAAAGTAGTGGCACAAAGGCTGCAAGTAAGATTCTAAGAGGTGAAGAGCGTTTGAGTCAAGAGATATCTGAATCTGGAAATGGAATGTAGCCTTCCGTTCCTTCTTACCTCGAAGTACTTATAAGGAAATTCGAGCATACCTTTACTCAAAATTGTGCTGCTCTCATAAGCTCGCTCTTCGGTTTCGATTTCGACTGCGGGTAATGACGAATGTGAATGAGCTACATGTCACCCCGCAAATGGCTTACCAAAATCTTAGCTACCTACCTAGTGTTGATGGAGTTGCCCTTTCGAAGCTCTCGATAATTCCGAGCCGAGAGGGATGAAATGGCAAAAAGCTGCATTCTAAAGTCAACGTTGGTGTTGTTTCAACGTTACCAATCCGTCTGAGAATTTCGCCCTTTCGCGTTTATCTGGAGAGAAAGAAGTGTGTGTGGATTAGGTAAGGTTAACGTCGATAAAATGCCTCAATATTAATTGATTATCAAGCTTCAGATGTGCCAAGCGTTTAATTGTAATTTATTCTTCTTCATCAGCATTAAACTTTTCTTCTCAATCATGTCCCCCATTTTACCAATACGACCTCCTTACAACTCAAGAAAAAAGGATATCTATCGGCGATGCCATGCAAATGCGTTGGTTGTGTTGCCCCCATCGACCCTCACCAATCCCTCTCAAGAGATTGAATAAGGATAATGCGTCGACGAATGGAAGCAATCTAGAAAAGCAGCACAACGCCGTATGTGGGATTTGTCTTACCTTGCCACGCTCGGCTTTCTCCAAATTCCATTGACAGCTGCTTGTCAATTGTGTTACTCCGTTGGTGCCAAAGCTAACCATGCGATGGACCAACGACGCTATTCTTGCAAACCTACCTCATTGATTTCTTGTGATTCCTCGTGTGTACAGTATCTTATTTAATCACTCAGATACATCGGACTTGCCTTAGAATCCGCCTTACCTTTTTAGAAGCAAGTGCTTGTGTTCCTAATGTAAGAGCATCAGCATTATCACCAATCTGGGGCAGTACGTTAGGGTAGCAAGCGCTTAAAATGCACCAATGAACTCGTCCATGTAGTAACATTCAAGCATCGAATTTTTCAGAACCAAACTGTCGGATTTCTTCCCCACCATCTTCAATAATTCTTTGGCCAGCAGTGTGTCTCATGGTGCGATTAAAGTTGAGTACAAGCACAATAATTATAGATATGCCCGGATTGAGGGTCCTGTCGCCCCTAGCGATGAACGCTGTAAGGGGGCCAAAGATTGTCAAAATCTATTGGATATACACACTGCGAACTCAAACACTACCCTGTATTTTCGCGGGTCCGCGTCTAACAACCATGCGTTTATGTGATGATGGTGCAAGTTTCCTATTGAGTCTTGGGGTCGATTCGACGAGGAAGAGCTTCATAAAAGAAGTTGTTCCCGTGTTCGTCGCACAAAGCTTTTCCTATCCTATAGCTTACTTTCATTCTATAATATTATCGTCGGCAGACATTTTATAGAGAGCTACCTGCAACTCGGTTTCTATAAGCGAAATAAACTACTCAAATCGTAGGGGGACTAAAGCAATTATGACAACTGGAAATGCTCTTCCTGGATCTCCTAATTTACCAACGGCACCATGGGTTCAACAGTCAGGTAGAGCTGGTACACCAACCAGTGTTTATTCAAATACCAACTCCCCCGTATTAGGAGCCCCATCTTCTCCGACAGCAACGCCATCTTCCAGTCCGCAAGTCGGTACACCCTCTAGGAGCACTAGCCCGACAATCTCTCCCATTTCATCAAATAGTTCCTCACATTCCAGCCTCCCTAGCTCTCAAAACCAAACAATACCACCTAAAACTCCAAATTCCGTTCTTTCGAAATGGGGAATTGGATGGGAGACGCCAACGATAATCATATCGTGTTATCTACTCGGTATGCTTCTCTGTAGAATCAGATGTTTCGTATTCTGACCATTCTCATCTGTAGCTCTCGCAACCGCCCTCCTTCACTTGTTTTTATTCATCTACATCTCAGGTAAAGCAGCCGACGGAGAAGACAGAGTTGCTCCTCAGACGTATATCTCCACGGCGTCTAACATTCTAGCCAATGCTTTCTCATTTTTTCTCAAGACGGCCTTAGCCACATCTTTTGTTCAGTATCTATGGCGTCTTCTGCGCGTTCAAAGCATGAAGATCTCCACGATCGATACTCTTTTCGGACTAAAGTCCAACCCTTTTCAGATATGTACAGGGGCTGCTATTCGTGCTGCTCCTGTTCTGTCTGTGTTGTCTATAATGATGGCTAGTATGACGGTCGCAGTCAGTTTCCCCCCTGGTGCTATCAATGTTGTTACAGTGCAAAGGACATCGTATAATTCGGTAGTGGTACCAACATTCAATGCATCGTTTGTGAGTTTTCGACGAGACCCGAATACCCATTGAAAATCTTCGGCTAATCACGATCTAATAGATGGGGAATGGTTCTGGCTTAGCCGCTAACCAATATGCTTTGGCTGTGTTATCACCGATATCTGAGAGTGCGGATGGATCTGTATCTGGATTTACTTCTAGGTAAGACATTCTCGAACTCTGCTTTAGTAATCAATCTCTAAAAGTGCTTTCTAGCGGTCTATTGACAGGAAAACACTCCAATTTGCTTCCTCGCCTCGCTTTCCAAACAATGATCACAGGACAAGCATTCGATCAACCTTCACCCTGTGGCGTTAACTGTTCCTTTGTGATAGAATTTGAGGGCCCAACGCTCGACTGCAACTCATCCAGCACCAATATCACATCTAGTATCACTGCCAATTCGACGACCTTATTTCCAGAATTTACGATCTACTCAGGAAACTGGTCTGATCTCACACTTGCTACGTCTGCACTTCGACAAGTACTTTACAACGGAACCTATACGAATGCACATTGGCAAAGCAGCACATTATCCCTGTTAGATACAGAAGTAAACACCGTTGATGCTAATTTCATCAATGAAACCTCGACCTTAAACACATCCATGATACAAGACAATCTTTACTGTACCCCTGGCCGCGCACTCTACACCGTAAACAACACCTACATCTCCAATATTCTCACACGCAACGTCACCACCACCTTTATTTCGCCGCTAACAAATCTCGTACTGCACACCCATGACAATTCCGTCATCGTGCCCGGCTTCACCAACGTCTCTGGAATTGTTAGCGGATACGACTTTGGCAGCAACCCAGCAAATTGGAGCGCTGAAGCTCTGGCCTATTATCGCGATTTGAATATGATGACAATTTTGGACACTATGTTTTACTACCTCGCTGGGGAATTTACAGCGTTGCCGGCTGTTCTCCTAGATACTAATGAGGAAAGGGCGGTAGATGCTATTGATGCCACGGGATGGGGGGAAGATTCGCCAGGTTTTGGGAATGCTGATGATTGGAGTTCTGGAGGTATGTTTTCAGCCCAATGATTAATCCTTATCCTCTCCTGATCCCAACCCCAAACTTCAACACTGACCAATGCCTCCCCAGCTCTCAACGGCACAATCATCTCTCGCACTCCTCTAAATACAGCTTTTACACACTACACGACCAACTCCTCCGCAAACCCCTCCTTCGTCATCACACAAAACGCACTCAACGCTCTCCTTCAAAACATCACCCTCAGCGCCTCCCTCTCTTACTCCCTCTGGTCCACCCCCACCAACACCAGCATGCTCATTCTCCACAACATCTATTCCTTCTCGCAACCCCTCAATCTCCTCCTCCCTTACTTCCTCTCCCTTCTTCTCTCCATCCCATTCCTCATTCTCGGTCTCTGGGCCCTCGTTCAAAACGGCGTCGCAGCCCAAGACGCAAACTTCACACAACTTCTCTGCACCACTTCATCCCTCTCCGCACCAGCCCCGACACCCGGATTATCAAGCAGAATCTCCAGCATGGCTATCCCATCGCAGCTTCGAACTCTTACCCAAGCGGCCTGTCTGGGAAACACAGAATCACTATCGAAACCTCTCAAGGAGTTGCGCATTCGTTATGGCGAGCTGAAGAATCCGAATGGAAATCCAGGGGTGGGAAATAGCATTCCGATGGTGGATATTAGGAGAGCGGGCTTTGGGCTTGAGAGCGAGGTGGAGCCGTTGGTGAAGGGAAGGGATTATGGTGTTATGGTTTAATGTTTCTTTCGCTTTTTATCAGGAGGGGGTTGGATGGATGGACTGTATATGATATGATGTAAAATGCAGTAGATGCATTTGGAATTAGAATTCCCCCAGTAGAAATTAATTAGATAATCAGGATCTGGAATTCAGACTCTGGAGTCTAAACTCTAGACCACTTCACGAATCAGAAATTCACGAACGAACAAAATATAGAGAAGACGGCAGAGAGAAAATACCGTTCTTCCTGGAATATTGTATATACTCAAGAAATAAATTACATAAACTCTCAATAACATCTCATCAATCTAATCATGTCTAGTCTACCTAGTCTACCTAGTCTACTACTTGAACCCAAATGCAAGAGTGAAAAAGATCCAATCTCATCCCATCCTAAAACTTTACAACATCCTTCATCAAGTTTTATAAACTGCCGCTGCACCGTTCTAGGTATGAACTCCAGGTTTTCATATAGCGATTCACGAACTCTATTGAGCCAGAGTTTTACAGCTGTGAGTAATCAGTGCACTCCTTCTAACGGCTAGACAGAATGCAGGTAGATAGCTATGACGTCACAGAATCATTGTCAGGCACCCAATGAACTCACAACAACCCGAATAATTGATCATGCTAACCGAAGCATGCTAACCAACCCAACAATGACCCCCCTTCAATCTTGAGCCCTTCAACATCTATTCCCAATCAACAATCTCCACTCCACCAAACCCATCCGATCAACCCCCCTCAGCATGGCATCCTTAAACGACCAACTCAAAAGCCGCTCCGAATTCCACACATTACACAAGAACGCAGTAGACGCCGAGCTGGCGCAAACAGACTCCAACGACTCCACTCCATTCTGGCAGCAAGCCCGGCTCCTCACTCGAAACATAGCAAGCCGCTACACACAAACGAGACGTACACATCCTATCGAGCTTCACGAGTACGATCTCCGCGAGCCATGGTATCTGTGCGTCCAAGGCGCTAAACTCACAGCTGCGGAACACCCTGCGCAAGATAGATTGGTGAGTCAAGTGCTGCATACGAGGGAAGTGGGTGTTCTTTCTCGGAGGAGTGGAGATGCAAAGGGAGAGGAGAGGAAAGATGCTCATGAGATCGAGATGGAAAGAGCATCTACATCTGATGGAAACATCTGGAGCGATCTTCCATTCCTCGTCGAAGAAATCCAAGCAGCATGGACTCTCTCCCCAAGTGTCCCTACCTTTCAGCGCCACGATCTAAGTGCATTCATCGCCTGACTTGCCTCTGCATTCAAAATCAGGATTTTGAATCCGGGGTTTCAGAAACGGGGGAATTGGCTCAAAAGGCACGGATTATGCCGAATTCGGGATTTAGTGTAGCGAGGTGGATATTTTGGAGAGATAGGCTTGAAGAGGCTAGTCATTGTGGGAATGAAGAGGTTGCACCGCTGGCATTGAAAATATAGAAAACGATAAAGTTCTGAGGTGAAAGAATTGAGTCTCGAGATGGCACGAAGTAGGATATGGAGTGGTATTATAAGAGGACGTAGTGAAATACGGTAGGATATGATATCAAGGCTCTAGGTCTACTTGAATCCATGTACATGGGATATTGAAAGGCGGAATGGGAATTCATGAGAAAAGTTATCTGGGTTGTTTTGAGTGATGGTCCACGAGATATGATGTTGGTCCGAAGTACGCGGCGCAAGACTTACTTTTGGTGACTCGGAAGGGAATATTATATTCGGCGAAGATCTTGCAAGGAGAATGTCGTAACCATTTCTCAGTCTCGTTCTCTATCTCTTACGCAATCGCATTGTACACTTCTCTGCGATTTCTTTTCCCTACTCGATTACTTTCCTGATTTTGAATAAACACTTTTCATTAGGTTAAGTACTACCACTATAAAACAAGAGTTTAGTTCGCCATGTTTTTTTCTATCCTATAATAAATTGACGTATAACTTCTACATTTAGTGGTTTTGTTAAAAATGACTAGAATATTATAGTTAAAAATAGAATCTAAATCCTAATAAGCTCTTAATGAAAATCATCATCTAATTTAGATGATATAGACGTTGACTTGAAGTCTTATAGTTAAACTCTCCTAGTTAAACTATACTATTTACCTGAACCATCTAGTCAATTGATGTTAAATAAGTAAAGACAAAGAAGTAGGTATGTGTGACTCAAGCTTATATCTTACATCACAATTTAGTCAAGGTATCGCTTCAGATACTACATTTATCACAGGAATTTTGCAATCGTCTGAGAAAAGGTTATTTTTATCATGACACATACGCCAGTGTTACTGGAAAGACATCATGCAATAGAACTATCCTACTGATGTCAAAGGTTCTCATTGGTGCGTCAACATACACAAGAATGGAAGGGTATTTTATGAACAGAATTATCGCCTGCTTCCTAACACCGGTTTAAAGACTTTTTTTTCGTTTCCTCCGCAGAATTTTCCTCGTAACCAATCGAAAATTCCAGATCTAGTTTAAGATTAGGAGATGGCAAATTCAGAGAGTTGACCTCCACTACTTGTGCCACAGATGCTTTGAATTTCGTCTGTTGTCAGACTTGTTGGAAATTCGTAGCTCGTCGGAAGAACCTGTATTTGTATACTTGAAGTGGCAGAACTGAATACGACGGCAAGTTTCATTGTGCTGGAAGTCGGCCGAACAAAATAGTCCGAATCTCCTCCCGGTTTGTTCGTGTGAAGTGTGGACTTCAGGAATGTCGAACCACTATTCAGTGCTTCTGCAATATCAAACTCACCGCAACCAGACTCCCAACATGAACAACTTGGATTCCCATATTGAATTGTTCGAGGAATCTGAGCGTTAAGAATCCAAACCGAAGGCATGTCGCCATTGAATCCAGTTCTTCCATCTATCGGCATGCTAAACTCTAAGAGGAACACTTTGTTCGCTCCATTGAAGCCATCTACGGGTGTGTCAGTGACGAATAACCCTCATATATAACACAGTAACTCACGGTAAGCAACGGATCCAGGTCGCACATAGCCGCAATCGTTGTTGCATTCTTCGTCAAGCATCACGACGATCTCTTCATTTGATGGCAAGGTGGCATCAGCGAGAACTTGAGGTGATGATGCACCGCCCGTGCCACTGCTATTCACGAAAGAAAGTGAAGCACCATAAGCTTCATCAAATACGCCTGAGCCTTGACCACCACTAACGAAGAAAGGCTTAGTTAGTCAATGATCCTAGGTATTGATACGCGAAGCGAGAAAACATCAAAAGAGAATTGTCCACTTGTTGTACTGTAGAAGTGCACATTGTACAGCTGGGGAAAATGACCATACTTACTAGTTTCCAAGAAATACTAGATTATCAAGAGTCTGCTCTGCAGAATTATAATAACCTATTCTGCTATAGGATCCAGATGCTATAGCTGTGGCTGTGGCTGAGCTGGTTGTGCTTGCAGATACTTGAGACTCCGAGGCAGATGTAGTTGAAGATGCTTGGGGTTGAGAAGCAGATGCATGTGTGGATGCCTGGGACTGAGACAACGCTATGCTGGTAGATGGTATGATCGAGGTAGCTAAGTATGAATGTCAGCCACACCATCAATTCGACGAGGGGAAATCAATTTCGTACAAGTCTCCTGGGCCTCTTCGCTTGTAGCTGCGCCTTGAGATACACTTTGAGGTACGGTAGTAGAAGTTTGGGATGCCATTGTCGTGGTACTTGATCCAAACCAATTGTTGATCCATGTTTGTATTTCACCATTTATTGTAGCAGTAACCGTCTTCGCACCACCATTAAAAGCATCAAGGTCTGGGGTGGGATAATTATCATCCCATGAGACAAGTTGTCCATCAATAGTAGCATGAATTTTATCACGCTTCTGATTGACCCCCCTAGCATGTTTATCAATATGCTGAAGATGGCGACGGCGTCTAGCGGTTGATCCCTCACGTTTCTTCTTGCTAGCAGTAGTGCCCGGTGTGTATGCTGCGAACTGCTTCAACTGAAGAGGCCCTGAAAGCATTGTTAGATTGCATTGAGAGCTAGACTGTGGTTATTTGCAATTACCCCGAAAGTGAAATGAGACTTCTTCGTCTAATGGAGAAAGCGGGCCAGAAAACGACTTGGGTGTAGAAGAACAAATTCCATCCGCGGACATATCGGTAACTTGATTGTAAGTTCCTGGTGCGCCGACATTGCTGTACAAGATAGCATCCACGGGATTACAGAACCAATTTCCAGAGACCTCGGAGCAGCCACTGACAATGGATACTGCTAAAGATAAAATGTAGACCGTGGCCAAAATGTTACTGCGCATGATTGATCTTGGGAAGTAAAATATAAGGTTCATTTGTTGTCCTTCGCATAAGAGAAACGGATAGTAAGTAATTCTTGCGGGTCGTGAGACAGATTTGAGTCTTTATCTGAGAGGTAGTATCTGGGTTAAGGTATTGCAGTTTGTGTCATGAAGAGGGCTGAGAAGTTTGCGACGACGTAAAGATATGTTATTGAGGAGATTGTGCGATGTGAGTTTCTTGGTATGACTGTAATTTATCCCTCTTGATTGGATCGTAACGTTCGTGAATGGTGAAATAGAATGAATCAGTGGATGAGTGAATGAATGTTGGGAATGGATAATATGAATCGCTGCAGACAAATAATCATGTAAGTCGTAAGAAGAAAGGTACCAAAAAAGAGCGACTGTAGTTAATATGTAGGTGAACCAGAAGAGGTTGAAAGCGAAATGAAGGTAAATTGTGGCTGAAGTCAGATTGAAGTGAGAATGAAGTGAGAATCTGGAGTGAAGTCTGCGTCTGAATGAATAGTCGTGAATTGAGGTACCTTAGGTTAGATTTGAGAGAGAGAGAGAGAGAGAGAGAGAGAGAGACTCAGTTGAAGAAATTGATAAGATGAAAAAGGAAACAAACAGCGAAGTAGAAGGATCGTGAAGTGGACAAGACGATTCTATTTGACGGTAGTTTGTGTTATGATAAAGAGAGGAAGGAATAATAGAGTACGAACTGCCGACCTAGCTAGTGGTCATCTGTAGGAAGAATTAACTCTTTTAAAAAGGAAGGAAGAAAAGAGGGCTGAGGTGTAGTCACAATCGTATATGGTTGGGTAAGGCTGATAGAGAGGTTTGAAAAAAAAAAACTCTAAAAACCCCCAAATTTAATCGTCACCATCACATCAGCAACCTTGCTACATGTTCTCACCCTCGTATGGCCTTGCGGCTGTTGCTTCTTTCTGTTGCTGTCACAAGTGGTTGATATCACATCAAACTGTCAAAATTAGCCGCCATGGTAACTCAAAGCCGTTCGTACCTGCATATGCATAACCGAAAGTTAAAAACAGCCAATGATATCACAGGAAATCGATACATCAACGGTCATATAGAACATCAAACTGTTTGTACTCACCTACTAGGTAATTTGGGCACCTGCCTACCTGGTATGTATAACACGATGAATGGTTGGCTTGCTAGAATTTGGAACTACTTATATATGATAATATTTATCACTTGTCTATTTATCACTCATCGTTTGTACTCTTCTGCTCATCTACACTCATCCAACTTTGATGACTACCACACTTCCGATATAACGCTCTGATCTATGAATCAGGAATTTCTCACATTCGAAGATCAGTACTTGGATGTCTGTCTTGATTCTATCCCGCATCACTTATCAGATTTCACGGTGCGGTGATTACTAGGAGCGTCGTGGAGATTCTACTTTGGAAATTGACTTGCTCAGTTATTATCATCTCAGGCTCGAGTACCCCGACTTCTCTTGCTCTACAAAAAATAAAGATACTGACCTGAGAAACACAACAGACACATGATCTTCACTTACACAATAATAAACCTCGTGGACATTTTTGGCAGATTAATATTAAACAAAAAAGTTGGGAATCGAATTACTGATAATTTCAAAAAATGCATACATTATATATAAGTTGGTAAATGCAAAGTGTCCAATGGTATCCTGTCTCCTTACTCCATCCTGTGAAGATATATCTAATAACCTTTTCATTATAGTAACTACTACTTTGATTCAAGCCTTTGCACCAATCCGAGTCTTGCGAAGTCACTTGTGCTTCACCAATAGGTCATCCTACAGAAGTTGGTTTGAACAAAATTCGCCTTTCCAAATTACACTATATATCGAGGTTGAGTTTTTTTTTTCTTCGCAAGAGTTGACGCCCAGTCCTCCTCCACTTTACATAGTTCCGGCCATGACGACTGTCAAAGTAGCAGTGCTTTGTGAAATGTAACAACTGCCGTCGCTGTCACCGATTGGCTCAGTAGCAGTCAACCAGTAGTTTTGGGTTGGGTCACTGGTGCAAGCTGGTGCTTCCTCACTGGTGATGGTCATGTTATAATTGTTGCCAGCAGAGTTCATGATGGCGGACATATCATATCCGGAACCAGTCTTGAGAAATTGAGCCTCACCCCAGGTGGTGTCAAAGGCTCCTGAAGCTGCAGTTGAGCTACAGGCCTGGGCCCAAGCGACTTGAGAGTCCTCATCGAAGGCAACTTTTTGGGAACCACCAGATGGGATAGTGATGGTGAGTGTGGTGTTCTTTGGTGCAAGTGCAGATCCGGAAAGTGGTTGCATGTCAGGACCAACTTTGTTCCAGATGTTGACAGTGATTTTCTTGGATTGGGTGTTGACGAAGTTAACAGTGTAGGAGTAACTTGCTGAGGAGTCGGCCTTGATGACGTTGGATCCATATGGACTACCGTAGTTTCCGTAGTAGTTATCGGTAGTTCCTCCAGCGGCGGCTACGACGGTACCGAAAGATGTTCGGCCGTTGGAAGCACCAACCAACTCGTCGAACAATTCCTCGATATCGTCGAGGAGAGAGGAAGAGGAAGAGGAGGTAGCGGTAGACTTGGCAGAGCTTGTTTTAGATGAGCTAGCGGCGGTGGTACTGGCAGCTACTGATGCAGAAGTGGTGTATGCGGCAATCTTGTTATCTGCGAGGTTGTCGACAACGGCGGCAGCCGAGCTAGAATCGGTAGACGCAGAAGCAGCGGCGGAAGTCTTGGAGGCTTGACCTGCTGCATAAGCGGATGACCAGTTGATGCCCATGTCGGCCCAGTCCAATGCCGTCCAATCTTCAACGACAGCACTATTGTCATCTGATTAGCGATCACTCTTAACATTCATCAGAGCGATATTCTTACGCCTTCTTCTCATGTTTGTGTCGGTGAACGTGAGTAGGTCCAGCTACGGCTTCGCCAATGGACATGGCAGCCAAAACAATCGCGGTGGTTGAGTAACGCATTTTCGGAGATAATGATAACTGTCAAGTATTCGCTGATGGGTATAATGCTTTAATTTAATGAGGTTGATCGTAAGAGGCCGTTGTTGTTAAAGAGTGTGCGAGCGATGTATTGCTCAGTTGGTTGGATTGACAAAGGAGTGTGTCGAACTGAATGAACGAGAGAACGGCGAGTTTCTTGAATACGGTGAAGAAGAGAAGGAGAGATACGAGAAGAGCAGGCTGGTTATTTAATAAAGGTCATCTTAAATTGGGACGATCATTTCCTGGGGGTGCCTGTGGGCAGTTGGGACTTCTTTGGCAACCCGGCCACGATTTAGGTCAGCCGAGTCATTGGAGGAAGCCCTGGAACATTTAGATTTTACTTCAAGCCATGAGGTGCAGGGGGGTTCGATTGAGATGAACCCAAGCAACGCCGGGGGATAGTGGTCCACTAAAAACGCGTTCCTGGGAGACTACTCCGAAGAAAAGGGGAAAACGACCAATAATTGGTCAGACGAATAAGGTTTCCACTATTTCTCGAATACGCTATTCCAGGGGTAAAATGCCACTGCATCCACACTTGTTTCTTTCTCACAGATCAACAATCAAAGTGTCAAGCACGGTAGGAGGTCTGTCCCAAATCAACTCAATTAACCATAGCTTACATGACACTTATCGCTTCATGAAGGCATCGTTTCATCTAATTGATTGGAATCACGGAGACCTTCTCTTTTCGGCAAATTTATTGAGAGATTAGACGTGTTCCCGTTGTTTTCCAAATTCCAATCGGCGCGCAATCAACCTACGTATTGTGGCATCGGTAACGCTTCAAGGACTGATTTTGGATAGGGCCGTACATGCTAAGAATGGATGCTATGAATCCGGGAGGATTCTAAGTTCTAACCTAATTGAAGAACAATCTTTAAATCCCATTCGATCCCGTTCGTTTTGGACACTAGAATCTTTGAGGAAATGATGGTTTGCGTGTCCACTGTCCACAGTCCAGACTCCTATCTTAAACTTTCCAAGGTTCATATCAAAGCATTTTGCCAAATCACAATTTGTGCAGGTGGCTGTGATCATCACCATGTGGTAATGCAATAACTATGCATGTGGTAATGAATCATCTCTTGCCCTATAGGGATGAAGCATTATGGCCCATAATACTATCTTTATGCAGAAGAGATTTTTTGTGCTCCAGAATGACAATGAAATGCCTCGAATGCGACGTCACGCTGATGAATGGGAGAACGTGGACCCAAAAAAACAAGGCCAAAGATCATGATCCATACGGAATTTTCAGCGCAGAAATTTCTCTTTTACATCAATAATACACCGAGAGTTTCAAAAAGCTGCAGCAGCATCCAGCAATGATTCGAGGCACAGAATTTTCGATGCTTACACAGCATAATCGACAGTCATCTCTACAGGCATCGAATGGTATCAGACGGAATCCTCCTTGAGCATTATCGTCCGACGGGGGTTGCTCCCTAAAGTCATATCCGGTGGTTCTCCCATTCTCAGCGATTGTCAACCACCGGCCAACGCACCGTGCTTTTGCCGATACCATACTTCCCAGGTAGGTAGGTACCAAGATACGGACAGGCAACGCAAGCACTTTCGTTTCTCCCAGAACTTCTTATTACAGTCTCTGCAAATCTGGAAATCATCTCAAATTTGACTGTCTCGAACTTCCAGATCTAGCTGCCAACCCCGCAGTGTATTGATTACGACAAGACAGAGAACCGAAAATATCTTCTTCACATAGGGATCTTTTGGTACAAGTGATTTTACAGAATCGAGCTGTGATGATTCTAGAATAGGAGAATGTGTAAATTTTTGGGTGATCGGATTCTCAATGACGCTATTAATAAATATATAATTTTCTGTGATATTCTTCAGCGTTTTGATGTATCTCTGTTTCTCAAGAGAAATGGGGAGAATTTTATCAATTTTTCTCATGCTTTTTCAATTCCATATCCATCCCGTCGCTCCCGGGGTTTCAGAAGCTCTTAGTTCTGAATGTTAGGACGATGGCGGTAGGTCCAAGTGCTGGAGCTCCTGAAACGGGACTCGAGAGAGCAAGTCGAAACGAGTTCGGGATGTAAATATGTAAACAAGTACGAAGTAAGTAGTAAACAAATTTTTTCCCTTGGGCCGTAAGTAGGTACTCAGAAGTCTCTTTTACAAGTTTTTTTGCTCTTACTTTTTTTCTTCTTGGTTGCATAGAGAGAGGTAGGGAGGGGGTCAGGGAGTAAATTCTTGGACTGGGTTTTTACAATCGAACCTAGATTCTAGATTCTGCATTTTTAAATGTATACTTATCTAAAATACTTATCTGAACACTGGCTAAATACACCGTGTCTATTCGACCGAGTAGCCTAAAAAGAATTTGCATCGAGCTCTTCTTCTCATTCGTAGAACCATTTTTATTTTGTAATCCTGGGCTCCATCTTATAACAGAGAACTAGATTCGGCAGCATGTAGAAGAAATCCATACACACATACATAGATACTAAAAAGACGGTCTAGAATAAACATGTGAAGTGGCATTTCGACGGCGTGTTTGATGTTTAATGGAGGTCCGGTGTGTAATTGGTACGAGGGATTAGTTAATGATATGGTATGGTAGCGTTGAATAGAGGTTTGGTTTATTGGCGGGATGGGATGAGGGTTGTTGATGGGGTGTTGGATGGGTGATGGATAATGGATACTGACATTGGTGTGCTGGAGGATTGTCGGATGTAGGTACCTGTCATGTAAGGCTTGGAGAGAGAGAGAGTTTGTGTTTGGAGTCTACTCGAGTATGTACTTGCACGAGTAGGTGCAGCGGTATTTTGCTGATTGGGCCGTTGGATTTCTCGTGTAGTTTCATAATATGTACTGGATCGGTGTGATGTATATCTTGCTGTACGAGTAATCTATCTGTAGATAACACTACATGCATTACAGTGGTAAAATATGAAAATGGTTAGCGATAGCTTCCAAGGTAGGAAGGCCTGGCAGGCAATGCAGATGTAAATGTCGACCATCAAAATCATGAGAATCATCGATCGAATCATCGAATCATCGAATTCACGCCGAACAGCCAACAGCCAATAAAAACGATAGAGGTTGACTTTACACTACGGAGGGTTTGATACGGAGATATAATGACCACGACTACGAGTATCCAATAACAAACCGAGCAAGTACCGGTGAGCCGGCGTAGCTAGCTAACTAATAACAAACTGGACTACGAATTTGTAAACGTAAGGCTGTGACGCAATCATAAGGTTAATTCCCTCCCAACTACAACTTACATTTCAACTTCTGAAGGGTAGAGTAGAAAAATAAGGTTGCGGTGTTTGTGAATGCAATGAACGGGTTGGTGATTTCTCGGCGCTTCGATCACGTATGCAGTACGGATGGAGGGTTTCTAGGATCGGGGGTTCGCTCGGTGAGTTTGTGTGTGTGTGTCTGTGGTTGTTAAAACTGGTTTTGATCGAGCTTGGGGTTGGGTGGGCATGGCCTTGAGATTTATAGGTGTTTGCTTGTTGGCTGTTGGTTTTATGGGGTTGGTGGTGAGGGTCATGATTGTGAAGGCTGTGGTGGTAGGGTATTTCTGTATGTTCCTCCAGACCTATGGTTGACCGGTGAGCCTCATGAGCCAGTATTCTCTTGACCATGTAGCGAGTCCTATTCGAGAGGGAGGATAACAGAAGTTGCAGATAAGTGTTGCAGATGCGTAAACAGATGTATTGTACTGGTGAATGGAATACTTCTACCATATACGATTGCGTTTTTGATGAGAATGTGTTCTTCGGAGGAAATGAGATAGCATCGATAAGAGAGAGGTCCATATCTGTATATATTATAAAACAGCTACATTTCGAGCATCCATTGAACTCGGTATAGTTTTCGCTAGTTAGGGGGTGACATGAGACGAGCTTTAACGGTATGGGATGATCAGACGGATGAGATTACTACGATCTATCGAGATAATATCACACGGATAGGATATAGTGGGATGAGTTTAGAGACTATCATTCCTTGTTTTCTATGAACGACGATACACGGCATCTGTACAGTTATATGTCATTTCAATTATCATACATGATATAGGTATGAAGAACTAGTATCGAGATCTATAGAACAGACTTATCCCATCCCGTTGTTTCGATTGGTAGGTTGAATTCATCTAATGCAGTACATTGTTGATGTAGTCTAGTACTGTCTGTTGAAATTCTACAATATAATTACATTATACATGTATGTGCTAATCTGAATCAGCTTTCTACTGCTCGTTTTTGCTCGTATGAAGGAGAAATACATCATGATTGAGCCCTTCCTGATTCATATCCATATCCATATCCGTATCTATAACCTCATTTCATATTCCTATTCCGTCCCAAATATTCAACCCAAGAACCCTCGTCTCATTTGTGTGAAAAGCATTAGATACAAAGAGGTATTCAATAGACTAGTTTATGTTACTCTACCCCCTAGGTTTCAATTTCGTCCACCCACTCGTTCCAGGTTTCTTGTCTTGGTCTTTATCTTTAGCCGCTTTGGCTCTAACATACCTTTCTCTTTCTCTCCTGTCCTTATCAGTAACATTCGCAAGACCAAATGGAAGCCTCTCAGCAATAACCGCATTGATACCAGTCCCCTCGCCAACCATTTCAACTGCATCCATCACTGTTCTCATACTCATAAAACTCTGCATTCCAGCCGTATAATCCCTCTCCTTGCTGGTATCGAGAGTCGCGTGCCCCTCGTTTCTAGCACCCACCACGACTCCATCGCTACGCATTTCGTCTTCTATTGCCCACGCATCTTGGCTCAAAAGTTCCCATTCTGCATTTGCTACTTCGCTCATGAGCTTATTCTTTAGTATGTCGGCCATTTGGTTTGGACGTGGAAGCTTGAAACCTCGTATGAACTCTGCACCTTCTGCGCTCCCTAGGAATGAGAATGCAGACCCATGACTGGCCCATCCGATAGATGAGCGCCCAGGTTTGTGAGTGTTCTTGTCTTCACTTTCCACGTAGCCCTTGGAATCGAGGGTTTTGGGTGGAACAGGGCTGGGAGATTCGGAGCGTGGTTTTGGCGGGAGACGAGGTTTGTCGCCTATGAGCAGTTTCCATAGGTTCTTCCCTATGTTACAGATGTCTTCAAAGCTTGTGGTATCACTGTCTCCTACAGGAACCCCTTGGCTTTTACACATCCAGGCAACATTGTAAGCGAGAAGAATCGCCCCTTCGAGGAAGGAACTATGGGCTACTGAATCCTCGTTCACTAATATGGGAAGAGGCTTGTTAATCCATAGGGGTCTTGGCCGAGGCTGATAAGTACTTTCGGTATGGCGAGAGGTGGAGGGACTATTGCTTGATGAGCTGGTTCCGCCAGGAAATGGTACATTGGTATGCATGTATGAGGAAGATAAAGAAAATATCGTAGGACGAGGATAATCGCGATGAGGAAGGGTTATTTCTGCAGGTAAACGAATAGCAAGATAATAAGTAGCTAGCATGAGGACATGCGCGATGTGAGACAAGGAGGTAGATATTTGGGCTGGGCTTGCCGCTGCAGACCATGATTAGCATTGTTTCTGTATACGAAAGAGAGGACGTACTGTTCATCAACCTCAGGTCTACTATGTTGACGCCAGCTATTCTATATTCATCTCCTCCATTGCTTCCTTTAAATCTTTGAAGCCCATACAAATTGGCAGATTCATAACAAAGATAAGCCCTGGACTCCCCGATAAAGTCATATGTCTGGTTCCATCTGTATTTCGTCCGCTGAGTGGAACCCTCAACTGCTTCTATTTGCTTAGTCCTACGAGCCTCTATTCCCTTTGAAGCCGAGGTGAGTTCCGCCTTCCTGCGGTCATTGGCAATCTTCTTCTTGTTGCGCTCCTCCTTTGCTCGCTCCAGGTTTGCTTTCAACTCGTCTGCATGAGCAATAATTTGATTCGTGCGGTCTATACTTCTTTCCCGCTCAGTAATCAACGCATCATAGTTCGGCTGGGTGACAGCCGCAGATTCTTCATTACTATTATTCCCCGCCTTGGAAAGGGGTAGCGGGTAACGCCTGCTGATTTCTCGATCAATCGCATCCTTTTCCAGGTGAACGCCAGCGGTTTGTACTCGAAGCTCGTATAGTTGGTTGCGCGCATCCGTGGGGCAAAGAAATGGCAATTTATGTCCGCCTGTTCGAAAACATATATCACACTGCATCTCGTGCGGCTTTGATAAAGGTTCGTTGTAGAGAGGTTGTAGGATATGATGTAGGCAATTAATAATTCTAAGCTATCAAAGGATGCAGGTTTAATCTATTCTAGGGAGGCATATAATACATAATGTGCTATGCAAGAAAGATTTGATAGTAAGAGTCTCAATGAATTATGGATATATCAAAGAACATTTGAAGTTGAAGAATATATATTAGAGCAATGAGGTACGGAGGTGTATGAAGGTACGTCAGGCTGAATGACCTCAGAATAATGGATTCATTGCCTCGCCTTATCTTGACTCGCTTGCTTATCTAGTGCTTATCTAGTCAACCACATGACCGCGCGTCAGCTTCGCATTTCCCAAACAAGGCTGTCTCCACTGCAAAGGCTGTTGAACATAAAAACTGACCTCACTATTACGGCAGCTACGACGGTAATACTATCGGCTCCATTGGTTCTTCCGTTTCTGTCCCTGTGGACCGATTCTTAGCTTATTCTTAGCGATTATCCTTATTCATATTTCCTGATGTCTCAAATAAACCACTCTCCTCCAAAAACCCCGCGTCGTCCAATTATGGCTATCGTAAATGAAAAGCTCGCGGAGAAATCAGCCGCCAGAGGTACTCCAAATACACCAACTCTCACACCTTCTTCTTCTAAACTACCTCAAAAGATTCGAGGTGTTAGTCCAAGTCTGCAATTCACCCCCAGTATTCAAGCTCCTACCACGCAATCCCCAATCTCTTCCCCCCTCAAGAGGTCACACGTGTTACAACATCACAGCCACGCCGATGATATTGGCGAAGATGATGTAGATATGGCACCGCAAGTAGAACCGGAAGCCGGGTCAGATGAAACAATGATCAGTCTAGATACATCGAATCACAAGAGAGACATTCCCCCAAAGAGCTGGAGTGAATTTGAAAACCGCTACGCGACGGCTATCCAGGAATTGAGCGACAACGAGGACCGCTTGATTGAGGAGTTCCAGCATCTTTCTGACGTTAGTTCTTCGATTTGATTTATATTACCAAAACTAATGATACTTGAAGGCTTTCGGTATCTGGGCAGAAGCTGCAGCGGAACGAGACAATGGGAGGGCATGGAAACGGCAAGTTGCATTTATTGATAGTTCACAAGGAGCTACTGACTTTGTTATAGTTTGAAGACAAGAGAAAGATATGTACAGATACAGGAAAAGTCACTGGAAGACAAGAAGCTGCATTGTAAGTTGCTCTACCAACACTTCTCTTTTCCATGCTAAACCTTGTCCTTCAGATATAAAAGTTGTCGAGGCATTCAAGCAGGCTCTTCAACTATTTGGAGAGTGACCACTCATTTTGCTTTTCGTTTTGACATGTTATAATCATAGACTTGATTTCGTAGTAGCCATATCTTTGCTCTATTTGGCTGGGTCATGAGGCGCAATGAGGGACTGGCTGTGATGGATATTGTTTAGATACCCTCTTTCTGTTTGCTTATATATCGCAGTAATAGCTATCGTACAAATCATAATCACAATAGCAAAAAAAGATTTCGTTTCAGTAAAATACGTTTCCTTTTCTGCATATCTCATTGTTTCAATTGAGGTATCTCTTGGTACAAACTTTGTGATCGTCGTAGGAGGGAGGTCCTTAACATTTAAGCAATGTACCATACATATCCTTAGAAAAGCTGAACCATACTCGCCTCCTTGGAAAGCTTCAATATTCTCTGGGTCATGTCATACCATGACTTGAGAAAGTTTCGAAATTCCTTTCTATTCAGCACAGTGAAATGGTGGTGGCCGACCGCGCAAATGTTCATTTGATCTCCCACGTTGATGTCTCAGTTTCGTTTGTGGGTCCTCAGCTTTCGCGCTAGATTCTACGCTAGAGTGATTCGGCCACCGTAGTCTACCATAAATTTTCGAAAACTTTCTCTATCCCAGGCTGAAGCTTCTCATCATCAACCAACATGACCACACAAACACCCGCGACCACGCTCTACATTGCGCGTCGCCATGTCTGCGCCGGAGGTTACACAGGTTAGTCCACATGTTCACTATGTTGCTTTCTAAAATGCTAATGAAACTTTAGAATGATCTCTTAGCTTTCCATACCTCTCACCTTGGCGATACTTCAACCGAACATTTCGCGCAACAATTCTTGGGTCCTGTGGAGGATTACTATGAAGAAGAGATTGACGATGACGGCCTTGGGTATTATCCTGACGGAGTCAAAAGAACTTTGACGGATGAACAAATCGCAATCTTTCGACATTCGGAAATCCAAGCCATTCTTCGAAAGCGCAGGCATGCTGCAGAGTCCAATGAGACTAGCAATGAGCAACCTCAATCTGAAACTTCAAGAACCGTCCGCACAGAAAAGGTCGAAGCCGAGGAAGAAGATGGGGAGATTCCTGCGGGGTTTTCGCATCCAGAGCCAATCGGACCCGTGCGACCAAAGAAAAAGTCGAAGAAGGAATTGAAGAAAATACAAAAAGCGCAAGAAGCCAAAGAGAAAGGTTGGTTTAAGCAAAACGTCAAGCCCGATCTACGCAAGAGGACGTGGGATAAAGTTGAGAAATCTATTGGGTCTCTTGCGTATGACGATGATGAGGGTGGTAGTAATAGCCAAGCCTCAAGTTCAGCGCCGCAAAGAAGAAAGATCACTTATGATGATCCTTGAGCAATCCACAGCTTGACTCTAATCAACGCTTCGATGATAGCTTCATGATTTCAAAAGGTCAGTAATTGTTCATTTCAACCTGTTCGCGTCACCGACCTAAAATGATGAAAACTTTCGTATCGTCATCCTTAGTCTGAGCTGGCAATTATATTCGTGGTTTCTCGGCTTGCTTTGGCTTGCCTTGGCTCGTCGATGTATTTCTCTTGTATACATTGCTGGTCTTGATGAGACATAATCTTCTCTCTGAAATATTGTTGAAGCTTTCACCTCTACACCGTTATGCATAAGCTTTGAGAGCCCCGTACTGATTGTAGTAGTCATCAACTCTTGTCACGAATCTCATGTTGGCATGATGAAATTCATTCATCATGTCAAATTTGCTCGATGTACTCTTTTTCAGGTATGCATTTAACATTTCATTTTCAAAAATTCCCCCTCGCTTTTATGATGACAAAGGGCCATGAGGCCTGAATAATCCCAGCTCGTCGAGTGCCTCACATTAAACGCAGAGTGCATACTGAGAGAAGAAACCCGTTCTGAAAAGCATTCATAATATTTGTCTTTGCAACCAGCTTCAATTCGATGTGCTGACAGTTATTTCTAGCTCAAAATTCGACATCAATATCAGCACTTGGCGTGAGATCATACAGAAAAACGCTTTCGATAAGTGTGATGTACGAAGGAGTGTGAATGTGCAAAGAATGGTGGAATATTTGCATTTGCCTAGGGAAATTTGTATGACGGGTTGGATCTGGGAATGTTCCTTCAATATTAGAATCAAGACAAGGCTGGCTTGTGGCCGCCTCATAAATCTGGTATCAATACATAGATCCAAGCTCCTACTTCTTGCAATGCAACAATTTTGACCACCAAATCGTTCCATCACCAATCTTTCGGAAAATGAGTGATCCTCCAAGTTATGACCATGACCTACTAAATCGGCTCAATGCTTTGAAGAAATCCAGTATTCGGCTCGACGCATCCCCGTAAGCAAGAAACCAATACAAACTATGGACACATGCTAAGCTCTCAGTCGTCCACCACTAAATGTTTTTGCAAAAGAGTCGACCCCCGAAACAGATTTGTCTGAGAGACTGCGTAGCCTCCGAAACGGTACACCATCAAGATCTGGCACCAGTGAAGCATCCGCGCCCGCTAGCACCACATCGCCTCCACAACAATACAGTTTTTACAACCAAGCCACGTCAAGTGATGCTGTTCCCCTGTTTTCAGATGATATCCACGAGGATAAATCTTTGGACGACCTTTTAGCAGAACTGGGATCTGGCTCTGAGTGGTTGAATCCTGATGATCCGAATGATATTCAAAAACTTCTTGATGAAGCCAAGAAAGCTTTGCCAGATCGTGAGGATGTTGCTACAGATGAAGAGGCATCAAAGAGTGCTTCTGAGGAGAACGCTCGGAAGACTAATGTCTTGACAAGTGGTCTTGATATGTCTGTGTTTGCCATAGACGACGATGAGGATGGGGAATCTAGGAATAATAATAAACAGATTGAGGGCTTAGAGGGCGAATCACGTGAAGTACAGGATATTGTTGCCAGGCTATTGGATGAGGTAAACCTAGAGAGAGGAGCTGAGGATGAAAATGAAGCAGAGGAATCCCAAGGAACTAATGCCATGAACACGGATGTGGAAGGAAAATTCTCATCTTTCCCCAGATACAAGCGGGATGACGACGAAGAACCAAATCTCACTCTCCCATCCGCACCCTCCACACTCCCGGAACCGAGCAGGAAATCGATCGATTTTGAAGACGATATTACTGCGAGATTAGCTGCGCTAAAGGGTCTTGGTTCTACTCCTGTTAACGATCTTGGGTTACCTTCTGCACCGACTACTAAACCGGTGGATAAAACGGCGAAAGAGACGAAGGGGAAAGGATTAAAGAAATATACGAATGAGGAAATGGATACGTGGTGTATTATTTGTCAAGATGATGCGACGATTCAATGTGTGGGCTGTGAGGGAGACTTGTATTGTGCGAGGTGTTGGAAGGAGGGACATATGGGGGTTGATGCCGGGTGGGAGTTTAAGAGACATCAGTGGCGGAAATGGGAACGCCCTGGTTAGTTGGTTGGGGTTAGGAGAGGACCAGAATGATAGATGGATTTCTTTCAGTTACGCTGTTGATAATTATTCTTGTTTAAGGGTGGTGTGTATCCCATTGTTGAATTGAAGGTAGAGCTGGTAGTCGTGCAGTGATGACGCTCAAATGACTGTGTGCTCCATGAACTCACATATTCATTCAATTTTCAAATCTCAATTGAAGTATCAACAAACGCAATATCAGCCATCGCCCAAAATCATAACATACCATGCGCATTCTCACCTCGTGCTGACCGATCAAGATCAACATGTTGCATTTCAGCCGCAGATATCTACATGAAGTAGAATAAACTTAGGATAGGTGAACAAGCTAGTTGGGCTGAATATCTTATCTTTTTCATTGACTATTTGTAGATGTGCTACTTATTTTTAACAATGCAATTGACACAATAACAAACCACCTGGATATTGAGATGGAGATGATGCTGACGCTGAATATAAGTAGCTAGAGAGGAAGGGAAATTACTAGATGGTCAAACGAATCAAATAGGCGAAACAAATTTGCAGCTGTATGTAGGGTGCAAGGCTTTGTTCCCTGGAGCTCTATGATTGGAATTGGGATAAGATGTGGCTGAATTTCATACATAATTAATGACTAGAGACATGTCAGAAGCGACGAAATGAGTGAGTATAAACAATTAAATTTCGCTGTTGCAGTATGCTAAGCACAACTCCCTCTTCCTGCTGCCATGCTGCCGGGACCACACCCTCGTCATACCAACTTCTCGACTGGCGGCATTGATTGCGATCGTTTGAGAATTCGAAAGACACGCATTTCCGCTCACTTATTACCTTGTTCATATGTGCGTAATGCAGAACTAAAAAAAAACAAAATCCTCAAGCCAAGCGCGCGTATACTGTACAAGATGCAAATTCCTAAATCAACTCCGTACTTGTTTCCAATCCTATCCACATCCAACCGCCATCCATCCAACATAAGAATATTGCAATCTCAGAAAGAAAAGATTGAGGTCGCGATAGAGAACTAATCGTCGTTATGATCGTCATCACCGCGGATTCCTCGACCGGCAGCACCACTACTAGTATTCTTCGTTTTGCCACGGATATCTTGCCATGTGGCACCGAATCTCCTTCCAGTACTAGCAAGAAGGCCTTCTTCCTCATCAGCCTCAGCATCTTCATCAATCTCGCTAAGATCCAATTTGGGTGTTCGGAACAACGCCGTAATAAAGACGATCAAAAAGATTGCGAGGAAGACAAATTGAGCCCAAAATGCGAGAGCACCGAAGAATGGGAAATTGACGGTAACTCTATTGAGGAAAGTAGACACGACACTAGGTGTGCAGACCTTTTCGGCACCCTCGCCCGAAGAAAGCTCACTGCATGTTTTGATCAACTCTGGGTGGTTGCTACAATCTGGTTGATCGCCAGGGAATTTGGTAGGGTTGGCGCAGAATGTTTGGGCACCATAAATTGCGTATTGTGGTGCTATTAACATGGCGATTGAGTAGTTTATCGCGAGTATGATCAAAGTTAACATGACAGTTGCCATGAGGAGAGCTTGTGGAGAGGTGTGTCCTTTTCGTATTTCAAAGAGTTTTACCCATAAGAATCGAAGACCGATAGCAGCGATTCCTGTCACTGAACTGCTAAAGAGGAATAGGACTAATAGTGCCATCAAGACATAGTCAATTGGGAAGACTATGGACGACTTGACGAAAACCCAATTGATCGGTTGGAAGATATTGATACTAGGTATGAATTAGCCAAAAACTCTTAACGAACCAGGTCAAGATTATCCTACCTTCCTAAAATGTAACCACAATGTTGTTTACAGAATGAGTTCTTCGCCTTATCAATTCCTGTAATGAGCATGGAAACCCATATAACCAGGGAGAGAATCAGAAGTAGTATTCCTCCAACCAATTTGAGAGGCCTGAAGATTGCGCAAGTCTTAGTCCATGCTCTCACGATAAAGCTCTTCCCATCTCCACGGGCTTCTGCGGCTAGACGTTCTCGTCTAACCAGAGTGCGTTCTTCACGATGCAAGGCCTCCAACTCTCGCTGGTCTTTAGCCGACAACCCGCCATCTCGCCCTGCATTTCGTCCTTCAAGTTGACGTTGTCGTTCTCTGTTTTGCTCAAGGGCTGATGCAGTTGTTTCTGAAAGTTGTGGCGCGCTGATTGAAGGCGCAGATTTGATGAAAGATATGGGTAGCAATGCCAGTCCAACAGATGTGTAAAGTATGTATAACAACGTGCCCAATGAAATCAATAGACCCAATGCGAACGTTAAGGCACGCTCTCCGTGGTTCTCAGCCAAAAGACGTTTGAAGTAGTCTAGATCCATATCGGATCCACGATTCTTTGCGACGGGTACAAAAAATCCAACCAAGAACAAAATCACGACCAGGACAACAAAAAATAATGTGTATTTTGCGGCACTGAGGAATCTCTGGCCGAATGTCTGCGTGCCTTCCTCTGAATCGATTTCATCGTACTCTTCGTAAAAGAAGTATGTAAATGGGATAACAAGAAGGCATAGAACGGCATCCAAGCTGTATAATGCATAGTAAACAATTTTTAGAGTCAGGAGGATATTGTGGACAGTCTCGGGAGTTGCCCAGTCTTTCTTTGCGCCAAGCTTCGAGGTCGTCGAGCTGACGAGAGCAATATCAACAGGAAGAAGTAAGACTGTTGCCAATAGGGAGGTCAATGTGATAATCGTGACGGTAGAAACCAGAGCTGAGCGATCGCGTGGCGTTTGATACGTATAGGTAAAAATAGCTGCTATAAGAGCGACGATGCCTACAGCAACGGCATACGCAACCCATATAAATGCAGTCTGTATGAGCGCCATGTTGCAGGCGAGGAATTGATACTAGATTCGCAGATAGATATTAGCAGTGCTTGAATTGTTGATGACAGAAATTGGTAAGTAGTTGGAGTGGTACGCATGCGGAAACTTAGTAAAGGGAAGGAAAAGACGGTATAAATAACAAGAAGAAGATCATCTTAATATACCTCGCGAATGTGTCAAATGGATTTAAGTATCGATATTGTTTTTAAATCGATCTCTTCACCAAAACAATGTTGGTCTTGTCTTATTCGAACTCAAGAGGAATCCGATCTCGAATATATTAATTGTGTTTTATGTTGTTTTGCTTTGCTTTGCTTTGCTTTGTTTCTTGTTATACCAGTAGTCAATATTCAGGATTCTAGACGTCTGACGTAAATGGGCGTTGGGTGCGGGGATCAGCATTCAGGACCACTAGGACCTCCAAAAGCTGCATGAGCTTCAAGGGACAGTGATAGGTCAATACAGTGGTCCAGCACTGAGAACGCTAAAATTTGTGTAAATCGCGGATCGCGACGCACCGACATTTGACTGGACTGATGATCTTGAGTATCCATATCAACAACTTCAAAAGAAGTCCGAATTTTACTACGATTTGGTGCTTTTAATGCTTTACTTTGGTCAATAATGCAATGCTACACGGAGCTGACACCTCCTACAGCTGTCACACATTCCTTGACTCTTCCGTTCTTGTCCGCAGATGCTAGAAACCTCATCGTCGCAAAATCCTCGTTACTACAGATATTTACAACTAAGACCGTATCCGTGGATCTCGACGACCTATCTGGAAAGGATCCTTCGACAGCAAAAGATGACACAAATATTGATCCAGAGTTAATAACGATGATGGAGTAGAGGATTCTTTTCTCGGCACAGATTCGATTATACAACGACCAGAATTAGCTCGAACAACGAAACTCGTACTTATAGCTGAATATAACTTATCTGGAACGGTCACATCTCTTGTCCGAGTCAAGACTATATCCTCAAAAACTGGGGGTGAAGCACTTTTAGTGGGATTCAAGGATGCAAAGCTCAGTTTGGTGGAATGGGACCCAGAACGGCCCGGCATATCAACAATATCAGTCCATTTTTATGAACAAGACGAACTGCAAGGAAGTCCATGGGCACCAAGTCTTTCAGACTGCGTCAATTACCTTACTGTCGATCCAGGAAGTAGGTGTGCTGCATTGAAATTCGGAGCGCGGAACCTTGCGATTCTGCCATTTAAACAAGACGAAGATGTCAATATGGACGATTGGGATGAGGAGTTAGATGGCCCTCGCCCTGCGAAGATTTCACAAAAGACTGCAGCGGAAGATGGAAAGTTAGATACACCATATGGGTCCTCTTTTGTTCTACGATTGTCTTCACTCGATCCCAACATCATCTTTCCAATCCACCTTGAATTTCTGTATGAATATAGAGAGCCAACTTTTGGAATTCTCTCATCTACCATGGCTCCATCCTCGGCTTTACTGCAAGAGCGTAGAGACCACTTGACTTATATGGTTTTCACCTTGGATATACATCAAAAAGCGTCTACCACCATTCTTTCCGTTGGAGGTTTGCCTTACGACCTCTTCAGAATCGTCCCACTAGCTCCACCTGTGGGCGGAGCTCTTCTAGTTGGTACTAATGAGTTGATACATATCGATCAAGCTGGTAAAGCTAACGGTGTTGCTGTCAACATGTTTGCAAAGCAATGTACTGGCTTCAGTCTTTTGGACCAGTCTGATCTTGACCTTCGGTTAGAAGGTTGCAAAATTGACCAACTATCTATCGAAAATGGAGAGATGCTCATTATACTACATAGTGGCGATATTGCTATCCTGAGCTTTCGTATGGATGGAAGGTCAGTCTCTGGCCTAAGCATTCGCCGAGTAAGTGCAGATTCAGGAGGCGCCATATTGACTGGAGCTGCGTCATGTGTAAGTTCTCTTGGCGCAGGATCATTGTTCGTTGGAAGTGAGGTATCAGATTCTGTCATTCTAGGCTGGAGTAGGAAGTCGGGACCGACTTCACGTCGGAAGTCAAGGCTTGACAGTTCAGCAATAGCAGAAGTTGATGAGGCCATGCTTGATGATGAAGATTTAGAAGATGATGACGATGATCTGTACGGCGATGGACCCACAATCACTCATGCTACTGCAAATATCACTGCATCAAACAGTAAAACGGGTGACTACACGTTTCGTATACATGATTCCATGGTCAATATAGCTCCCATCACAAACATCGCGTTCGGAGAAACCGCATTGAGTTTGGGTAAGGAAGAAGAGCTAAAACTTAGCGGTGTTCAGAGCGAACTTCAGCTTGTAGCTGCTGTCGGTCGTGAAAAGGGAGGCTCCTTGGCAGTCATTAATCGTGAAATCCAGCCAAATGTTATAGGCCGATTCGAGTTACCAGAAGCTCGTGGTATATGGACTATGAGCGCAAAGAGACCGGCACCGAAAGGATTGCAAGTCAATAAGGAGAAATCTGTCACTAGCGGTGACTATGGCGTCGACGCTCAATATGATAGACTAATGATAGTTTCCAAAGCATCTGATGCCGAAGATGCTATTGACGAATCTGCTGTATATGCGTTAACGGATGCCGGTTTTGAAGCTTTAACAGGGACAGAATTCGAACCAGCCGCTGGATCCACGATCGAAGCTGGTACACTTGGCAATGGCATGCGTGTTGTTCAAATTCTAAAGTCTGAAGTGAGAAGTTATGACGGTGGTAAGTTCGCACTTTTCCTTGAATCATACCCCTTTCAATTCATGTGGTCGGATGGATGGGCATGTAGGTTGGGACAAGTCTTGGGGAAATTTTGTATTTTCCGCTTATATGTTTTCGCCGTCCGGGGCGCTATCTGGAAATCTATCATATCCTATAGCAACAATGAAAGCGAATTATCAACATTACAACTGTGCCTCATGCAATTTGCTCCCTGCGACATGCCTCCTCGCGCCATTACATGATTGATTAGAAGCGTAACTAATTCTGTATCTGTGGTGTAGATCTTGGTCTTGCACAAATATTGCCGATGCTCGATGATGAGACGGGAGCAGAACCGAAGATCATCAGTGCAAGCTTCGCAGATCCATTTCTCCTGCTAATTAGAGACGATGCGAGCATTTTTGTTGCACAATGTGACGACGACAATGATCTCGAAGAGATAGAAAGAGTTGACGATGTTTTGCTTTCTACGAAATGGCTGACTGGCTGTTTGTACGATGACTACAGCGGAGCTTTCTCCGACGGCAAATCGAACAAGGCAGGGGAAAATGTCAAGATGTTTTTACTTAGTGCGGGTGGAGCATTGCACGTGAGTTTTCTTCCAAGCTTTCCATTGTCCAATTTCTAATACTTTCAGATTTACGCACTGCCTGATCTTTCTAAGCCAATTTATGTCGCGGAAGGAATATGTTTTGTTCCCCCTGTGCTTTCAGCAGATTACGCAGCTAGGAAATCGGCAGCTCGGGAAACCTTGACAGAGATATTGGTAGCCAACCTAGGAGATTCTGTTTCTCAATCCCCTTATCTTATTGTAAGAATCTACACTTTAACCTACTCATTTATGTACTAACCGATTTAGCTCCGACCCTCAAATGATGATCTTACCATCTATGAACCGTTCCGCATAAAGTCTGCGTCTCCGAATCTTCTCTCCTCTACACTTCAATTTCTGAAAATACAGAACACACATCTGACACAAGCTCCTGATGTGTCTGCTGAAGAGCAGGCCGATGGAGCTCAACAGACCAGCGATAAGCCGATGCGAGCTATCTCAAATCTCGGTGGATACAGTACTGTCTTTGTGCCAGGCGGATCTCCAAGTTTCATCATCAAGAGCTCTAAAACAGTACCCAAAGTTCTCAGCCTGCAAGGAACAGGGGTTCGCAGTCTTAGTAGTTTCCATACCGAAGGTTGCGACAGAGGATTCATCTATGCCGACACAGAAGGAGTCGCCCGCGTAGCACAATTCCCACCAAATACCACGTTTGCCGATATTGGAATGGCCCTGCGAAAGATTGAGATAGGTGAAGATGTTCACGCTGTGGCATATCATTCACCGCTGCAAACATATGTTATAGGTACTAGCATTTTCACAGACTTTGAATTGCCCAAAGATGATGACCACCGCAAAACTTGGCAAGAGGAAAACATTGCCCTGAAGCCATCGATCGAGAAAAGCTTCCTTAAATTAATCAGCCCTGTCAACTGGTCCGTCATTGATACCATTGAACTTGAACCCTGCGAACTCATAACCTGCATAAAAACCATGAATCTGGTGACATCAGAAGTCACCAACGAGCGCAAACACTTGATTGCTGTAGGAACAGCTATAACCAAAGGAGAAGATCTCGCAACCACTGGCCGCCTCTACGTTTATGATGTTGTCACCGTTGTTCCAGAACCAGACAGACCCGAGACAAACAAAAAATTAAAATTGATCTCTTCTGAAATCATTACTCGTGGTGCTGGTGGTCCCGTAACTGGTCTTTCCGAAATTGGAACTCAGGGCTTCATGCTTGTTGCGCAGGGTCAAAAATGTATGGTCAGAGGTCTCAAGGAGGATGGCACAAACTTGCCAGTCGCATTCATGGATATGAATTGCTATGTTACGTCTGTCAAGGAATTACCTGGTACAGGCCTGTGCGTAATGGCGGACGCTTTGAAAGGTGTTTGGTTTGCAGGATATACGGAAGAACCGTATAGGATGCTACTCTTTGGAAAGAGTGCTGCGAAGATGGAAGTATTATGTGCAGACTTATTACCAGATGGAAAAGATCTGTTCATTGTGGCTGCAGATGCTGATGGGAACTTGCATATTATGCAATATGATCCTGAACGTATGTTTTCATTTTTCATTTTCTCAGCCAACTGGCTTGCATTAGACCCTTGACTTACAAATTCATAGATCCCAAATCTCTCCAAGGCCACCTCCTCCTTCACCGCACCACCTTCTCCCTCGGTGCCCACCACCCCACAACCATGTCCCTTCTCCCCACCACCCGATCCCTACCCCCATTAACCACCGCCCCCTCTCCATCTCCTAGTCCCTCACCTCAAGAAGATGCCCCCTCCCCTTCTCAGCCCCTCCTTCTCACTTCTCGTACCGGTACCCTCGCTCTTCTCTCCCCTCTAACAGAATCCCAATACCGACGTTTTGGCACCCTCGTCTCACATCTTACAAACACACTTTATCATCCCTGCGGTCTCAATCCCAGAGCATACCGAATAGACAGAGATGCAAATGAGGGGATTGTAGGAGGAAGAACGATTATTGATGGAGGAGTGCTAGGAAGATGGATGGAACTTGGGAGTCAGAGGAGAGGAGAAGTGGCAGGAAGAGTCGGAGTTGATGTTTTGGAGTTGAGGGATGAGTTGAGTGGATTACGTGGAGGCTTGGGCTTTATCTAGAGATTGTTTGTAGAGGCGTGGATGGTAGTTGGAGGTTAGAAAATGACATGATTTGCAGCATCGCATGATCGGGTCTTGAAAAGTGCTGATGGTACAAAATAGGGGCAAGCGAATGAACCACAACTCAATACTATTTTATCTTTCTTATCTCAAGTTCAGTTATCAAATTGCATTGTATTTTTGTTTCGAAGAGATCTGACTCAATTGTCCAAATCAGTAAGACTCAAGTGGTTTTATTTTGTTTAACCAGACTCGCTATTATAAAAGTCGTATGATGAGCATTCCTAGATCATAGATCAAGTGAACGGCATAAAACTGATTAAAAGAGGTTTTTGCAATCACAATAATTCCCTCATCTATGAAGAAGAATACGCACATGTAAAGTCAAAACTTCAAAGTCGCAAATTAATTCTATGAGTCTACTTTGAAGAATTGTATACTGTCTGACTGGTTCAATCTCATGGTTCCAGTCAAAATGAAACGCAAGAAACAGAGGAAGAAGAAAACTACAACAACATAACAGAATCAATCCAAGTATTCAAATCTGGGGATCGATGCTTCTCTCCTCCTCTAGCAACAACAACAAAACAACAACATCTGAGATATCATACAATATCAACACCAACCACACACTTTCCTTTATATTCACTCCTCACTCCCCTTTAAAAATATCCTCATAATCTTCCCGATACCTCTGACTCTTGAGTTTTCTCTCCATATCCCGTGCTTTGCAAGCCTTTTTGTGGATCTCCCGAGTGGTTTTCCCCCTTGTTACTCTGACCATGTGTTTGACCTCTCTAGAAACGAATGCGCGGGTAGCTTCGCGAGCGCTGAGCTTTCTGGTGCGGGGAGAGTATTGGGGGTGGAGAGGAGAGAGACTTTGGACGAGGGATTGGGCGGCGCGTGTTTGAGACATTTTGGATGAAGGATTTTCTGGTTGCGGATCGCTATTTACTGTCTGTTTGAAAGGGAGTTCAGAAGATAGTGGATGGCTCAAGAGCAGATTTGAAAATTTATGGGAAGACTGAAGGTGGAAGACTGGAAGGTTGAAAGGTTGTGATTGTGTTATTGGAATTAATAGAATTGGTGTCTAGAAAGAGGGGGTGTGAAGGTCCATTATATACTTCACTCGAGCAGTTGTTCAAGATCTGAACTCTATAATGGAACAATACCACAACAGATACAATAACATTCAAGAAAGATATAGTCAAAGATTCTTAGATCAGGAGGTTTGAAGTCAACATAGTAAATGGTCAAGAAAATGAGGATTCTTTGTGATTGGCGTTTGAGACAGACCGAATTTTCAGGGTATTACGCCACGACAAATTAACACAAAGATATTTACGAACAACGCCGGAACAGAAAAAGAAGAATACGAGAAACATGTTTCGAAATAAACAATGCCATTTTGAGAGGAGTGGGAAGAATTGATCGAAGTGTGTCTGAGCATGTAATTTTGAGCTTCGAGATTTTCAGGAGGTCCTTGAGGTTCTCTCTTGAATCCAAACCATATATGTTCCGTCCTTCAGTCGGATAATTAAAATGGAAAGAAACGGAACCTCAGAGGCATACTAGAGATATACTTTTAACGTACCTATAGCATCGCACCCATAGCCTCCAATCCATCTACATCCCATTCTCCACCCAAATCCATCCAAAAATTATGCTCATCGAATCCATCCCAAGGGCTCATATCCATATCACCCAACACTGGCATTGCATCCGAATTCGCCTGCTCATTTACCACACCCTCTAATCCAGCGTCAATCTGCGTCAACGTGCCCCCTTCAGTAACATCCTCGCTCCCGCCACCACTACCCTCCACCGCATTCCTATCAACTCTAAACCCATCCCCCAATGGCTGTGACTGCGAAGAGCTCCCATAAACGGCCACCTTCTGATCATACCACCCCCTCACCAAACGAATCTTCCTCGCAAACTTGTCAAAACAATCTGTCCAGCCCTCTCCTACCCTTCTTCCATCACTACCCACCTCTGCGTCTTTTCCCCATTCTCCATCCTCGGTAGTGATGTTGATATCTACAAATTTCGCTCTATCGTTTCGCTCTGCTAGCTCTTTTAATACCCAGGAGAGATCGCAGACTTCGCGGACAAAATCGAGGGTCCAGGAGGGGAGAAGTGGGTTTTGGTAGAAGGAGAGGCGAGCAAGAACCATTAGGGCATAGGCGAGAAGGGACCATGGAGCAATAGGCTGGCGTAGATAGGTGGAGGGAGGAATGGAGAGAACTAAGTGGAGGAAAGAGCGTGTGTGGTGGAGACAGGTGTAGAGAGATTGAAGGTGAGATGGGTGTAAAGGCGTTGGGTGAACTGGTTGGGCGGCTGAGATAGATTGAGGTGATTGTGTTGCGTTTGTGGGTATCCAGCCATTAGTTAACGCGACTTCATAAAGACGGATGGTAGAAATATGATGGTGAAGCTGTAAAATTACTAATTGGATGTATTAGTCTTTTACTTACAATAGCTAATAAAGTATGAAAGCCCGACTAAAGTAGACGGCTTCAAGTTTCAAGATAAAAAGAATGAATTGAAACACGTACCATCATCTTCCAGAGCACTAGGGACACCCTTCTTCAATATATCTAGCTCCATCTGAAATGAACCCAACTTCAACGCAGTAGGGACTTGAATTTCACTATCACTCTGAACAAGTACTACCGCTTGCCCGATCTTCTCTCCAAGATGTGATATCTTCACTAACCCGACTAGTAAAAGATCCGTAGTATGTTCTGGCTTCTTCTCTATAAAACGAACACATTCATCAAGATGTATCGAATATCTCATGGCATCTATACGCTGAAAGCCTGTTGCAACTCTAGACGTGAATTAGCAAAAATGCATTGAAATGAAATATACTTTGAAGTTTACAAAGAAGTTAGATAGAATAAACCAGCTAAAGCCCTTCTCTGCTCCATTGTTCTCCTCGAGAAATCTCCCGCTGTGGCTCTACTGTGACCAAATGGATACCTGAATCTATCGGCTGATGGTGGTTTATTCAGTCCCAAATCTCCAGCAAGCCCCATCGCCAGGCCTAGGAGATTGTTCAGGTGAGGATGCCCTAAACAATGATAATGATACCTAATCATTCATATTGGTCAGTAAATTACCTCTTCTCGACGAATCATGCCACGTCTAGCTGCCAAACCTCTAAAACCAAGCCTCTTTCATACACAATAAACGTCCCATTCGTTCAAACAGCAACCAAAACCGCATTTCTTGTCCACCAGCCCACCAAGAAGGTCACAGAAACAAAAGAGAAAACCTCGTTACTCACCACCCACAAAAAACCAAAATCGTCTGCAACAACTCCAAAGTCTTTTCCTTCCTCACCATAATCCTCTCCGTCAAGTCCCTCACCAACGCCGTCTCATAAACTGTCTGCCTCGGCAAATTATAATAACTCGCCGCCATCAAAACCGCCTTTCCCAGCACCGGCTTGCTCGCCACCCATTGCTTTCCTGTCAATCCTCCCGTCTCAACAACCACAAAGGGGAATCTCGCTGTCATTTCCATCTGGTACAATTTTACCAGCCTCTCAATTTCCTTATCGTTGGGCTCGAGATCCGAGTTGGCGTGGGCGAGAAGACAGGCATTTGTGCTTTTTCATAGACGGATTGCCTTTTACTTGGTTCGAGAGGCTTGGGGACGATATGAGAAGTATTTCTACAAGGAATTGAATTTGCCGGTTCTGGTTCCGAGAGGGGTGGTGACCTGGGGAGGATATTTTCATTGGTGACTAGTGGAGAGAATGTCGGCGTTGCATCTTGTGAATGAACGCCTTGTTGTTGCCGTTGCAGGAGATTCACAATTCCATCAAGTTTCTTCTCTAATTGTGCAACTCGACTAGAATCGACATTAGAAGTATGATAAACAGTTATGGAGAGAACAGTCCATACGTAGTCTTTTGAGGCTTGTGAGCCCTTATAGAAGGAGTTTGTGTCACACAATCTTTCTTTAGACGATGACATCTATTATGATCAGTAAATAGCATAGTATAGTGGCAACGAAAACTTCAGTCATATGTACCTTTCACATTTCGCACTTAATCCACTCGGCCGTGGTACACACTTTGCTTTTGCCAATGCACAGGTCCTACATGCCCGGGAGCTGGGGTGACTCTTTCCTATGTGATTGGTTGTTGACATCACGTATTTCAAAATTCACTCTTCATATATCGAGAATATCGCCTCAATGTTAAACGGAGAGGAAGTGGTAATCCCAACCCGTCGCCGTTGAGATTTACTTTTTAAAGGTTGGACGCTGTGGGGCGGGACCGGAGCAAAGTCGTCTCCCCGCTCCCGGTCCACGAATCATGACATACATCCCTCACAGGCACAACATCCAATACATCAAGAACAATGGGACAAGAGGAGTGAAAGACAATATATTATATTTTGAAAGACCGCGCATGGACTATAATGCGATAAACACAAAATCTTGAGTTGATTTAGCCTATCTAGAGTTTGCATTAAAACTTTCAATGCTCGACGAAAAGTAAGAGCAGAGGGTATGCAACTTCGGTCGCGTAAAAAAATTCATCAACGCCTGGTCCCGCAACCCTCCTCCAGATCCCCCAATCGAAACGAACATCCCCATGATTCTCATACTCGATGTATTAAAGTGAAGTATGGAAGGTGGCTCTGAGAGAAGAACATTATCAAGCCAAATGGCATAACGCTATTCAGAATTGGACTAGCTCATATGAACCTCAAAGTCAAAAATGAGCCCGTATATGAATGTCGGGTAAGTTTTTAAAGTCGTATGGGATGGAGTGGAATCATGTAGTAGGAGCTGGGGTACCACGTGCAGCCGCCTCATCAGCACGAATAGGTGCAAAGAAAGGATGGGCCATGGCTTCCTTAGCAGTCAAACGTTCCTAAATCACATGTCAGTGTATGTAAGATGAGGCTTGATAACGGTAGGCATACTTGGTGATCATATCTAAGGAGTTTATCTAAGAAGTCGATAGCTTCATTAGTAACAAATCGTTGGTTCTCAGCATTGACAAAGCTGTGCCAGTTCTTCTTTGGGAATCTGCCTAGGATATCGTCATATTGTGCGTCGAGCTCAATCTCGTATTTGTCGAGGTAGTCGAATAAATCTTCAGTGCCGAGAACTTTAGCAATTTTGACTAATTGATCCGAGTTGCTATTTCCGTGGAAGAATGGTTCCTTTCTGAAAATCATCGAAGCGAACATGGCACCTAAAGACCACATATCCAAGGAGTAGTCATATTCCTGGAAATCAACAAGCAATTCAGGTCCCTTGAAATATCTTGATGCGACTCGAACGTTGTACTCGGTGCCTTGATGATAGAATTCCGCAAGACCCCAATCGATAAGTCTCAACTAATCCTACAAGTCAGTCAAGGTATTCTTCCAGCTATTGAGAATCCTACCTTTCTGTTCTCATGATCAATCATCACGTTATGAGGCTTGACATCTCTGTGCATAATGCCTTTGCTGTGACAAAAGTCCAATGCCTATCGACGTTAGCAACTTCCAAACTTTCCGAATATTCTGATCTCATACCTTCAAGAGCTCATAAATATAAAATCGGACATCGTAATCGATAAACTTAGGGTAAAGGCTACGGAAGTCGGTATTGTTGACGAATTCGAAAATCAACGAAGGTGTTTTGCTCTGCATCATGAATGAGTCGTCTGTTTCTTCTTCAAGGGGTTGTTCAAGGCCAGTGAGCGCGCATTTGCCCGTCTTCCCAACTAGGGAAAAAGGTTCGCCTGGGAGAGAAGGAAAGGTTGGATTTACTTGACTATCCCTAACAACGTCAAGGAGGGCGACAATATTTGGGCCTCCTGACAAGTTCTGGAGGATCTTGATCTCTCTCTTGATCTTCTTCTTCTTGACCGGCTTCAACACCTTAATCACACATTTTTGGTAGTTGGCCACATTGATTCCCTCAAAGACTTCCGAATACTTTCCTCGTCCTACATGGACACACATCCGCGTGTCAGTAAGCAGCACACACATAGCCACGAGCGGGTAAAAGCAAAACAAGTCTTGGGGAAGGAGGTATTGCCGACTTACCAATCTTGCGCACAACTTCGTAGTTCTCCAATACGCCCCAGGTAATATTTACGCTATCATAATCCCAATATGCCCGTGGCATTTGCTGGTTGACATCCGCATAGACGCGAGCCATTTTGCGGCCGGCCTAGTGTGGGAAGGCGGCGCCGCGCAAATCGTGTAGAGACCGCCTTTTCGAAAATATCGAGATCCGGAGTGAGTCGCCGATTGATAAGAACCTGATTGTTTGACCGGATGGTTCTGGCAAAGATTCGCAGGATGACCTTGTACGATGTTGTAGAAAATAATGATCTGATGTTGATGTGCTACGAATTCTTGAATGGATGGTAAACACACCCCGCGCTAGCGCAGGAGTTATTTTCGATCGGGCGGCCTTAAATAAAAGGTTACCGACAGCCTTTTCAAAAATTGACCAAGGCTGAATGACGAATAATAATTTTTGTTATAAGGCTTCATCTTTCGCGAATATATATTACACTTTTTCGCCATCGCAAAGAAATCTATAGGAGGATTTTCAATGCAAAGACATATCAAACAGCAGAACTAACGCGAATATGCTCTACGATCTCAATATTCCTTGGTCATCAAGTAAAGACCCTCTTGATCTTCAAAGGACAATCTCATTTCTTTCAGAATTGGGCTACGGCACCATAGCTCTTAATCATATCCAAAGCGGACCGCTTCCTTCCACTATAACAAACCCAATACCTACGACATTCCCTTTTACAATCCCTCCCAAAACAGTCATTCTCCGCCGTTGCACCCTCACTCTCTCTGATCCTTCCCTTAATCACCGCCTCACAGCCGTTTCATCCGCCTACGATATTGTCGCAATTCGCCCTACCACAGAAAAGGCATTTCTCGCAGCATGTCTTAATCTAGCTGAGCACTCTCTCATATCCCTTGACCTCACACAACGATATCCATTTCACTTCAAACCTAAGCCTCTCATGGCTGCTATACATCGTGGCATTAGATTTGAAATATGTTACGCGCAAGCTACGATGGAAGATTCAAATGCGCGCAAAAACTTTATAAGTAATTGTTTGGGCATATTCAGAGCTACAAGGGGAAGAGGGATTGTGATAAGTAGTGAAGCTAAGACTGCATTGGGTATCAGAGGCCCAGCAGATGTGGTCAATTTGATGGCAGTATGGGGATTGGGTAGAGAAAGAGGCATGGAAGGATTGGGCGACAATCCAAGATCGGTGGTTATAAATGAGGGGTTAAAAAGAAGTTCCTACAGAGGACTGGTGGATGTGGTTTATGGTGGTGAACGGAGCGCTGCGAAGGACGCTGAAATCAGCGAGGCGCAGAAGAATAAAGCAAATAATGGGGAAAAGGGAAAGGGAAAAAGAAAAGTCGATGACAATAAGGAGGTAAAAGAGAACGAACCGCCCCAGATAAGCAAGAGACAGGCAAAGAAACAGAGGATGGAAGCCTTGAAAGCCACCGAATCCAATTCGAGCTCATCGAAAGAAACATCTCCTACAGCTCCTGCAGTCATAGATACTAATAATATAATAAAAGCGAAAGTTAATAGTTGATTTTTATATTCTTTTGCTATTTTCTTCCCTTGTGGCGTCATTTTTTGAACGTATATTTACAACGAATTTGGTATCTTTCGGGAGTCTAGCCCTACACAATCTAATATTACTTCTCTTTTAAACCCATTTCATTACTATTCGAGCATCAAGCTCTAATCTCAGACCGCTGTCGCCACAGCAAGATTACCAAGGACTAAACTGCTGGACAAGGAGAATGTGTTGATATCCACAGTATTTGGCTGTGCGACTTGTGCAGCTCCAAGTGCAGGAGCTGGTGATCCTCCAGCTTGTATCGCAGCTGATGTGGTGACGCTTGCGACTGTAGCTCCTTGAATAGCAGCTTCGGTTAAAGATGTGCTAATTGATGCTGCTGTTACAGCACCTTGCATTGTAACTTTGATATCGAATTAGTTCCGTGAAAGATATTCTAATACAGATTCAACATACCTGATACCATGACGGTAGTTGTTTGCATCATAGTCATAGTGACCATGGATGTAACCACTGACATTTGCGTAGCCATCATAGTTACCATTACTTGCTCAGTTTCGGTGACTGTCTGGGTAACCATTTGAGGTAGTGGAGTGACAGTAACGGTAGGCGGAGCTCCTGAAGCGAAGACAGTCGAAGTGAGGAAAGAGAATTGTCCACTGGAATTGTTAGTTCTCGACTAGTTTCTGAAAGACTGGGTTTCATACCCAGTTCCGGCAGCTTGTACTGCAACTCCTGTTGGCGCCGCCGCTCCCTGAGCACTCTTTGTGACAGTCATTGTCTTTGTGATCTCCTTTGTCACCGCGGGTGCTGCGCTCGCTTTCCCCCCTCCTTCGAGAGCGGCAATGATATCACTTAAACCTCTAGCTTCATACCGATATCCCTAGATTATCATCAGCCACCATCGACAGCATGAACTATCTCTCAAACCATACCTGTGCAAGGCCTGCTGCCCCCACTGCCACCAATAGCGATGCTCTTATAAAGCCCTTCATCCTCTTCTCCAATAATGCCGTTCGAAAATGTGATTTGGTATCCTGCCCTTCGAAGTTTGAATTTAGGTATTAATGAACGTAGTCAACAGCCCAGCCGTTGTATGAAGCAAAGAATAAGAAAAGTAATGAGTGAGCGTGACCTGCAGCTGCAGAATTACAATTGATTAGATGACAAGAGATTTAAAAGAGAGTGGTCAGATGAAAAGAGATTCAATGAGGGAAGTGGAAACAGATATGCATACGACCCTCAAACCGTGCATCGATGAGCCTTGGCGCTATGATTGAGAGTTGAAGCACTGCAGTGCGTAGTCCTAGATGTAGATCCCCGGCGCCCATGGGAGAATCATGGACGGATGAATATGGGATAGTGGCGCCATCAAAACTACGAACCGCCAGGGTATATGATTCAATTTTTATATGAATCGGGAAGCTTTGCCAACACTCACAGTGGCACAATGGAGTAAGACATGACAAAATGATTGCTTCGATCAGGTAAAGCCCGAAAGAGTTCAAGGGTCCCGGCGGTACGATTGAGTGAAAGAAACTCGACGCATAACATAAACAGCAGGGAAATCCAGTAAGGATACGAGACTAGTGCAAAAGCACACTTCACAAGTGGTGGCTTGAAATACTTTTGATAGAACATTGCCTAGGATGTAAGAGATGCAAGAATCTCAAACGTCAGAGAGTTTTAAGGTACACCAGGTATGGGGAAAATGAATCCCAGACGTGTGGGGTTTCAGACTAGCTTGGCGGCGTGAGAATTCCCATACCATTGTACAATTTGCATACTCTAAAAGTATGTTGTCCAATGAGGATTATGATTTCTGCAATGCCAAACAAGCTTTGTGCAGACTCCATCGGTTTTTCTTGGGTGTATAAGGCATGGTGGAAGTGAAATCAAAAAATTGAATGGAGTGCGCGATGATGTTAGGGAGGATCACGCTGAAATGTTTGACCTCCTTCAGAAACTCGAGATTCGCAACTAAAACCTTCATTGCTTTTGTCCTATCGGATCTTGAATCTGAAGAGATTTGCGATAGACTATGTTTGACGACGACTTGTTAGATATGGGTGGGATATGTGGATTAGCCTTATATATCTAGGGATATCACATGCAGATTGTGATAACCCGTAGAAATAGTTTCCACGCAAAGTTGTTTCTTTCTTTGAGACACAACAAATTTGTAAGATTGGAAGGATGGAAGACGATTAGAAATATAAAACATATTAAATCCCAGGATGATGTTCATCAATACCAAAAGAGTGATCAAACCATCAGCCTTGCATAGATTACCTAGTAATGCTAGTGTCTAGGATACGGACACGTGACAAAGGACGAAATTCCAGACGCCGGGACTCGGGTATCAAATTAAGCTTAAAAGTCAACAGAGACGATCGGGTGTATTAACTTCCGACTTCTATCTATTATACTCCGTGTCCGTACCTACCAGCCAACAACCTACGTAGGACTCTTATTATTACAATGAATGATACTAACCGAGCTAGCCTCGATCGATATGTAAAAATTAATTAATCATCAGCATAGACTACCTATCTAGATAGAGTACGTCACGATCTAGCGAAAATTTATCACCAAGTACCAAGCCAAAAATGTCGATTTCACACTTGTTTCAACGATGAAGGGGAGAGAAGAAAGAATCCTGACGGAGTTTCGTGGGTGTCCGAAGTGCATTTACATTTCTCTATCTCCAAACGAAACATTTTTAAGCCACATCGGTCATTTCATACTCTTTGATGCTGTGACTTTGTAACTATTACACTCCATTATCGATCTAACAATACCAATACCGGTACTAGGAGGTAATATCTACTACTAGTTGACTCAAATACAAGAACGGCGAGTTCTAGGAGCTAGGCTGACATCAAGCTCCCCCAACACGGCAAGAAGTAGTGCCTTGTCATCCCAAGACTCCATCGTATTTACTTTTCTTCCCCCTCTGTTTCGAGACATTTCCACAACTTCGAACCATTGTAAAGAACCATAACCGCCATCGCATTTAGACACGTTCAACTGTATATCGCAGATATGACCGTCGTCCATGTTTTAGATGATTACTACCTCGCAATAACGTTCTTGATCACAGTTGCATATCAATTATTCTTTTTCGCAATTGCATTTTCTCTCAAATTTGATAAACTTACAGGTCAGACCGAGCTTATAGTTCTCGAGAGATTCTCAATTCACTGCTAACATCAATTTTAGATTTTGCTGGAGGAACGAATTTCGTTGTACTTGCCATCATAACCCTTGCATTCAGTGGTCATCACCATGCACGTCAAATCGTCGCCTCTCTTTTCATCATGGTATGGGGAGCACGCCTGTCGGCTTTCCTGTTATTCCGTATCCTGAAAACCGGAAAAGATGACAGATTCGATGATAAGCGTGACAACTTCTTCAAATTTCTTGGGTTTTGGGTATTCCAAATGTTCTGGGTTTGGGTTGTCTCTTTCCCGGTCACCATATTGAATTCTCCCAAAGTCACGAGATTCCCACAGCCTGCTTTCGGCACTGCTAGTGATATCGCGGGAGCCATTCTCTACGCTATTGGTATCATCATGGAGAGTGTGAGTGATATTCAGAAATATCTTTTCAAAGTCAACAACAGCGACAAATCGAAAGTCTGCGACAAGGGTTTCTTCTCATGGAGTCGTCATCCAAATTATTTTGGGGAGATCATCATTCAGTTTGGTAGGCCTTCTCATCTAATTAAATATTTCTCTCACTAATGAATCGTAGCTATCTATATGATTGCAGTCTCACCTGCTGCCGAAGGCTATGTTCATGGTGGAGCCCGTTCAGCTCTCTATGCTTCAATCCTCGGTGCAATATTCCTCACTACCCTACTCATGTTCGTATCCGGCTTGACGCTTCAAGAAAGACCTGGTGCAAAGAAACGATACGAGAAGGACAATCACTGGGAGGAATACTCTCGATATTTAAACCGAACTAGCATTCTTATTCCTTTCCCACCACAAATCTATGAGAAACTCCCTACGATATTGAAAAGAACAATTTTCTTGGAATTTCCCATCTATGTATTCGACCCGGCAAAACATTCTGATGCTGGAAGAGGTCAGCATGGTGCAGAGGAAGGTCGTCAATCGCATGGACGAGATCGACAAAGTACTGATGCTTTGGCTCATTGAGATAAGCCATTCATAACATTGTTATATATTCTGAAAGTCAAACATGGAAATTTATAATGGCGAAGCTTTTGTCGTTTCTTCAATCAGCTCTCGTCCAGAAGTATCCTCTTATTTCATCCAGTCAGACATGTCAGTCGCAACGAAGCTCGCGTTCGGTTTACCAGCGCAATTTATTTAATAATCATGTATAGGTATACATAATAGCTAAAGATATCCTCATAACTATTTAATAACACAAAAATCATTATCAAGAGAAAAGAAAGCGCGAGACGAACTTGAAATTATAGACAGGTAATCATGTGACGATGACTCAAACCCCAACAAGCAGGGAGTCATCTCATCTCATCCGTGCATGCATCTTTCACCTGTGAGATTTCCCAGATTGTGTCATACAATACCTCACATCTTCTAAGCACTTTATTTTCTTTTGCATTTTCATTCTTTCTCAATGATTCCTCAGCTCGGAGGAGATCAAAACATCTTGAATCGATCTCAATCTTTGCAATTGAATCTCACCTCTACCCCACCTTTCCCATCTCATTCTACCATCATCCAATTCAACCAATAAGCAAGCAAGCGAGCAAGCAACCATGAACGTCTCCTGCGAATGCCAAAACGTAGTTTTCAAAACTCCGTTGGCGAAACCGCTGGCGCTTTATATTTGTCATTGTAATGTAAGATTTTGTTGTTCTCTTCATATTTTGGTACGGGGCTTATATTCCTCATGTTGTTGGGTAAGTCAGGAGACATCTGTGGATTTCTGGAGGTTTGTTGTAGAAGTGGGTGGATAGGCGGATGAAATGAAGTAAATACAGGTAATGCTACCAGGAGCTAACTCGCGCGATTTATAGGAATGCAAACGACAATCCTCCTCCGCATTTGGCGCTTCTGCTATCTTTCCTCGATTTCCATTGCCGTGTCCGGAGTTTTTGGCGGTTTATACGTTGGTTTTCTTTTCATTCTTTCTCCTCTCGCTTTTCCAGCTCTATCAATTCCATACGCCCCTCCTCCCATGACAATAGCAAGGAAAACTAACGTCTCTTCTCCTAAAGTCGTCCCACGGCCTCAGGACACACGGTGAATTGTTATTTCTGCAAAACATGCGGTACACGGTTAATCCACAGTACGCCTGGAAAAAGCGTTGTCAGTGTGAAGGGAGGTTGTATTGAGGGATTGGATTGGAAAATGGCCAAACATATTTGGGTTAAGAGGGCTATGGTTCCTATTCCTGTGAGTTTGTTTTTGGATTCCTTTTCTTGAGATTTGGTCTTAGCTGGGGGGTCTTTCACGGATAGGTAGAGTGGAATTGAGAAAAGTGGTTGGAGCGAAAAGCTGGACACCTTGATGTTAGAACTTAATCCGGCACCTCGAGATTTTATGGGCGTAGAGACGCAATGAGACAGAATGAGACAACATGGAATTGAGTTGCTAATATCGTAAATAGGAAGGAGCTGAAGTGTTAGAAGAGGAACCGGATTATGATCCTTACATTTGTAGGACGACAGATCTTTTGGAAAATGGAAAGATGGATGCTGGGGCTGCGTGAAAGAGACGTGGGATTGAACTACTGTGTTTAGTAGGTATAGAGGACGGTAATGATTATTTCAATTATCTTATTACTACCGAAAACTACTAGCTTTTGATAATCACCAAAGAAGGTAAAATTGGAAGTTCCTGTTTCTTGATCATAATGCCTTCATATTATTAAGCATACCGTACTGAATACAAACTGGCTAAGCGAACAAAAAAACAAGTCTAATTGCTCGTGTCCTACAATTATGCCATACCACCATTCACTTGAAGTGTCTGACCCGTCACCCACGAACTTGCCTCACTACTCAAAAATGCCACAACTTCCGCAATCTCATCTGGTTCTCCAATCCTATTCTGAGGATTTAAGCTAGCAAGTGTCTTCAAAAGTTGATCACTCTTGCCCCTGAAGAATAGCTCGGTCGCCGTTGGTCCTGGCGCTACAGTATTGACCATAATACCCTTTCGTGCTAGATCTTTCGAAAGAGCTCGGGTCATTTGCTCGATGGCACCTTTCGACATGATGTATGTTAGGTATTGTGGTGCTACTGTGCTGGCATGACATTGGGTAGTGGAGAAGAATATGATGCGGGAACCGTGTGCCATATAAGGAACGGATTTCTGGAACCATTAGAAAGCCATACAACTAAGAAGTGGATATAAGACGTACCTGGGCGAGAAACAAAGGACCCTTGACATTCAAATCGAATGTCTGATCAAATTCTTCGCTACTGACATTTTCCAATTCATTCAACATCATAGTTGCAGTGCAGGCAACCAAGATATCAATCTTTCCATGTTTCTCAACGGTTGTATCAACCAATCTTGAAATATCGTCAATATTGCCGGCGTCAGCTTTGATGACCGTAGCGTTCTTCTCTCCGATAATTGATGCAACTTCGTTTGCTGCCGAAGAGTCATTACTATAGTTTATGACTACTATCGCACCATCGCGTGCGAGACGAAGACAAATTGCTCGACCGATTCCTTTGCTTCCACCGGTTACAAGGGCGACTTTTCCAGCGAGTGGTTGCATTGTGGCGATTGCGTGGGATGTGAGAATAGGGTGATGAGAAGAGAAAAGGCGCGATCTAGAGATAACTCATTTGATAGTGCGGTGAATGGACAAATAATAGAGGAAAACTTGTCATATTTATACTCATTCTCGAAGCAAGGGCGTACTCAATACTCATTCATACGATGACTCAAAAGGTTGCGCTGACAAGCCAACTTTGCAAGCATAGACCACCGTTTAACTTGCCGGTCGATAGCATTTTGGTCTCTAAGCTTCATAGATATGCATATGTACGTCGGTGGAACATTCCGCAATATCCGTAATATCCTCGATATAAAAACGGAGGTACTGTGGAGATAGACTCATCACCACGGAGTTTGGGGATATAAATAAACCATATATCCTTTCCATTGTATTTTGGTCAACGCAGATACTTGATACTTCTGATTCCACTGGGAAAACAGAGAGAACCTCTGGAAGACGTCAAGATTCCCACGTATGATACAAATCATCCAATAACTTGAAATCTTGTCGCAAGAAATTCTATTCAATTAGTCTTCGAATGCTAGACTAAAATGAGGATAGTCATATGGTGTATTCTCAAGCTTCAAGCAATACCAAACATGACATTCAATATCAACTTTGAATGTCAATCTTTTTGAGAAAAGAACAAATACGACTGACGGTATATGATACAGAATGTGAGATGAAGTGCAAACGGAAACTTTGCCTTTCGCTGTTGGGAAAGTTTATACAACACAAGCAATTGGCCCGTGCATACCTTTTTTGGCCGTAACATCAGCCTTGTGATATTTAATCATCAAACTTGTAGAAAACAATTATCAAAAGCCTTCTCAACGACACACTTTCTTTTGTAATTTATCTGGTTACTTTTCTGATACCCAATTCAATTCATTTCCGCACATAGAATCTACGGAGCCTCAAATCCGATCCTTCGATATCGTCGAACATTTCCTATCGGTCTGCAACAAAAACAACAATCGCATACAATCAAACCCCTCTATCTCCTTTCTTTCAAAATGGATCAAAGAGAACTTACCTCCAGAGTTTCGGCTCTTCAAAAGGCGATCAATGACAAAGAGCCGGCAGCAAACGTCATTACCATTATGGAAACTCTGAAGAGAGATGTGAATGCCACTGAAGAACTTCTTAGGGTATGTCTACACCCGGCTACATTCCTAAACAAGCTCTTCTGGGTCTTTGTGTCTCCACGATAAACCTTCAAATACATGGACTGATCAATATATTCTCTAGGCAACCAAGGCAGGAATGGTAGTAGCCAAACAACGAGGAAACACGAATAAAGACATTGCCAAGCTTGCCACTGAAATCGTCACCAAGTGGAAAAAAACAGTCGAAGCCGAAAAAGAAAAGCGCAAAGCAAAGCAAATGGCGTCCGGATCTTCTCCCGCAGTTCGCAGCAACAGTACTTCCTCTCCTGCGCCCGCGCCTAGCGCCCCCGTCACGAAAGCCTTCAAAGGCGATTCTTCAAAGCGAAGATGGGAAACTGATAAAGTCGACACTAAGCGTACGGGTCTTCCAACACGCGATGCTTGTATTGGATTAATGTATAATGGTCTTGCTTTCAAATGCGAAGAGCCTCCCACTCATGTTATTATCAAGGCTATGGCTGTTGAACAAGCCGCGTTTGATCACTTTGGAGGAGAGACGAAGGAATATAAAGAGAAGCTTCGTTCCCTCTTTCAAAATCTTAAACAAGTCTCCAATACGCAGTTGCGCAAGAGAGTCATGTCGGGAGATATTGAACCAGCTCGTTTTGTTGTCATGACGCATGAGGAATTAAAGTCAGAGGAGATGAAGAAGAAAGATGACGCGTTGGAGTTGGAGAACATGAAGAAGGCTCAGGTACCAATGGCGGAGAAGAGTATTAGTGATGCTTTAACGTGCGGAAAATGTGGTCAAAAGAAAGTCAGCTATTCGCAAGCACAGACTCGCAGTGCTGATGAACCTATGACGACTTTCTGCGAATGTCAAGTTTGTGGTCATCGCTGGAAGGTATGTATCATCTCAACTCGTGATTACAATCTGATTATCTTTTCTAACCATTCTCCAGTTCTCCTGAACAATTAATCCTCGGCGAAAGTTTCTCTTCTCAGTTCGGTTTTATTATGGATGGTTTAGGGGCAAAGGAGTGCATAGGTGAAATTTTTGTTTTCAGGGTGGTTTTCAAGCATGGAGTTTACTCGAAATACCTCCCGCAGGTCTCCCTAGATTGCGGTTATATTACTTCCGATGAAAGTTCACATATCGCATTTGAGTAAATGAAGATCGATGGATGTCTAGCATGTGATACACACAGAGCTTTCGGTAGTAATATCAATTTAAATCGATACTATAGAAACAAGTTCATTTTCTATTTGATTCATGCTGTCTTCGTGGCGAGACGGATTTAGAAGCCTTTTAAGAAGCCCCAAAAATTGCGGGATGTTAACTTGCTCGATCGCGTACCGAGTGATAGCGGGAAAGTAGAGTGCTGCAAGAGCGACATCTAGACTTGATCATGCATACCGACTTATCTATCTATCTAGGTAGATAAACAACGCGAGGGGATTTCAAGTTCCAATACAGAAGCGTGCAGGGGTTGAAAAGTAGTACCGTTGTTAGGTATACTGTGTGTTGTAGCGAGAGCGAGAGTGACGTAGGCAGGCAGATGCTTATTATTTGCAGTTAAGGTAGGATTCCTGGTTCCATATCTCATAGTATCTATCGTAATAATGTAACGTAGATTGGATTGATAAATTGAACGATTGATTGATTGATAGATAATTTGATAATTTGATATGGTAGTCCCCCAGACAAGACAGACAAGACAAGCCCGCCCCAAACTTCCTCTACGCATAAGGAGATGCAAAATATCCTTGCATTCATCTATCCATCATTGGCATCCTGGTATCTCATATTTGCTAAATATAACGTAAAGATAACGTAAAGAACACAATGTATAAACTAATCATCCATCTATCCATCATTTACTTACTCATTGCTCATTCGCATTTCGCTCGCTTAATGTACTTATGCATCCATTCCTCCATCCAGATCCATTGCATTCAAGATACATCCGAAACTCCATCGCAAACACATATTCCTCCTTTCTTATCTTCATAAATCATCATCATCATCATCATCTCCAATCCGGATATTTCCTCCCATCTACTCCCCTCACGGGACTCACAACCCTTTCTCTTCTCTCTCGATCTCTCTCTCTGAAACTCCTCCCTTCGTATTCATCATCTCTCTCTCTATCCGCTCTTTCCGTTCTGATCCTTCTTGCGGGGATTTCCTCATGACTACTATGTCTCGTTTGTAGCCTAGGTCGTTCCCTTCTCTTGTAATCTCTTTCCCTATCTCCCCTATCCCGCTCATCTCGGTCTCGATCTCGATCCCTATCCCTCTCTCGATCTCGATCCCTTTCCCTCTCCCTTTCGCGATCTCTATCCCTATCCCTATCACTCCTATCTTCTCGACTACTGTGCCTCCTACTTCCCCTCCCTTCTCCACTCTCTCGCCCACTTTCTCCACCACTCCCTCCACTCACATGATGAGAATGACTACCAACACCCTCCCCTCTCATCCCCCCATTCCTCCACATCTCCGCAATATCCCCCAAATCCCTCCACTTCACACCTCTACTATCACTTCTTCCCTTTTCTCTCTCCCTATCCCTCTCCCTCTCCCTATCAATATCAACCGATCCTCTCCCCGCCTCTCTCTTCCTCCTCCCTGCCAAAAACGGCGCGCTCAATTTCCCATTCAAATCAATGTTAGTCGGATACTGACCCCGTCTCACTTTCTCCTCAATATCTCTCTGTCTCTCCCTCTCCCTCTCCCTTTCCCTCGCATCCGAAACCGGAGACGGCATCGTACTACCCGGCGCCGTAGATGGAAATGCAAACACCCGAGGACTATCCGCTCCAGCACTTCGTGACATGTAAGCAGTTTGCGGATGTCTTGGTAGGGACCGTCCACTTGTCGATGTTTTTATCGGAACCGTGCGAGTTTTCGGGGAAGGATCGTCTTCCGAATCCGAAGTCACGCTGGTATCGCTGGACGAATCGGAGGAATCGGAAACAATGGGTGCGTGGCGGGATTGTCGCGGATGACTATGTCTTCGCGGGTGAGCGGGGTGCGGCGGGTCCGGAACCGGGACATGATGATGGGGATGGTGGGGATCGGCTGGGGGAGCGGGGTGCGCATGGAAAGTAGGAGCGTCCTCTGAGACGGGTGAACTTAGATTGGGAAAACTGCGATGACGACCGCGGGGTATACGGGGTGCATATGGTTCTTCTGGAGCGAGAAATTGACGCACCCGATGAGTGGGTGATCGGTTGAGAGGGGGTCGTTGAGGTCGAGATGCTGAGACATGGGTGTAAGGTATAGGTCGACTGGGTCGACGGGTAGTGGATTCACGGGTCGCCGATTCGCGAGGAGGCTCACGAGTAGATTCCCGGGTGGATTCACGAGTAGATTCACGAGTAGATTCCCTAGTAGATTCCCGAGGCGGCTCGCGAGTAGACTCACGGGTAGACTCACGAGTGGAAGGTTCGAAATAGCCGCTGCGGGGATGCGCAGCATTTGTTGGTGTTGGCTCTGGGACCCTGGGCGAAGGCCGAACATGAACGTATGTTGCTTGTACTTTCGGTCTCGGCGGGAGGTCCGGTGTGGAAGCATCCTCTTCATCATCCGGCGTTGCTCGTTTGCGTAATTTCTCTGCACACGTCCGATGCCATTCCTCTATTCCCGCATCCGGCACCAATGGGAACGCTTCTTTTGGCAAATCAATTGGGAATCTCTCTCCCGTATCTGGATTTTTGATTTCGAAATCTCGGACGGCGGTTTGGAGGAATGGCACATGTTCCTCGGGCCCCAAAAGTATTTCTATCGATTGCCATCGTACGAATCCTCGCACAGTGAGACATGGTATTGAAGGGGGGGCAAAATCATCTTTCGTCGGGTTTAATGTATGTTGACAGCCTATCGAGGCATAAATCCAAGAGATGGATGGATGTGTCGTCTCCACAAAAAGAGCTATGTAAACGGAAGCTATTAGCAAGCACGCTTCTAAAATCGCGGATAGACAAGGAAGACGACGGGAACCCGAAACTAGATACCCCTCCCCTCCAAACAAAAGAAGACTTACAATCATAATTTCCACCAACAGCTTTATAGAAAAGTGCCAACTTCTCTGGCGTTAGGAATTTATCTTCTTTACTTCCCACATTCTCTATCTGCCACAATGATAAGCACAAAACTCAAAGCGTAAATTGCGAAAGTTTGAACAATCCTTACAATATGATTCGCGACTCCTCTCAACAGCGCATTTAGTACTGGCGTCGGACTCTTATTCTCATCAAACAAATATCCATAGAATTCTTTTGGGTCCACGTCGGGAGTGTTCTCCTGTGGTTGCGGTTGGGTCTGCGCCATATTCACAAAATACAATTTCGATATCTCAGTACCTCACTTTGCCGAAAATGATCAATCAATAAGATCTCGATATGGTTGTTGTTGGCTATTGTGTTTTGGCATCGCATTCGTTTCCTCTGGCTGTTTTGTCCGCATCGATAGAGCGGATCGCAAGAATATATGTATGTAGATACGAATAAAGGTGCGGTAGGATTTTATTCGTGAATCAAGTGATTAAATGGTTTGTACAACAAAAGCAGAAGATCTTTTTTATTCATGAATGAACGATGCTGCGCAAAATTTCATCACCAGTCATAATCCTAATGATTGGGCATGAGCTGGCAAATCATCAGGTATCGGTCTCGTAGGCTGATTTTGCCGTGATATGGGACGAGTGTGGATGAGACAAGCGGTGGGATGCTTATGATTCTGGGGTACCTAGGTAGACAGTACAAGGGTCAATTGAAGAGGTATGAGATTCGTTAATCTTGATTCAGAAAGTGACGACAGGAGGAAAGCTCTTCTTCAACTCGTTCTCGAGGATTAATATACTTTGGATGAATTACTCGATTATGATTTTTGTTGGTTTGTATGATGATCTATATTGAAGATGGCTGGTCAACTAGTATCCATCTGGCAGGCATAACACAAGTGTGATATACAGAGTATCCGTGGAAAAGCCCACTGACAGCAGCCTTGTCTTGGGCTTCAAAGCCTATGAGCCTGTCAAATTTAGACGCGTAGTATTCAATATCCCTGGAAATGATGATTGTTAGTGGGGTTGCGCGGGGCTATACACGGCGTCAGAAGACCGGTGGGTCTCTGAATCATATGGAAGGCGTTTAGAACATTGAGATTTGATTCTATAGAACATTTAGAAGAATCGTTTGGTGAGATTTGGATGTCCTGTGGGTCCTCACAATGAAGCAACAAACGGGAGAAGATATTGCAGAATAGTAAATTGTTATTAGTTGTCTACAAGTACCTCCTAATGTGTACTAGGTACCTACAGAGTAAATAAGTAAAAGGGTATCTTGTACTCGTAAGTGTGCCTTCCAGCAAATTCCCAAATTCCCAAACCCCAAATCAAAAACACATATTGGTATCCCAAAACTCCCATTAAAACCCGTGTACTCTGAACTTTAAAAATCAAGTGATTGCTTTCCCCGACCATTTTACCCAAAAAGCAGAAAAAGCGACGCAAAAAAACAACCGAATCCATTTCAAATCAACATCTTGATGGATCAACTGGCCTGCTTGATACCTCAGTGTGCTCATAGCTTGGAGGCAATTCTGGACGTGGAACAGTAGAACTCGAACGCAAAATACTATTCTCAACCAAGTCCTCTCTTGGCATCTCAACAACTCGTGGTCTGAGATACTCATTCGCATCTGCTAGCTCTGCAGCAGCTTCTTCTGCGGTGAGAGCGAGTGGCGCAGTTCGGTTGCCTTGAGCTGCAATCTGTATTGGGAGACAGAGTTTGACCGTAGAAGCTGGAATTCCTGCTCCTGGAGTATGAATGGATAAGGCGAGATCCAATGAGTAAGTTCGAGAGACGATGCATGAATGGAATGAGGGGACCCAAGTCTTTGACGAAGGCAATGAAATCGGGACTAAAATTTCTGCTGTATAGTAGATCTTGTCCTGTGCCTTTAGCGACATTTGTGAATCATCTGAATATTCAGACGAACTAGACGATATGGTAGAAGCTCGTCGGGACAAATCTGGTTGTGGTAAGTGCTTCACCCATGCGACCTGCTCAACACATCTTGACGAAAGAGGAACCGAGGTTTGATAAAATTGTCGGGCAGGGTCAAAGTTCTTGACCATACTCGATTTGGAAGAGAGAAATTTTGCTGGCTTGGTAGCATAGAAACTTATCGCTTTAATTTTAGTAACTAAACTACCAAGACGAGGTGGTTGTGAGCTAGCATCGTGTGGTTCAAATTGCAGCTTGACAGTTGCCATTGACGTGGCCCCCGAAGAACTTTCAGGAGACGGAAGAACGATTGCTCCAGTTTGATCGGCTGAAACAGTTATTTTCCCTAGCTTTCCAGAGAATACGCCCTTTCTCAGAGACTTTGTCTTAGACAGCTCGTAATCATTCTTGTCATCGTCTGAGATACTCAAAGGAGGTGCTTCCGCCACCATTGGTATTATTTGAAGTTTCTTCGAGCCCTCAATCAGAGAAATCTCCTTCTTTGGGAAATCATTGTGTTTGATAACTCTGGCATTGATTGAGTATTGGACTTTGGTCATCTCTGGAGCCAAGTCATCTAGTATGGATGTTTCGCGATCGCCCATGCTAGGAGGCAATTGCACATGTGCCATATGGACATGATCGGCATCACATGCATGCGAGCAAGCTGTTGGAAGGAGTTGGTCTGGGATGACAAAGTTGAATGGGAAGATATATGTTTTGCCAGCTTCGGCAATTCGTGGTTGAGGATATGCAGCTTCTCGAATTGGCATGACGAGTTTTAGAAATCTGTGTACGGCTGTTGTTTTGGATGCTGCACTGGAATGAGATATGTTTTCGACATATGTTCGAGTAACACCTTCCAGGGTAATCCGGATTTCATCGAATTCCGCATCATGGGGAGCTGTGATTGAGGCCTTGCCTGACAAGCCATCGAATGTTGTATAGGTCTTTCCATCATGGTGGTCATCTAGGATAATTTCGACATCTGGTCGTTTGAACGAGTTGATTTTCTTGGCATAAGTAGCAATTGTTCCAGAGCCAGAGGATACGCTTGGAGCAGACATTTTGTCTGAAGGTACTTGAAAAAGAAGCTGGACAAAATAGAAGAGGATGTGCGATATAGGAGGGGAACAATGTTTAGATAAGTACTATTGGATATATGATCATGCGGGGAAATATGTGCGCTGAAGGCTCTTGGGTGTAGCTTTGATAAGAACAGGGAAGGAATCGACAATTGCAGATTGATATCGGTTGTGAAATGCCGAATTCAAATGTGTGATTGATATGAAGCTGTTTTCGTATCTTGGTGACACTTTTTGAAATCTGGAAACAGGATGAGATAATGGATTACCTTTATATATAACAATACCTACTCGAGTGCTGTTTTCATATTGACTAGTAGCTCCAGAAAATAATAACACCATCCATGACAAACCTTTGAAGATGAGTCAAGCTTGTCAGATATGCGCCCTTGATGCATCATATGGAATATTTTCTATTTGATGTACATGTCTCGACTTTCCAACAATCTAGGATCCTCCGTCCGTGCTTTGAAGGGAAGTGAACGTCAAATGATCCCTAACGATTGATGATGTGATTGGTCAATCAATATCCGTGCATCGATCCAATACGCCCTTCACTGTCTACCTTCACTGTCTACACCGAATTGTTGATGCGCCTCCATGTCACTGTCAAGAATTTACTACCTGGGCGAGCGGGGCATACAAGATGTTATGTTATGACTAATCACTAATCCGTAGAAATGTGGTGATCTGTGCTACTATTCCGTATAACCTCAATTCCCATATCACAATGGATTACTAATGTTGCAATATGAATGATATCTCACCCAAAATAATCCGACACTTCGTCTCTCGTGAGGCTGACTTGCTGGTAACTATCAATTCTGGCTTCTCTGATCAACAATCGAATATTCAATGTTGTCTCACCCATGCAGCCGGAATATCGATATCCAACTCCGAACCACCGCAGGAATAAGAACGAAAGTCTGGAAGTCAACATTACCCATTCTCCATTCCCATCACATCATACGGGCCACTCAAACTTTCCCTTCCCTACCCTTTTGAACTACCTACCTCACATCCATCCCAAATCCCAGGATCCCTCTAACCCAACCTTTCCTCCAAAGGTATTCCTATCCTTTTCCCTCCCCAGCAAGCACAAACAAATCCCATGGAAGGAAAGGCGCGACTCCTTCATCTCCACCCCAAACCTTCGTATCCACTCCCCAAACCACGCACGAAACGAAATTTTCGCGACCTTAATTCAACATCGCAAATACTTAACGTACACGATCACCTCTGACACATATCTCTCTTACAACTGCTGATAGCGATCAACTCCCCAGCCAACGTGTTGAAATTTTCACGTCCTGCAATTTCTGCCATTGCTTGGGCGCATTCCATCATGGGTATACGAATGTCATTGTAGATTCTAGCCTTCGAGTATACGAGTCTGGGATATTTAGTATCGATTATGTATCCATAATACGATTCGAGTGATGTCGTGATGAAAGGATTGGTTCTCGAGATGGGCTTGTCATTTCTCCTTCTTTTGCGTGTCATCTCGATTCTCAATATCTGATGTATTTCCCATGTGAAAAGCTCATCACGCCCTAGAATAGAGTAGACTGTTTTAATTCTCCTTCCATCCCACTCCACCTCATCCCCATTAATCGTCCATTACCTACCACCTAGTAAATCCTCTGCAGTCCAGTCTCTCTACTTTAATCATCGCTGCTGACTACCAAAATACTACCCCACAAATCCCGTAATATGTCTTCCCCAAGGCGTACACATTCATTAGTATCGCCCTCTATACAGAACCATAAACCCCCAACCCAGCAAAAATTTCACATGTAAGATTTCCGCCCTATGCTCTACGATGAGGTACAGCTCTAAAGACCAACCCGATATCGGACGCGCGGGGAAGAGTCATCCATCCATCTCTCTCCATTCACATTCACATTCACATTCACCCACACTACTCTACACTACACTACACGTCCACCCATTCCACACCGCATCACAGCACAGCACATCCCAAACAACACGGCAAAACGGCTCACGGCGAGCCAGGAGCAGAAACAGAAGCGGAAGAAAATCTAGCTTTCCAGGTTCGCTCTGGGCCTTCCCCACACAGACCCATCCGTACCTTGATGGTATGGTACTCCGCGAGTCTCCATCTGTTAAGCGAACGCCGTGTCGGTGTTCAAAAGTCGGTGTTGGGACTAGGTAGGTACACAATCGAAACCCTACTACATATCATCTCCGGTATTTTAACTTTTCTCTGGATAACTAGCGCTCAGGGTATCGAGGTACCTACCTAGTTATGCTATACCGGTTGAATAGCTTGTTTGGGGGTTTAAGTTTTAGTGTTGTGTGAGTCTTACAGGGTCAGAGTGTTAGAACGTTAGAGTCATATATCAACAGTAGTACACATAAACAGAAGACAGATACTTTTGTATCACCCGCCTGGAATTATCATGGAAATACATTTGTTTTTTATATGCTAAATGAGTTGTGCTATATTATTTTTATTGATATTGTAGCAACTACTAGTATCTTAAGCAAATATATTTCATGCCGATACTTTCTCCGAAATATACTATATTATCTATTCCATCGCCTATCCACCCATTCGTTTAGCACTCAATCCACATCTAAAGCAAAAAGCCCTCTGACACGCGAACCCATCTTTTCCGCATTTTCGAAGCGTTCCTCCGGGCGTTTGTACCATTCCTGGACTATGTGATGAATCTCTCAATTCCCTTTTTCTCATAAGATCTCTTCGGGTAGGTGTGGCATAGTCAAGAAGAGGCGTTCTTGACTTCCTTGATTCACTGCGAGTGGGTGTGATGATACCCCCTCTCCTCTTGTATGGTGATACAGTAGGCGTTCTGTTACCATTGATCATATTCTGGAGAGCTAAATCTTCAGAGTCGAATGTAGGTGTCTCAATTTCTTGGTTAACGTGATGTGATGGGGTAAGGGGCGTATTTTCTTTCTCATCCAGGTCAACGAATTTTCGTTTGGGACGAGGTATAGGGGAGAACCGAGTAGGCGACGAAGTGCGCGGTACAGGACCGTTATCAACAGAATTTCTCCTCTGTTGCATTCTCGACTGTATCCTTTCATCTACTGCAACAGTAGGTGACGACTCAACTTGTGAAGTTGAAGGAATAACAGCACTACTACTAAATTTTCTGTTCGTCCTATGTTTCCTCCGTGAGTCCAGAGCATTTCTTGGAGACGTTTCCGGAAGTTGATCAATATCAAATATATCAATGCCAGTCTCATTTACTCTATCTGATAGAGCAACATCAATATCAACAATCTCAGGCTCAGGTTCAGATTTTATTTCGAGTGTAGGTTTTTTGGGAGAAGCGATAGGTAGGGACTGTGGCCATTCGGCACTAAGCTCGTCAAACTCATCAAGATCTTTGAGAACGCTCAACCCTTTCTTCGGCGGCACAAAAGCGACAGGATTTGTTTCGGAGACTGCTACTTGTTTTTCCTCCCGTTTGATAGTAGTTCGAGACCCCTTTTGTTTGTCCTTTCCTGGCAATGAGCAGAGAAACAAAACGGCATCTCCCTCAAGGCCAAGGCTCAACTCATCAACTTCCTCTGACACGGACTTCGTTGTGCTTTTCTTTTCAGAAGATTTTGGTTTCCTACTAGTTCCACCTTTCAATTTGCTACTACTCGATTTTCTTGCTCCTTTCTTGAGCTTGGTTGTTGAGCCTTTTGAATGTCGCGTCGCCTCAAGATTAGACCCAGTTTCTTCATCTGAGAATTCGTAGGCGGGATTAACAGTGACTGGCGCAATCCTCTGAACTTTAGGGCCGATATGTGTAGGAAGTTCCGGCTGACCATCACTTTCCTCCGAAGATTCCAAATCAGAGCTCCTCAAATTCAAGGCGTCTTCATCTACATCCACCGGTCTGACATCGGTCAAGTCAAATACACTGGCGTCTCGAGCCAAATCCTTGTGTAATCTACGGTCCAAGAATTTGATTGTGGCAACAGCATCTGACCAACTAACTAAAGTCGATGCCTGCTGGGCAGGCTTTCGAGTTCTGGAAGATCGTTGGAAGGAAGATATCGGGTGCGAAATACGTGATGCAGATCTAATGCTCGATTCTGTTTCCCGATCTTTTTCATTATATGACCCACGAGAACCTGGTCTAGTTGAGCATTCCTTAGACCACAAATGGAGATATTTTTTGCGGTACCTCTGTTTCCAAGAAACTCTCGAGTGCCGGCTATTTAGAATTTCTAATCCTTCCCATATAGACTCCGTTGCAAACGGGAGACCCTGATCGCGTGCTTCGGCTACCTTTGCGATGAGCGTCTTGTCCTCTTCTTCCGTGAATAAATTGTGACCCCGTGGTGAGGCAGCATGACTTGAAGTGCTCAATCCGTCCGAAAGTAATGTTGGTTTATGTGTAGCTCTTGGAGTTCCTTTTGCGCCTCGTCCTTTTGGTAGAGCCCATATCGACCCAGAAATACCGGGAGATGGACTACGCTCAGTTTCTGGCTCTGGAATAAAAGCTCTCAACGATGACCGCTTTCTTGGTTCTAGTGAAGGCAACTCAGGTGCTCGCCAGGCTGGTTCGATATCGGTGTCATCGTGGCTTTGCTTTTGTGAAATGAGGCTCACAATTTGAGGGGCAACTTCAGGTCCAAATGAACGTAAAATTTCATTATATGAAGGAAAAGAAATGCTGTGTCCTTCAGATTGTACAATCTGACGCTGTTGTAAATCGTTTCTAGGGGTGCTGTTCCGAATGCATTCTGTCTCTGTCGTAGATGCCATGTCAAGAAAAAGCTCCTGTTTCGGTTCATCGTAGCCACGTAAAATAATGTCGTCCTCCTCCATATCCTCATCACTCATTTCGGCCACATCATCTTTATCAACTATTTTGTCGCGTACGTTATCTCCCTCTTCCCTATCATCTCCTTCTTCCACATTGCTATATTCGTCGCCCGATGTCTCTGTGACACACTCTGGTTCGGCGGTCAAGGCTCTTAACAGACTACCTCCCGCCTTTTTGCTTCCAGCATCTCGCTCATCTTGCATCTCTTTCAAATGCCCATTATCAACCAATATTTCCCCAGTAAGCAAGTCAATTTCATCCCCAACTCCATCGAAATCTTTCCCATATTTTTCGAAGATTGATTCGAATGTTGATTTTAATTTGTAGTCGAGTCGAGCTCTCTTTTGTTGAAGTTCTTGATCGGGATCATATCCAGGTTCGTAAATTATATCGTCGTTCTCGTCATCGACAATAAAATCATCTTCCTCAGTGTCACTATAATCTTCAGAGTACTCGTCGTTAACTTCGAGGTCAACAAGATTGGAATCCGCGGGCATCTTCTGCCTTTCTGTTGGAGATTCCATATTGATAATTCGCAATCATGTCCGAAATTTGAGAATGTTGTGGAAATCATGAGAGTGTGTAGTTGTACATCACTATTTCAGTAAATGAAGATGAGAAGTTATTAATCAAAGTCGCGAGCCGTATTTCATAGAGTCTCGGGAATACGCGTTGGGTTCGTGTAAATTACATAGTGCTAGGTAGGTACATGCATAAAGCTTAAAAGTAGATTGGCGGGGTTGCATAGGTAACTGAGCTAAGATTATGTAAGCATGCATTCAGCTTTACCGTACGAAATACGTCAAGGTATCAATCATGTCAATCATATCAATACGTCTAAGATCCAACTACAAATGAGTGAATCTACAACACTTCTTATTATTCTAGAATTCTCTTGGACTTTTGATGGACCACAATGCCAGATATCCATTGGTCGATAGATTCTTGAGGATTCTCCATAATTTAATGTGAACAGTTATCAGCAGTCAAACATCCACAACATGTATTGTCAAAAGTGTCGGACGTCATTGAAACTTGATAGCTCCTTGGAGGATCTGAACCCCGCGGCATTTGATTTGTTAGTTGGTTCGTAATTATTCTCTAGATTGTCTACATACCATCTTGAGAAGAATCAGAGCTTATTAACATTGATTTCTAGGTGCAGCCTCACAAAACCAAGCCAAAAACATCCCCCCTTCGCGACCAGCATATCCTCAAGACCGAAAGAAACTATATGATCGTGTCTCGAAGCATGCCAGTCCACCAACTTTCAAGCGGACAATCTCCGCCCCCCATCGACATGAATCTAATCTATCAGATACGATGAGAAGTGGCACGAACAATCCAGCCATGTCTTTTGTCATGCTGACAGAATCACAAGTCGTGCCGCCATCAGTTGCCAAATCATCAGATGCTACAACCCCGAATAAACTAAATCAAGATGACTTAACTGGTAGCGATGCAGCAGGCGATGGGGGTAAAGCAATGTCGCAAGAAATGGAACGGGTATCAAGACTTTTCGAGATTCTTACAGCGAAATCCGATATTGATCATCCTATTTGTGTTGAATGTACAGAGATGCTTGTCGATGGATTACAAAAGCGATTAGAAGCTGCGACCCGAGAAAGGGATGCATATGTTGGATTTTTGAAGCAGGTCAACGCCGAAGTACCAACAGAGGAGGAGTTGAAGGAAGCCAACGATCTTCTTGCAAAGGTACAAGCAGAGGAGGTCGCGGCAATAGAGGAATTAAAGAAGATCGAAGCGGAAACTGCTGCGGTAAACGAAGAAAATGCACAGCTGGAAGAAGAGGCCAGAGCTCTTGATATTGAGGAAGAAAAATTCTGGAGTGATCGAAATGAGTTTGCAATGAAGCTCTCGGAGTTTCAAAACATACGGGATAGCATCAATCTTCAATATGATCATGATTCACAGCTACTGGATAAGTTACAAAGAACGAATGTCTATAACGATACATTTTGTATAAGCCACGACGGAAAGTTTGGTACAATAAATGGCCTGCGACTTGGACGACTCTCAAGTGTGCCGGTTGACTGGCCGGAAATTAACGCAGCATGGGGACACGCATTACTCCTTCTAGCTACTGTTGCTGGTCGTCTCAACTTCAAATTCGATGGATATGAGCTTCAGCCTATGGGCTCTACTTCTCGAATAATACGTTTTGATTATCCCTCGCAGTCTGCAAGTCGTTCTAGCTCACAACGCGTTAATATATCCAAACCACCCAAGAAATCGATTCTTGAACTTCATTCATCTGGTGATATGCCCCTTGGTCTTACATTCATGCATCGCAAATTTGATATAGCTATGGAGGCATTCCTTGAATGTATGCGTCAATTAGGTGCTTTTGTTGAGCAGGAATCTGCCAAGAACTCTGAAACCGGAAGGGGTCTAAAGTTACCATATAAAATTGAAGGAGAGAAGATAGGCGAAATTAGTATAAAACTAGGAATAGCACAAGATGATGCGTGGAGTAAAGCGTGCAAGTACACTCTCACATGCTGCAAATTCTTGTTAGCTCACGCCAGCAATGTTAATACTACGAGGAGGAGTATATAATTTATGATTATTGGTGCACAGGGGACTTACGGCGCATTAGGTCAAAGAATGGAAGCGCGGAAAAGGCGTTCCTGGTACTTGGACTGGACTTACGGCGTTTAATATGATCACAATGCTTTCACTACGCACACTTAAAGACAATTTGAGAAATGCAACATTTATTATTTTATCATTCAATATTTTAAAGCACCTGATTTTTTCTGTTCCAATTTAGATTTTGCAAAAGTATACAAATCAAACTCTCTTTGTCAATTTTGTTGGAGTGAAATTTCCAATCTAAGTCACTTTTTTTGTGCGTTTCCTTCTTTAATTGATCTTTTTGGTTGGCAAGGTTGCCTTTTTGAAATCTTTTTAAATCACCTTATAGTAGATACGTCGTCTCCGAGTGGCCAGCCACATGCTAAGGTCAGACAATGTCTCTGCGGGCACGTTATCTTTCTCCTCGGCTCTTCTCTCCTGGGTCATGGTCTTGTCGTTAGCTCTACCTGCATCTCTACCAAGCTCCATACACTCCTGCGCCAAAGTGGGAAGCTCTCTCGCATACCTCTTCTTGGCGTTGTGAAGCTTTCTGCTGCGTTCGCTCCGATGTTTGATGGGTGGTTCAGGGGTAAGCTCGGGTTTTGAGTTCTTGGGTTGTGTGCTTGGTGACATGGTGATAAAGGGGGGCGGTTTGTAAAATCTAGATAATGGGTGAGTTTTGTATTTATGTGTTTGGAGATTGGTTGATTCAGGAAATGCAGATGGGGTGAGACTTGTGATGTATAGTAGTGATGATTTTATTAGATAAGTGTGAATGAAGATGAATGAAGATAATACTCCTTCCTTCGAACACCACATTGCATTGCTATTATATACCCATTTAATTCGACACCTCTTGTCCAGTCTGAACAAGTCAACTCACGTATTTACGAATAACGGTCTGAATCAAGAACATTGGCACTGTTCACCTTTCCATGAGCTTCGACGGACGCCCATGTTTCACAAAAACGCTTTATCGAGCGATAAACCTCTTTATCCGCATTTAGACGAGTATACATCTCAGAAATGAGGCCCTAGAGACTTGAGCATGAGTACTGAATCAAGAGAATCAATAAATGATTATAGGGGAGAAAATAGTACGTGATTAGAAGATCCGTGATCGTGATTCTGGAAAAAATCAAATGGGGCGTGTAAATTCGTTTATTTTGAAATTGTGTATATCCTTTGTCAGTACGAACAATCTTGATGTCCAAATCAGTACACCAATCATGCATGTGTTTCCATTTCTTCCTATCGTCTGTATCCTGTTCTATTGTTTGATATCTGTCTATCATATATTGCAACCTACATCTTTCTTCATTCACCCCCTATCGTTGGAATGGTAGAGAGTCTAGACTTCGAAAGCGAGTTGTGCTGAGCCCCCTTCGAAGCAACAGCTTTTTGTGCGCGGCTTACGGGTCTTTGTTCTGAAGACTGTTCGTGTTAGTTGTGGTGTTATTCATTCTAGCATTCAAGTTCAGCATGCGAACAAGTACTTCATGTACGGACTTCGAAATTCCACTCTCATCACACATCCACTAAAGCATGTCTCCCCCCCCTTCCTCATCCAACCTCTTACAACTATCTCATCCCTCCCCATGCCAATTAAAATCTTCCCGAACACTATTAATACACCCAAAAATCTCAACTCCTCCTCTCTCAAACTCCTCCTCTCTCAAACTCTCCCTCTCTCAAACTCCCCCTCTCTCAAACTCCCTTTTTCTCAAACTCCTCCTTTTTCAAATTCCTTCTCTCTCAAACTCTCTCTCTTTCAAATTCCCCCTCTCTCAAACTCCCCCTCTCTCAAACTCCCCCCTCTCCATCGCGTTCCCCCACAAGCTAAATATCCAAATCTGAGATCCATATATGCACACATACACACACGCACACACTCCGAGAAACAAAACACGATGTGGTGAGTGTGAGCGAAAGAAAGAAAGAAAGGAAGGAATATTAGAATATTAGAAAAAAACAAGAGAGCAAGGATCTCTCTAGACAACCGAGCCGAGATTTGGAATGAGCGATTGGATTGAACCTTGAAACTAGATAGGGTGTGGTGGGTGAGAGGAATATAAATATAAATATGAAAACCACGCCTAGATCTCATCCTCCCATCGATAGTAATCTTGCGTGACAGTCACCATCGTCATCAATAATCGATAGCTTTGGAGATTGGATCGATACGTTTGAGTTTCTTTTCTCCTTCTTCTTTTCCCTTCTCTCGTTTTCCTCTCATTTCCCCCCTTTCTTTCATGACCGGAGAGAGGCAGTGCAGAGGACAACAAAATCTTTAGAAAATTAGAAAGGGACTAAGAGGGAAGAAAAGGGAAAAGAGAAACCCATTAAAGTAGATGGGTAGTCTTTTAATTTAAGGATTACATGTCATGAAACCTCAGTACGTCCTCAGCATCACTCGAGTGAATATAAGTGCCTGTTTTCCTTGAGTCAAGGTAACTGTCATCATCTTTTTCTTGCATTTGATATGTTAAGAATAATCTCATACATTGGAAAAACTGTTGTACAGTAGGTAAGTATATATCATCTCATCTCTCATTATCATTAAAAGCATCTAGGTGTTTACACCTCAGCTTAGGTAGGTAGCTAAGCTAACATATGTAACAAGCAAGCTATGCAAAAAGCTCACTACCAGGTATATCTTCAGAACTCCTGAAATCATCATCCCGCCCATATAACTACAGACTTCCCATTCTTCTCAAATACTCACAAATATCAAGCTCCCATCCCAACTTTCCCTCCACCTCTCACAAAATCTACTCAATTCCCCTCCATAACTTGCGCAATGGGAATCTTTTCAATCTTACTATTCTGTTCCTGATCCCTACTGACTTGATAGAAATCATCACAGAAATCAGAACACTGCATCACCTTCAAGAATTCTTCATCGTGAGTAATAATGATGAGTTGAAAATTTGCTTGTTGTTGTCGGGATTTAATGATGTCGTGTAAAGATTGTGCGAGTGCTTTGATGTTGTCTTGGTCTAGATTAGTGGTAGGTTCATCGAGTGCAATGAGCTGTAAATAATGTTAGAGTCATATCAATTAAATTACAAGAAGGGAAAGAGGAAAGAAACATAACCTACACCACAATTGATACCGAAACATTCAGCTAGCGCCAAGCGAATGATGATACAAGCCAAAACTTTTTGACCAGCACTGCAACGACCACGCATATCCATCTCGACATCTTGCTTAACCATCACAACTCGATACTTATAATTTGTCTTCTTGTTACCAGCTGCGGTTTCGCCCTCATCTTTCTCAGAACGAATCATGATTGTATCGACATCCGTACCCTGGTAGGTAGTCTGCCACAATTCCCCAGCAATTCGATTAATTTCCTCCATCTTCACACTGTGAAATTTTACAATTGCTTTGTCCATAGCTGTAATCATCTTGCCTAGATCATCAATAGCAGCCTTTGTCGTCTTGACTTTAATCATAGCTGTACGATACTCTGACCGAGCGTTTTTGTAATTCAGATCCCAGTCCTGCAAATATTGTGCCAAGTTTTGATCCTTTTCCGAGAGAACGGCTGTTTTCTGTTGATAGAGGCGACGATGGTCGTAGAACGTCGCTTGTATTCTCTCTGCCTCCTTTGTTAGAGTTTGAAAATTTCCTTCCACATTTTGAGACTCTAAATCAATAGTTTGTTTCTTATAAACCTCTAGTTTAGCCAATTCTTGACGGTATAGGATGTTGTCACTGATATTTGTCTTTAGTCGATCGGAATCACTCTTCTTAGCTCGGAGTGCATTCAACTCGGTTGTGATACTGTTCATTTCTTCGCCGATACGCTTTTGATCTTGCTGAATGGATTTGATTGCTCGCTCACAAGCAGCAAGATTTTCAGGACCACTATTTTCAATATATCCATTGATATTTTTCTCATGTTGCAGGAATTGACGAACAGTGTCTGCCAACTTCTCCTTTTGAGATCGAACCTCTCTTTCCTTTGCATGGCCTTGCTGTTGAATATCTTCGTATTTAGCTTTTGCAGTGTCAATTTTAGGTTTCAAATTTTCCAGCTCGGCATCAACACGATTCATGGTTTCACGTTGCTGTGTGCTGCTCTCGAGAAGCTCATCAATCTCCTTTCGCAAAGCTTGTTTCTTTGCCAATCCGTGAATGACATCCCGAAGTCTTTGCGATTTGCGGGATAGATCACGCTCCACGTCGTTTATCTTGTCCTTAGCTGCATCTTTCTCGGATGAAATTTTTGACAATTGTTCTCTGACCTCGCGCATACTTTCGCTACAAGCTGTCTGTCGTTCTTGGATATCGTCAGCAGTCATGATACTTCCAGCAATGCTTTGCTGCGATGCTAAGCTATCGATCTTTGCCTCGTGGTCGGTGATATCACTATGGTACCTAATGATGGAGGAGATGATATGTGTCAGAGATTCGACATCTCTCTGTCTAGCGTTCTTGCGTTCAACAACACTGTCGTGATGCTCAACTTCTTCAAGTAATCTTTGCTTCTCATCTTCCGCCTTCTTCATATCTTGCTCAACATTTGGGATTTCGTCCTTGAGGGATTGATAAATGTTATACTGCGATTGAGCAGCTTTCGCAGTCTTCAATTGTTCATTGTACATCTCCAGCTCTCCTTGCAATCTTTCTCGGGCATCTTTGTTAAGAAGTTTCTGAATTTTCTTCATGGCGGCTGAACGGTGTGCTTCTTCTGCAAAACCTCTCTCACAGAGTTTGCACATATCCTTAGTCTGAATGGTGGTTAAGCATTGGGTGAAGTATTCGATCTTGTGTTTGAAGCCATCGATATTATCTCGGATCTCGTCACGCTCCTCCTCCAGTTGATTCAGTTCCCTAGGATATTCTTCAACACTTACTAATGGTTTGAAGTCTTCATCTTTTATAGAATTGAGTACAGCATTCTCACAAGCCTTTAATTGCTCTTTCTTAGCTTTGAGGTCTTCACGAAGAGCATTGAATCGAAAACCTGCTTCAGAGTGAGACTTTTTCGCAGCTTCTTGTTCATTTGTTGCGTCTGAAACTTCATCTTTCTCCCTGTCCAATGCACGTTGGAAATCCTTTGCGAGAGTATCAACTTGCCAGTCTGAACCGAGAATTGAATCGAGCTTTGCGCCGTGGGTCGCTTTCATGGTGTCTAGTTTTCCCTTGGTCTTTTTCAATTCCCCCATAACATAATCAAGTTGGGCGCGGTCGTTCGAACGCTTGTTGATCTCGAAAGCCTCTTTCCTCAATGACTTTTCCTCGTCTTCGAGCTCCCGCAAGCGTCCATTACTAGTGCTGATGCGATTATCCCACCCTGCACTGTCAAACTGATTCCTAAGCTTCTCCAACATATCTTTAGTCTCATTGTGGGAAGCCTCAAGACCGGTTTTATCACCTTCGTCGAATTGGATAAAGCCCAATTCTGTTTGTTTAGGACCGACTTTCCTTTCGTTATTAGAAATTGTTTGCTTGGCCGTGACCTTTTCTTGAATACGTATTGCGTGCTGGTTCTGAAGTTCCGTCAACGTGGTCTGGACATTTTTCAATTCATCATTAGTAGCTGTCTTGGCCCGCTCTAATTCACGTTCCTTGTCGCGAGATAGCTTTTTGATTCTCTCGATAAATTCATTCACTCGAGAATCGTCGATATCATCATCGTAACCTCGAATGGAATGCTTGGATGCAGCACTCTTGACCAATTGAACGCGAGATTCAAGCTCTCCTTCATAGGCTTGTTTCAAGGCTTGTTGTCGACCCAAGTCTGCTTGCTTTTTGCCCAATTCGGTAGTATTTGCCGATATCTTCTGCTGCTGATCACGATATTGTTTCTGTAATTGTTCGTCTTGCTGTTCCATCTCAAGTATACGATCCGCGTATTGATCTAATGTTGATTTAAGCCATTCATCTGATTCAGAAAGTGGCTTGATTCTCTTTTGAAGAGACTCTAGATTTTCTTCACTGAACTTGACCCGCTCTTTATTAGTTCTGAGCTTTTGAACTAGCTCCCAAAACTCGGCCGCCTGCGCCTGTTTTGCGTCAACGACCTCTCGAACTGCTTCCATGTTGGCTTTGTCTTTCAAGGCCTCTTCGGAAAGCTGATCTATTTGAGCTGAAAGTTCTTCACAGCGGCTCTTGGTCTTTTCTCCCTTATCCTTGTTATCCTTAGCAATCGATTCGTCTGCTATCATGCCTTTAATCTGCTGAGCATAATCCTTCTTCAAAGATTTGAGACTATCAACAGCTTTGGTATATTTTGTTGCTTCGAATATATCATCAAACTTCTTCTTGAGTTGTGAAGGCTCACTCATCGGCCATAATGAATCATCTTGGTGACAGAAAATAACATTGTCCAAAACAGCTTCAGAAACGCCTAAAGCTGTTTGCATAATCTTGTCGATTTCACCAACTTTGTGAGATACAGCAGTTCTCTCGCCCCCATTGTTGACCATCAATCCGGCATCTAGGGTCTTCATCTTTCTGGCTGTCTTTGTAACCGTGAGTTGCATACTTCTCGTAATGACCATTCTCGATCCGGTCGTACTTTGAAATGAGAGCTTGACTTGTGCCAGTACTTCCTTTTCGCCGCATAACTATTCCTAAGTAAGCATCTTGTATGGAAACGCATATAGAAGAATCATGAGCAACATACTTTGGGGTCGTGAATAAAAGCACCTCCAACCTTACTATTCGGTGGTTGTGCGCCAGTTGTAGCATACTTCAAGCATTCGATGATTGTCTAATTATAATTTAGCTAAATCCTGGCAGATAACATCTGAATACAAAGACGTACAGTTTTCCCCGAACCATTGAGTCCGACGATGAGTGTGAGAGGGGTGTTGAACGAGATATTCTCCCAACCCTTGTGATCGAAGGATCGCACCCTGTAAGAACGAAACCTAATAAGCTCAACTACCCTAATGTATGATTGGCATCAATGAGACTAACCCGCATATTCTCATCTTTTCTATTTTCGACATCTTGTTGATTTGTGATGGCTGTTACAGCCTGTTGAGTTCTGGCGATCGAAGAAGAGAGTTGATGATTGCGAAGAGATTATCGATGGCCTGGAATGATGAAGTCAGTACTGCAACTACTGTAAGAGACACCGGGCTAGGAAATAATGAAATATGGCTACCTTCCCTCTTGCGCCCGTCTGTATTGTATGTTTGAATTGGCAGATTTGTAAGAATTGAAGAAATAAATAGATATGACGCTCCGCTGGGCCACTGCCGTGGAGGCTTTTTCGCTTCGCTCCAGACAATAAAATATTCTGCGAAGTTGACGAAACGATGGGTGGGCAGGGAGGTTGTAAGTGGTGGTTAAATTGTAGAAGAAAAAAAAGTTGCTGTAGAGGTTGAAGTTGAACGCGCAGTACGATAGATTGAGATGGAAAGAAACGCGTTCAAAGAGCACGCAGTCACGTGCTAGATTCTAGGCAGCTGTCCCTCATTACTTGAGTCTCGGTGTAGGGACGGAGCGGCGCGGACGGGATTTTGTTACTACTTAGGTACCACTACTACTAGCTGGAGGTACTACTCTATTGTTCGGGTTCGGATACGGGATTGATAGCAGAAAATGGGATAATGCAAGATAGGATTAGTCACAAGGATGGCTCGAATGGTTAGATGGATGGTCAATGCATAGCTGGGTAGTCCTAGGTAGCTCGAGGGCAGGTATTCCCATTCCCCGCCGCCAAGTTGGGTCCGAGTAGTGGGTGGTCGGCGCACAGTAGTAATCATTAATGAGTCCCTAGCAGATACCCCTAGACTCTAGAGAAGAAGCTAATAAGTGAATCAATCGATGACGTTGACGATGTCATCCGATTTCACTCCAAACATTACGATGCACGGAGTTTGAGTGCCCGACGACGGAATCTAGCCCAAGGGGGAGAAAAGGAAGGGGAAAAAAGAAAATTCGACAGAAGAAAAGAAAGGTAGGTGGGTAGATGTGAGGGTACAATACATACATATATATATATATATATATTCATATATACATACATAGATGCTTGAGTAGGTATATGAGCATAATTTAATGGTCTACTAAAATTGTTATAATACTCTTATTGATCTGAATATAAAGTTTACTCCATATACCGACCAGTATATACATATATATATAGGTATATACATACATACATATATACATACATACATCTCTCTACGCATCCACGACACCTTGTCCTGAGAACAATTGCTAAATCAATCCGGAACTTCCTTTCTTTTGTCTCGTATTCATATACCCAGGTAGGTATACTATAGCTCTCTTTCTTAATATGGCCATTCCCTCAAATCTATTTCTCTGGTTCTGTAGGGACATACGACATACGACATACGACATACGACATCTGACATTCATCTGACATCTTACATCTTACATCTTTTCCCATACCACACAGATCTTGGATGACCTACATACCAGGCATACCAGGTACTAACCATCTTCATTCACTCGAAAGAAACCAAAATACATCACATTTTCGCAATTGCCATGTTTCTCCATTCCCCATTTTACCGCCTTATATTTCGTCATTCAAAAAGTACTTGAATACTTTATTCTCTAAATACTTAAATACCTAAATAGGTTGGTAACAGTAACGGTACCTGATATCAGATATCATCATCAATTCATTTATTATTAATTCCACTCGATTCGACTTGACTCGACTCGACTTGACTTGAACTTCAAATCTCGGGGGAAAAATTTCTTCCCCTCTCTAAAATCCAGACTTTCCGACAAAGCTTCGAGAGAGCGTATTATCTCAGCATCACATTTTACAATCTACCGTTCACAATAAACTTATACCTACCTACCTACCCACCAACCTACTGAGATCCTTCACGTCCTCACTACCTATCTGCCTCGGATCCAAATGCGCACACAGAGACAGAGACAGAGACACATACAAATAGATACTCTTCTTCACGCTCACAGCATAATTAGAGTTCGAAAATGTCCGAGGGGGATACATCTATGAATATGAATAATTTGAACCTGGATCCGACCGATTTCTTGCAACAACATCATCATGCAGGCAACCTCGGATCCATGGATCGGGCACTGTCAGCCTCGCAGGTACGAAACCCTTCAATTTTCCGAAATCTCTGAGGCCTTTCTAGCCTTTCTCATATCTTTCTTTTGGGGAAAATTCTCATAGCATCCATTTTCAGTATGCTGATTATATATAATCCCAAATCTAGGTCGATCAAAATTTGCCCGATACATTAATGTCGGAGATACTACAGGATAATTTAATGATGGACTTTGATGGTCTACCTGATATGAATATGGATCTGAATACTCTCGGCGACAATGGCAATATTCCGAAATCTTTTACATCACTCAACATGATGTCGCCCGTCGGGAATGAACACACCGATGATGGGAGAAGGGGAGGAACAAATGATGGCGATGCCCAGATTGAAGAAATCGGGGCGGGTCCTTTACCTGCAGGCTTTGGTGCCCAACCACCGAATACAAGTAACAGCTCAGTCAATGATTTCACGAGACGAAGAAATTGGCAACAAAAGGTAGTTGAAGAGATCAAGGACTTTTTGCACGTCCTGACCCCTTTCGGAAAGTTCGTTTTTCTTTCGCCTAGTTGTCAAAGCCTCACTGGATATGCCGCAGAGGAGCTTCAGGGGAAATTTATCGTGGATTACATACATCCAGATGATAGTGCAATGTTTGTGAGGGAGTTCAATGAAGCCATTGCATCAGGTAATAAACTGCGATTCTATCTTCGATTTCGCAAGAAGGACGAGTCCTACGTAATATTCGAGTGTCACGGACATGCCCACTATGCATCAAGGCCGTCGCCAACCGCAGCTGTCCCGATTCCAGATCCAGATATCCCACCTAGAGAAACGGCGGATTATTGTAGAGGCTTTTTTATGATGGCCCGGAAATATCCAACAAAGAACGCCCTTCTACTGGATTCATTCTTGGAACATAAAACCGAGTTTGAGCGAATGTCAAAGAAAATCAGGGATCTCAAGAGAGAAGAGGAAGAAGAATTCGAAGATAGTGAAAGAAACTGGACGCATCGACAACCATCAGACTCATCTGAGACGATGACTACAGCCATGAGCGCATCTCAACCTGCGGACCCGAACCATCCTGATGTCCTAGCGATGCCTCCTCCAGCAAGACCGGATATGTCGTATAGCACGTTGACAAAAGCGAATCTTGAGGATGCGATTTCTAGTCGACAACCCGATTCTATCAAAGATAAAATGCAACGATATGAGGCTGTTGATACTGTAGAAATGCTCACCGGGTTACAATATCGAGATGGTGAAAGAAGTCAGGGGATTAGCACCGGCGCTCGCAGTCCAGCTTTAATTCGAGGCGATGTTGGAATTGCCATACCAATTGACAAGGATGGCCGTCTAGGGGATAAGAAAAAGAAGATGAAGCTAGCAGATGAATATGTTTGCGCAGATTGTGGTATGTATCATGTTCAAGTTCCTATCCTAAGAATGCGAACAGAAAGCTAACATTATTTAAAGGTGTTATGGATTCACCAGAATGGCGCAAAGGTCCTAAGGGTCCCAAGACGCTCTGCAACGCCTGCGGACTTCGCTGGGCAAAGAAAGAAAAGAAACCACAGGCAGGGTCGGCACCAGCGCCTCCAAATACTCTCACGGGACCTTCCCCGGGCCCTTGAAGATATTTTGCCGATTCTTTTACGAACATGACATGATTGATATACAAGGCGTTTGGATCTAGGGGAATTATCTTAAATTCAGCATGGAGTTTGACGGGGATGGAGTTTTAGAGGGTTCATGACCTTAATACCCAATTGGCTAGTTTTAAAGGCCGGCGTTTCTCCTTTATATTTTGGACTGAAATATCAGATGATTTGCTTCGCGTGTTTGAATCTCGAGAGGGCTGCCCAGGTAGTGATAGTGGATGGATTTAAAACCATGTTGTTTCTTGTCTTGTCAGTTTAATGGTTGATTTTGTGCACGCTGTGAATGATGTATCTAGTATTCTCCCATGACGAAATGAGAGATGATTGTTATATGGTTTGTATTCCATCTTTTTGTGAGGGTTTATTTTGATACAAACCCAATGTAGTCGCAACTATATTATTTTAATTCAGAGTTTCTCTCTCTCTCTCTCTCTCTCTTTCTCTTGTTCCCCTCCCTGCCACCATATATATAACTGGTTAGTTTGGGGAATGTGATGGGTATGGGGATGAGGATGGGGATTGGGATAGATAGATAGATACTAGGAAAGTACGTATCCAATGTCATCAGAATGATTATTACAAGGTAATGAATAGGAGAGTGTGAAGTATCATTTAGTTGCATATGGAGGTGGCGTTTGGGATGTATTGACATTGTGTGGGTTTTGAAATATCAGAGGGGGTATTGAGTTTTACATTTTGGTGTTGTGAGTGGTAAGATTCTAAACTGGAGTAGGTAGGTAGGTAGGTAGGTAGGTAGGTAGGCACATGTCACACTGTACAGATACGGAAGAAAGTTCAAGTCCATCCATACCTAGGTACTCAAGCAATAGTGCAGCCAGCATATTTCTTCCAAAATTCATAAACACAATCTTTAATCCCAAAATAGATACTCAAGAAACTAACTAACCAACCACCTACAGAAAAAGAACCAAACCAAGCCAACAGGAAAAAAATAAAAATCCAAATCCGAATTACAAATTCCTCATCCCCTCTCTCGTATACGCCTCTCCCTTCGTCCGTTTCTTCCTCGCCTGAACCGTAGCCCTCGCTCCCGCTCCCCGATTCACCAGTACCCTAGACGCTTTCCCGTAGGCTCCTCCCGCCGCATTATTAACCCTCGGCGTGACCCTCTCCGCCGTAGGTTTCGCTGCGCTTTTCGCCTTCGATGTGATTTTCTCGGCAGGAGCTCCAGCTGCGCTCTTGGCTTTTGATGTCATTTTTCCTTTAGCACTTCCCGCTGCGCTTTTGGCTTTTGAGGCGATTTTCTCGCCGGAAGTGCCAGCTGCATTTCGCACTTTCTCTGCCGCTTTCTCGTATACTCTCCCTCCACTTTTAGCCTTTGAAGCTACATTCTCAATAACGTCTTCCGCCTGTGATTTCCGGGTCGCATATGCATCATAGCCACCTTTCACACCATCTTTAGCTTTGGCTGTCACTCTATCATATGTATCACCAGCTAGATCCTCCGCCTTCGAAGCACCTTTTCGAATTCCCTCTTTTACACCTTCCTTCGCATCTGAATATGCGGTTTGGTAATCAGGAATCGGCTGTGCTCTTCTTTTCCCGAACCAGTCGTAGCCAGGTGATCCAGTATATTCGTAAGCACTAGACGCCGTTTCTCTTCCCCTCACCACCGACTCTCTCAACGACTCCGTGATCGCAGCGAGGAAGCTTGTAAGCCAAGCTACCAACCCTGCCCATCCAACTACATACAAGAGAACCACAAATGCACCCAAAGACAACAAAGCCAAAACTGTGAAAAGATCCTTAACTCTCTTGTATCTCCCACCCAATTTCTTGTTTTTCTCTGCCACGAATTCAAGAAGTGGTTCATAAGGTTTATCTTTTTCTTTATAATAAAATACCGCACCCGCAGTCGTAACATTAAACATACTCTGACCATCCATATCACCACCCGGCTTCGAATTTCCCGCCCAGTATCTCTTCGTGACGGGCCAGATTGCAATTTTCACACCTGCCTCGTGCGTAAAACCGGGAGGTTTTTGATCTGCCAATTTCTTCTGCACATCTTGAAGACGACGAAGAGCGCGTAAGCCGGCGTTTGATTCAAGGCGTGCATTGCCTGCACTTCTGTAGGCGATTACATAGCCTTCGGCTTCTGCGCGTTCGATTTCCAATTCTTCACGATCTCGGTTCCAGTTGTTTTGAACGACGGTTTTGGATAAAGTCCAGGAGTGTTGGAGAATGGAGGTATGTTCGTCGGGTTTGTAGGCGGTGCCGGGGAGGAGAGAGACGGTGTGGATTATGGTTGGGAGATGCGGATGCAGATGGATAGGTAAGCGGCGCTGGAGAATATGTTGTGGAGGGCTTGGTATAGGGCTGTAGCTTTGGGGGTGACGGTTTCAGGACCGGCAGGAAGAAGCGTGAGGTAATTGAATAAAGGCATGAAGAGGAGCAATACTTGGGCGGTCAATTTTGTGCAATCCTTGTGGAAATTAGGGGTGAGAGATGCTCCACCCAAGAGAGTGCGAATGGATCTGTGGCGAAGTTCCTGACGACTGTAGCCTAAGAGTAAGAGGTGTCAGTTCGGATTGCAGTCAAAGTTATCATCTGCTGATCCTTGGGATATCATACCTTCACTATCAAGAAGTGCACGATCTAAACCATGAAGAAATTCTTCTCCCTCTTTAGTGTTTCCCCATAGAACCAACGAAAAAACCCTGGCCTCTAATATCTTTACAATGATACCAACAATGAGATATTTTCTTGTACTCGTATTCAGCAACATCTCATCCCATCCCCCAACTACAGTATCTGGCTCAGCAACAAGTTCTACATATCTGTAAAACTCCTCCGGCATCCTAACAGCCCAGGGCTCGTGAAACCCTTCCTGTAATTCTTGAAACCCAAAAAACTCTGTAGCAAACCTGACTATCGCTAAATACAAATTGGCATACTCGTCCTTAAACCACGCATTACTGCGATCTCCTTCCGGATGCGGAGGATGCTCAAGTTGAAGGGGCATGAATCTTTTGAAGTCGGCCATAGTAGTAGGTCGTGCCTGAGCTTTTCCAAACCATTTCCGTCCTCTGGCCGGCACTTGATTCGTTGCATTTGGGCTGTCAGCTTCGGCCAATGCTTCTTTTGCTACCGGAGGGAGAACCTCAGACTTTTCCACTGTTTGAGACGCTGCACTTGCAGGGACAATGTCTGTAACTGGACTGCTGGTTAGGCTATTGAGCAGTGTAAGCCCTTTCGTTTTATCACCCTCCTCTCGCACCGCCAACAATGCTTCTAGGGCTTTATTTCTTCGTTCTTGTATTAAATGTTGGTTCACGATTTGGCTACCAACTAGTCGCGGTGCATTCCGGAGAGTTGTTCCTGTTGTTTGAAATAAAACACTTTTGTCGTCCTCGCCAGGAAGTCTATCCTCGTCGTCCACATCATCAAGCATATTGAAATTGGTTCGATTTTGTGAGAACGACATAATGATGAAGATGATTAGACAGTCAAAATGTGCGTAGCATTTAGATTAGAATTTCACGATTTTGCAATGTTGCAATGTTGATTGAGGTTTGTATGTAATAAAAGGAGAGAAAACAAAGGACAATCATGAAGCTTTCTTCAAAGAAATGAAGAATGCCGGCCATACAAAGAAATTAAAAGCTGGAAGCAATCACCTCTTTTTGTTCTGAATCAAGTCAAGCGATATAACTGAAAGCACTGCGAGGAGTTAAAACAATTGTAAATCGCTTTGATTTAAAATATTGGTGGTCTTGTAATCAAGAGTTCGGCTCCCTAACATCTTGCTACCAATCCTTGGTCATAAGATTTGGCATTGATAGCAGATTCGTTGACGACAAGAATTCTTCTCCCCTAGAGAGTCTATATTAGCAGTTGCTTTGAAATATATCAAAAAGGTATTACCCTACTGATGAGCCGTACATTCAATTTCCACATCGGTCCCGAGTGGCAATTGGTGTACCGCAACGCAAGTCCTGACTGGCTTAGGATCTTTATGGAAGAATTCTGCATAGACTTTGTTCATGGCTGCAAAATTCTGCATGTCAGTTAGGAAGACGTTGACTTTGACAACGTTCTCAAGACTACTGCCAGCGGCCTCCAAAACCGCCTGGAGGTTCAATATTGCTTGTTTCTAGATTTGTTACTCAACAAGGTTGACTTTAGATTCTGTAGATAGGAATTGAGACATACGGTTCGATCGGCAACACCTCCTTCGACAAGCTTCATTGTAGCAACATCCATCCCAATGCTCCCGGAGCAATAAACCATTCCTTGACATTTAATGGCTTGGGAGAAGAAGGGCAATGGTGGGGGTGCCTTGTCGGTCGAAACAGCTTCTTTTTGAGGCATCGCGTATAATTTGGTTCCTAAGCTTTCAGAAATTGGATCAAGTAAATGTAGTTTAATAGAAACGATGAAGTGATTGACTTTGATTTTGATGTTGAAGTTATTCTATGAATAGCTGTTGTTGGAATTAGGAAGGTGGGGGGATGGTGGAGGTAACATAAAGATGGCGGGGAATTAGACTGATTTGCCTTCATCGCCGTGGCTTTTCAATCCAACAGAATTCCTATGTTTTTTGTAAGCCAATCAATTACACCTCGCAAGTTTCACTCTATTGGAGACAATCAGTTCTTTTTCAGCCATATTCGCAAAAGCCTTCTATCTTTCTTTCTAGTTTGCCCAAGGTCCCGACAATTGTGACGTCATAATACTTGGAAATAGAGCATAGAATATGAATATGAGTATGTGCTACACAATTGCTCGACATGTATCTTCAAGGGGAGTATGAGGAATCTCGAGGATATATCTGGTGAATTGTATATCTTTTGTTACTAGACTTTGAGTTGTCGATCATGAACGACTTTCTCACGTGCCATGAGCAAGGGCTCCCGGTGACCCCGCACAAGATCTAATTATCCTCGGCATCTCGAGATTCTACATACTATTGGCAAGTTGAAGGATTATTTTGAGCACTTTCTTGCTAGCTACTATGTAGCTACTGCAACATCCTTATTGCTCTAGATTCACAAATCTTGTCTTCATCTTGCTTTACAATTTTTTGAATTTAATGGTTCAGGAGACACCGACTACTCCCCATACATATTCTAAACTTGAATACAAGAGTACATGCGAGCTTCTCGTGCTACGGGGTTTCAAAGTGTCAAAGTGTGATAATGATGAAAATCGAATTCTAATCGCATCATCACATCAAGCCCTCAAGTAGAGTCAGACAACCGAACATGACTCCCTCACTTCCAACCTCCTACTCAACCCTTCCTTTCCAACATATCCGCGTCTCTCACATACCCGAGTCCTCACCGATACCCACTCCAACCATTCTAATCACACTATATCGACCAGAAAAACACAATGCTTTCACAGATACTATGGCCGAAGATCTTGAAACAGCTTTCAATCTTTTGTCACTTGATCCTAGAGTGAAATGTATTGTTATGACTGGTCATGGAAAGATGTTTTGTGCCGGAGCAGATTTGGAAGCCGGATTATCGTATGAGAATGATACGGCGTTGACGCATCGGGATGGTGGTGGGAAGGTGTGTGTTTTGTTCTTTCACGTTTTGGAGGAGTGTCCAACTTCTCTCATTGTTTAGTGCAAACTTTGTTGATTGATCCCCTTGTCAGGTAGCACTAGCTATTCATAGATGCCCGAAACCTACAATTGCGGCTATTAATGGGTGAGTAAAACAACCACTTTCGCCTCATTTGATGTCTTCTGAACATAACTGACACTTTCGTAGCTCGGCTGTCGGTGTAGGCATAACTGGTAAGCATGTACCCTACCTCATCAGATACCTAATTCTGATGCCAATCTCTTTTATACACAAGAAACCCTTTCTAATTCACCCCAGTGACCCTCCCCACTTCAATCCGTATCGTTTCGTCTACAGCAAAGATCGGATTTGTGTTTGCCCGCCGCGGTATCATAATGGAAGCATGTTCCTCCTACTTCCTCCCCCGCCTTATCGGCCTCTCTCGCGCGATGCACCTCACGACAACTGGGTCAATATACCCTTCAACATCCCCTCTTCTCTCTTCTCTATTCTCCGAGATCTTACCCCCCGAACAAGTTCTTACACGTGCACTAGAACTTGCAAATGATATAGCTCAAAATACGAGTGCAGTTTCAACTGCAGTTATGAGAGATTTGATGTGGAAAGGGCCAGGAACAGCGGAAGAAACACATCTTTTGGACAGTAAGGTTTTGTTGGAGTTGTTCAGATCGGGGGATAAGAATGAGGGAATTAAGAGTACGTGGTTCATTTTTCCTAAACATAATTTTGGGACCATACTAATTGGTACGTATTAGGCTTTATGGAAAAGAGAAACCCAGAGTTCAAGGATAACATGCAAGAGAATGCACCAAGTGTCTGGCCATGGTGGAAACCAGTTGATACCAAGCCTCCGGCTACAACTGGAGAATTGACCCAGAAATTGAAGTCAACGGAGGTGGAAGCTGGCAAGTCTAAACTTTGAGTATACGTGACTAGCTTTTGCATAGATGATGTATAGATTGTTCAGAGCTATTTGAACCATAAGCACCAACTTCTAGGAGAAAATGCGCCAGAACAAATGGAGACGACGACTATGCTTTTTTGTTCCCAGTGAGCCCCCATGGAAGTATTACGTGAATTAAAGTGCGGTGAAGGTTGAGGGTAAGGGTAAGGGTGCAACATATGGTTAAGCAACAGATCACTTGGTAGGAGAAAGCAGGGAGTCAACGCTTCGGTGACTTAATGGTGAACTTCGAGATCCATCCAAGTGTATACAGAGGCGTATTCTCATTCGCCGAACTCACTGCCTGTGTGAAAGAAGAACTATATCAATCTGCACGTTAATCGAAATTTTCGTTTTGTTGTAACCAGAAAGTTGCAGTGAGATACAGCAAAACCCGAAGTCGCATGAACATCCAACAAGTAAATGGCGGCAATTAGACTTATTCAACGCCAGCGTAGGCTGCGCTAGTCAATGTTAGATGAAGATGATGGTGATGACCGACAAATAAGAAGTGACAGCGAAAGAGCTTTGATAACAGGTGACGACGATTGGCAAACGATGATATTCTGGTATAACGCCAGCACATACATCCGGAATTGACCTGTTTCGTTACACAAAACTCCGATGTACGCGCGGCATTGCTTCCCTCTGTGAAAATGAATGAACCCTATGACCCTTTTTATCTTCCAGATAAGAGATGAATATTTCTTATATAGCTAAATACTAGCTTGGTGTAGGAGCCGGATCAAGTTCTTGTCTTTCCAGGTACGATCCTTTTCCAGAATGAGATTCAATCACTTCTTATCTTCCAAGGCAGAGCCCAAGACTAGAAGCCACTACCATATTCCTTTCCCCGCTGTGGAAGCTAGATGATGAAATTGTTGAGTAGGTTTATAAATCACTTGATATATGGCGATGGATCGCATATCTATCAATGCTAATAATGACGAATCTGAACCTTTCTCATGACAAACAGAGTGTGAAATCAAGGTACTGTAATCTAAGCCAATGTGCAGATATCGGAACAAGGTCACTAATTCTGAGAGATTGTAGAAAATAAGTATTCAAAGTATGTGTTGCCATTGCATACACTTCTTGTCATGATATCGTAAAATAGCCGAATAATGAGATTCGTATTGATAGTAAAAGAACCCGTAACAGTGAAATCTGTTTTTCAATATTCTTACTCAGATGTTATCTCAAATCACATTTCATAATACCCGCAACTACATCGATAGTAAGATATGATTAAGTAAAGAGTTAGCTAATCATAGGAGTAGCCTCTACCATGTTATCAAACTATTGCACGGGAGGAAAATTCATGCCTGGTTCGCTTCTGCTCTTTTATGTGGTGATTTTTGAGAAGAAGTTTGGCAATGGGGCAGTATGAGAAAGGGAGAACAAGAAAAATGTTTGCTTTGTGGATGAGTTTCGTTCCTATACAGTGTGACTATTCTAGACAGGCAGGCGTAGAAAGGCCGAGTCTTCAATATCCCGTTTCAAGAAGGTGGTACTTGGTTAAACAGGAAGTGGTTTGGCTCCACTTGGAATCTTGACATACAATACAGAAATTGTTATTGACTTCACTTTGAACTCTGAATGCTTTTCTGTTTAAATTATTTTTTTGATTTAAGATGTAGTGGCTTTTGTGGTTTTCACCACAGCTATGTTGTCGGTCATTATTGACATTTAATGGCGCATCGCATGACCGATACGAGGCCAGACATGACGGATTTCAAACCCCCTTACGTCACGAACGCCTACCGGTTGGTCCAATTTTTAAAACCAAATTTGGACAGCCTCCAAAGTCTGAAATTAATCGGAAGCGTATCGATTTGCCATGTTTTCTCTTCTTGGACAGCCAGATCGTCTTATACATCGACATAATGGAGCTAGAACTTCGTTCTGGGCGAGTAGTTCGAATAAGCTTCTGAACATATTCATACAATGTACATATTGACTGATTCGCATATAGTCTGCTGTGCAGCGGGCGTTCGGGATTGACCTAAATTTGCAAACACGAAGAGCGTTACCCAGCATTCCTTTACACTCACGATTGGTCCATAAGCGCCTTGTACTGTCTCTCTTCATCTTCCAGTCTTTTCTGTTCATCCTTCTTGGCGGCTTCGGTATTATCTGCCATAGCCTGCTTCATTTCTTCAGCATCCTGTGCACCTAGCACGTCTTTGACAACATCTATAATTCCCCATTGTTCATTTTCATCGGGAAATCTCAACTCCAATTCTTCGATAATGATATTCAAATTCTCCATTGATGTTGGTCGATGATTGATAATCATAAGGATTTCGGCTTTGGTCAAGTCATAGGGACGAAGCTGTTCAAGGAGATTTCGAATTGTATCCTCATTATATGGGCATGGCTTTTGCGCGAGAGGTGAAGGTGCTTCCTCGAGGTATTGCATTAACTAAAAAGAAATCAGTTTTAGATTTACGAGTCATAACGAAGCAAGGTGCTACCTCTTTGATAACATTGTCAAGATTTCCTGGTCTCCTTCCTCCTGTGCGGTGTTTCTTTTGAATATCCTTCAAATGAGTATAAACCTCAAAATTGCTGAGGGTTGCGGATTGTGCTTCTAGAATCTTCATGGCTGTTTAATATCCCTGGCGTACTAGTGTGTTGTAACTGGCAGCTAGACGTCACCTAGTACTCCCAAGACGTTGTATTATGTGGCTCTTCGTAAACGGACGTTGATTGTTGGATCACAATCTTCAGCCTTGAGGAGAAATAATTTACAGAGTTGACTATCTCATGCAAAACATTTTAAGCGAGTTCAGCCTCGTGCTGCGGGGTCTCACTGGGGTTTAATTGCTTAACTCTAATAGGCTAAGCACGTCACCAGATCTGACCGAATGAATCTTTTTTTTCTTTCCCTCTTGTGTGATTCAAAACTTTTGCTTGTGAGAGGTTTTTTGTGTATTTTTTTATATTCAATTCATATCAATTCGATTTCTCAACAGGAACTCCTGAAATCAATTGGAAATCATAAACCTCCGTCTTGGGAAAAAGGGAAGATATATTGTAGCATTTGCTATATCTATAAAAGGTTCATCACCCACCATTTATTGCCTTAAATTCCTGTTCGATCCAATTCTTTCTTCTTTATTTCAAAGCCCTTAGACCGCCCCAGATTTGACGCGGCTACGAAACCCCTCACAAAAAAGTTAATCCCGCATTTCAATTCAAACCTTTCAACCAAAATCTCAATCATCATTACCATCATCACCATATCGCAACTACCTCGCACTTCTTGCCATATATCAGAAGATATGGTTCGTAATCTGGTTGTTCTTGGAGGAAACTCCCATCCTCAAATAACAGAGATAATCTGTAATACGCTCGGTGTTCCACCCTGCAACAGAATTCTGAAGAAATTTTCCGTTGGTGAGAGTCGTCTCGAGATCCAAGACTCAGTTCGAGGCAAAGATGTTTATATCATTCAATCGGGCGGAGGAAAGGCCAATGATCATTTCATAGATCTTTGCATTATGATTTCCGCATGCAAAACTGGATCTGCGAAGCGTGTCACTGTCGTCCTTCCTTTGTTTCCTTATTCACGACAACCCGATCTTCCATACAATAAGATTGGCGCACCACTTGCCAAGGGACCCGCCGACGTTAAGGGTAACTTTACCTTCGAAAGTCGACCAGCAACACCGGGTCCTTCCTCCCCTCAAACACCAGGCCTCAGCAATGGCACTAATGGTATGGAAAAATTACAGAAAAAGCTTGGAAAAGCGTCTCTTGAGCAGATTAATACCCAAACTTCAAATGGAATAACACCCAGACGACAAGATACTTCAGATTCCATCGCTTCTCTTACCAACGGACGCTTGGCTGACGGAGCATCAACTCCCGTGTCAACTCCACATTTCACCACTCACGATTACGAGAACCCTGGATTCGTCAATGGTCAAAGCAAAACTCTTTTCCAAGGCAAGCCAGGATACAAACAGTGGGTAGCGCAAGCTGGCACACTCGTCGCAGACCTTTTGACTTGCTCTGGTGCCGATCAGGTAATCACTATGGATCTCCACGACCCCCAGTACCAAGGATTCTTTGACATTCCAGTGGATAATCTGTATGGCAAGCCTCTCTTGAAGAGATACATCCAGCAAAATATTCCAAACTTTCAGGATGCTATCGTCGTAAGTCCTGATGCTGGTGGAGCAAAGAGAGCAACTGCGATTGCCGATGGACTCAACATGGAGTTTGCATTGATTCACAAGGTAAAACTTCCCCCAATTCTACTCCCTGCGCACACTCATATCAATTAGGAACGTCGACCTACCCGAATTACCGATCGCCAAAATGCTACAATGATGCTTGTAGGCAATGTTCGTGATAAAGTTGCTATACTCATCGATGATTTGGCCGATACCTCGAACACCATTACAAGAGCTGCCAAGTTGCTTAAGAAAGAGGGTGCCACTTACGTTTACGCTTTGATAACCCATGGAGTTTTCAGTGGTGATGCTATTGAGCGTATCAATGCATCTGCACTAGACAAAATTATCGTGACCAATAGTGTTCCACAAGATGAACATCAACGTCTCTGCTCGAAGTTAGAGGTCTTGGAAGTTGGCCCGGTCTTCGCCGAGGCAATTCGTCGTGTTCACCATGGAGAGAGCATTTCTGTGTTGTTTAATTATGATTAGACTGAAGATTGGCTATTTTCCGTTAGGGGCACTGCATTCAGGAGTTCGGGCATTGGAGGGGAGTACATTGGTAGAGTACTCGCTTGGCGCATTGCAAACCATGGCTCATATACAATTGCTATACCCGTAAACCGCACTGCGGACTATTCAAAGTTTTCCATTCTTGTTCATATGGCATGGAAGAAAATTAGATATATACAAACACTCGATCTTTGGTAGATTTCCATTGAACGTCTTGACGAACCAAGTGCTGGGTTAGGCGTCTAGAGTTGCATATAAATTAAAAGCATAGAACTGAACATAGAAATGGATCAATGGGAACGTAATCTCAAAAGAACATTTATTGATCTGAAATGAGTGTGTGCATACTTGTGGTTTGTATGTATTTGTATCTACGTGCGATTTTATATTATCTTACCCAATCGGTACAGCACTCACTGATATCAACATGTTGTACCACCGAACCATGAAATGATGAACACTTTAATCTGGCCCGGCCATGACTAAGAAATTAAATCTTACTTGTGCTAAACGATCGTCAATTTCAGGAATGGGAATTTATACCTTATGAATACTTGGAAAGTAAGGATCAAATGCAGTGCAGTGGAGAAAATAGGAAGAGGTTCCTACATATAAACCAATTGGCGACAAGATGGAAGGAAGTACATCAGGTGGGGGTTGAGAGATTATTGGGTTGGGCAGAACACTGGCTACATCATCTGGTAAATTACGCATGTTTGACTCAGGATATCTCTATCTACTTGGCTTCCAAGGAAGCTAGCTACCCTCAATATCTTGCTATATTCTACAGTTATGTTTGGTGAGACGAAACTGAGAATGTGTGGATAGCTTACTCTGCTAGAAGCTTTCTTTCGTGACATTGAGGGTTGTAGTCGGGTGTCGGTAGACTTTGATGGGAATGCTGCATATTTCGGCGAGCTGATTCTTTAACATGACTCCTTTGATACATATTCAAAGAAACCCGAGATCCCGTTATTGAATTCGGTACTAAAGTCTTCGAAGCATTATCTTTGGTGTGGCATTATACTGCCATTCTATGTCGTTTGTGAGCCGTAGATTGTGTATCACGGACTATGAGTGGACGAATTCACCCGAGATTCCTCCTCTACCTTTGAAAGTATGTTTGGTACGGTCGCAAAGGAAATGGTTTCCTGCTTGCAAACAAAGTAGCACGGGGTTGCCATCACATAAAGTATTTAACATCATTCACAAACTACAAGATGCAAAGCATTAGACAGCAGGAACAAACGTCTCGACACCATACATACACCAAGATGGCGTCTTCAACGCCACCTAGCCTTCGGTTCATAAGCCATCCGCATATTACACATCACAGCACTCATCATACCAGAGATCGCAGCTGGCACTTAAGTGTTACCATAACCTCCAGGCAAGAAACCGCAGCCGACGATCCTCCAACCACATATTCACCTCCAAGATCAGACTCTCCCCTAATTCCAGACTCTCCAGCACCTGAACACCCAGCTTCACCTCTCTCTTTCCACCCTTTCCCTCGTTTTCCCACCGAGATCCAACATCAAATCTGGACGCTCGCAGCTAAGGATATTGCACCCCGCAATATCACTATATGCCATGAACCATGCGAATTTGAAGGTTGCGCAAGCATTATTGAGAAAGTAATCAAATACATCACCGATCTTCTGACATTCGGCCGGGAGAAGAAAACGGTTGATTATGAGTGTTTGGCTGTTCCTGCTTTGCTTCATACGAATTTTTTGGCGCGCAGTATTGCACGCAAATTGTATAGGAGACGATTTCAGGAGGTGCTTAATAGAAAGATTTATGTGGGAGTGGAGGATAATATTGTGGTTGTGCCTAGGCCTATTTGCAAGGTTGGAGTGCGCGTGCATCATAGGAAAGAAAATGATTTTTGAGGGATATTATGACGGCCTTTACTTTGAGGTTTAATCCTAGATGATATGAATCTAGATGTTATCGGCAGCAAACTAGCTGTTTACTATTTAACTAATAAGTGGGCAAACATATTCAGCTCTTCAAATGAAGTAACGACGAAAGAGATGGACAATCTTTAGATGATAGTCTTCAGAATATGACCGTTGTTATCAGACGACAGTCATTAGCTGCATCCCTGTTCTTGTTGCATATCTTAGAATGTATAACTCCTAGCCTGCTCACTATATTGGCTTCTAGACGGGCTAGCAGAAGGTAAATATCATTAGAATCATTGCTTGTATCGCTTATTAGAAAGACGGAAGCAATGCAATACATCTCAGATATGCAACAAAACAGCAAAATTTGGCCGAAATTTAAACGAGACTTGAGAGGATCATCTCTGCTTCATACGCTGGTTGATATCCGATGATACTGGACTTAATCTTCCAACTTGTGCCATATATGTCAAGCTTATGGTAGGCGGGAGTGCCTCGTTGTCTAAGCTCGGGTCAAGTACAGAAATGTTGAGAATTAGATGAACGCAACTACAAGCCGCATTTCAATTTATGGGTTATTGATTGTGTGATTCTTTGACTCAGACCAACAGTGAGAAATACACATTATTCGTAAAGAGATACTGTGATTCTACTGTTTTCAAAACAGACCGGGCTAGCAGTAGAAAGAGAACATTAAAAATACATAATAAATGTACTAGAGCCAAGAAAGCTTCTCGGTGTTCACTTGAGACACAATGTTAAGATAGCCAGCATCCGCCTCCCCTTGACGAGATATACGGATGTGTTCATCGCTCTGGTAGATTAGGTAGCTTCTGAAGTAGCCTTTGTACTGGGGTGTTTAACGAATGAGCAAAATGGAAAAAGGAAGCCAACAAACTGTAGATAATCGGTAGGACAAATCCAAACGAGATAACAAGTATTTGCACGGGGATCAATACTTTCGAACAGTGCACTCTACTTCAAAACGCACTCGCAATTACTTCTGAACACCATCAAAACTTCTCCGTGGTACCTGTAAGATCAGCACTTCTATTTACACATCTCGGTCCACCAGTGGGGCCACCATGAAACGCAAGGCTGAGATGCACAGACCAAATTTACACACGGCGGTTATCTAGCCTTGCCTCATGAAACAAACCACTCCTCCTCCTCACATCAGATTCGTCTCATATTCGCTCCTCAAAAAAATGATGCCACTTATATGAATGAACTTCTCCTTCCCTCACATTTCCTTCATCCCATCCATCAAATTCCCCCAAAAAATCATCCCAACTCCCTTCTCCAGAAATTTTTAGCCAAACTCCCTCAAAATGAATCGACCACGCCAAGGCGAAGAGCTCCCATGGGCTAAACCCCTCAGCATAGATCTCTTGCACAAAGTACTCCAAGTAACTTTCCTGCACCCCTTCGTCGCCTGGATGATCCCCCTTTGTATGCGCGCCCAAGCAATGCCCTGGCATCATCAAGCCATTCAGTATGCCATCGGCTATGCTTCTCTCCTCACCATGTTATATTTCCTTTCTATCCTCAATCGACAAATCGCATACTCCAAAGCTCGAGAAGTAGATTTGTCAGAAGAAGTTATAGTGATTACAGGCGGTGCGAGTGGATTGGGATTGTTGGTTGCGGAGGTATATGGAATGCGCGGCGCGACGGTTGCGGTGTTAGATGTGAGAGATTTGGAGAGCGGAGAGGCGAGGGGAGTGAGTTATTATAAATGCGATGTTGGGAATCGAGAGGAGGTTGCTAGAGTGGCTGTGGAGATTGAACGAGATGTGAGTTTGTCCCGCCTACTTGAAGAATCACATGAAACTGATACATGGGAAATAGCTCGGCACCCCTACAATCCTCATCAACAATGCGGCGATTGTAAACGGTAAATCGCTTATGGATCTATCTCTCGATGAAATAGAACAGAATTTCAAAGTAAACCTCCTAGGAAGTTTCTACACCCTCAAAGCCTTCCTCCCAGGCCTCATCCGCACCGGTCACGGTACCATCGTAACTATGTCCAGCGTCCTAGGCCACCTAGGAGCCGCCCAACTTAGCGACTACAGTGCCTCCAAAGCCGGCCTTACTGCGCTGCACCACTCTCTAACTGCAGAACTCAAAGCCTATCCTAATATTAAAACGGTATTAGTCGAGCCAGGCCAACTAAGCACGCCGTTATTTTCCGGGACGGTAACGCCGAATAGTTTTTTCGCGCCGGTACTGGAACCGGTTGATGTGGCGAGGGAAATTATCGCGACGATCGATAAGGGGAGTAGTGCGGTGTTGGCTATGCCGTTGTATGCGAGGTGGGTGGGATGGATGGGGGTCCTGCCTGTGGGAGTGCAGGCGATTGCTAGGAGGGTTAGTGGGATTGATGGGGCGATGAAGACATTTGAGGGGAGGAGAGAGGGCAGTAAGGAGAAGGAAAGTTTGATTTAGGTGGGGAATTTTGATGCTGGCATCAGATCTGTATGAATCGGGTAGGAAAGATAGAGGTATAATATGAATGGATGAGGTGGGATGGGATGAGACGATTTATAATGACATCTAAGAATCTTCATTACTCTGTGGTATCACTGAGGTTCATGGAATGATGATCACATATAATCTGATGAATTTAATATCAAATTAAATACACACATACTATTATTTCAACCTCCTAACTTATGTTGTTGAGATCACTAAGAAATATCCTACACTCAAGATGATCATCAATGGTACAAACGAACTCCTTATCTAATTTCAATCCATATCTTTAATATCATATCATAAGTTATGATATGATATCGACATATTGAAAAAAGCACTTCAGCAAAAGAACAAGCACAAATTCAAGTATAAACCAACCGTCATCGCTCTCCAAAACATCCATCTACACTCGATAAGCCAACACCTTCAAACCATTAAATAATTCAACACACAACCACAATACCAGCTCCAATACCTATCCCCTTCCAACTATCAGATAATACTCATTCCCCAATCCCACCGTGGACCCAACCCAAATCTCAAATCCAAACCCACTACAACAATCAATAACAACAACAATCCAATACCATATATCTATCCTCCATCATTCCAAAAATACATAACCTCCATCCAGATATCTACATACGCATGCACCCAGCCCAAACCCACACAGTTAGTTAATCCTTCCTCCTTTTCAAATTTCCACCAAGTTCTACCCCTGCGTAACCGAGGTGCTCACAATCTCCTACGCACCTAGGGTATCATCCCATCAGTGAGATTTCTATTCTTCGATATCGCACCCTGCGAGAGGTGTACAGGAGGTACAGATGTGTCATGATTTGTCGAATGGGATTTATTGTTTATGATTGATTTTTGTGTCTGGATCTGGATCTGGATCTGATATGTAATCTTTCTTTACTCAGTCTACGATTCTGAAAGATGGGATGCTCTTTTTGTTTTTGTTTGAATGGGTGAGAGAGATGAGATGAGGTTACGTACAGATAGATAGATAGATAGATAGATAGATAGATAGATAGATAGATAGATAGATAGATAGATAAAGAGATATATTTGAGATTTTCTCATTCGAGCTTGTTATCCCAGTAGAGTGTTTTGAATATTGAGTATTGTATGAATCTTAGTTTAGATTCGATATCTACATTGATCATTAGTCGAGCATGAAATACATATTGTTGGACTAAGAAATTACAGGAATGAATTATATTGCAGCGCATAATCAGGAAGAAGACTTGAGATGGAAGGAAGAAAAAACGGGATTCTTTTCGGCTTTGGGTGGGGTGTTGCTTGATCGCTATTTATTTTGTTTCGTATGTAACACATAGCTAAAGTGGGTAAATGTGTTGCACGATTTAACGAACGTCTGGCGGAGAGGGCGAAAGAACGTGTAAGGGAGAAGGGGGGGGGGAATGACTACTTCTGTTCCTGAATTATAGGATGTTGTTGTTTGTACGTTAGAGACTTGTACATGAACTTGAGATCGAAGAGGTGTATCGGCTTGGAGAATTTGAGAGTATAGCTTTCTGGTAATCAAGTACTAGACTTGATATACTATGCTATGCTATACCGACAAGTGATTATTGTTTCCCCCTGAAGCGATTTCGGGTGGATGAAAAGAATTAGGCGAGTCGAAAAAGATATAATTAGCCTAGCAGCATCTCAACCAGTCTCGAAAATACGCTTAGTGTATACAATCATGTGATTTTATCTCTTCCGTAGTATGCGGAAATGATTCTAATTCCTGATACTGATCAACGGCTTAACTTTTAGCAACCGCACAGGGAGGTAATGCACTGGAATTTTGACATGGAAATGGCTAGAACGAAAATGAACATGGATTGAAAATAGCCGAGGGGAGAATCGCTGGGTGGGACCATTGCTATTATGATAATCCGGTCCTATCTGCCCTCAAATCCTCCATCGGTACATCAGATTCAGGAGTCACTAGACCATTCCACGTATCAAAGACATACGAAGGCAGCCCATCAATTATACCACAAGGATATTCCAGATACGATGACCTAGCTATTTAATAAGTGCCAGATCTGACACTTGCCACAATACTAATATACCATCCGAAAACTTCGAACTGCCGGCGTCCAATTTAAAAGAGTACAATCTTGCAAGTTACATTCTCAAAAAATTGGAAAACTTTGCAAACATTAGGTTTCCGATTGGACATGAAGACCTAAACATCATCCCCAAACCAGCATCACCCTTTATACAATTCATAAAAGCATCGCTAAATGTGTTAACAGTGCGAGCCGAGCTTTCGGTCTGTACCTAATTGACAAAGCCCAACTGTCAAACAATTGGGCAGTCATAGATCCTAAACGGGGGAAACACGTGGAAAGAATATTAAAGAACAAAGTAAACAATAGGGTTTCTATCAGTGGTGCAATGGTTTGTCCTATGATATATCATATATTATTAGTAGCAGGGATCAGGAACGTTGGAAGGGAGTGTGTTCTTCCATTTCATGCGAGGATTACCTTGAATGATTTTTCTCGAGATCCCTTCTAAAATCTGACAAGAGGCACGTCCCGCTTGCCATTCCGAGTACGAACCGTTTGTTGCTGGTAGAAACCTCTTTTTGATTGGACGTTTGCAAGTCTTGCATGTGAGAAAAAGCGCAGCGTGGTGCGTCGGCGAGGTTGACTTGAAGATTAGAAAACCTGTAGAAATTACATGAAAGAAGAACCAAAACTGGTGGACGTAACATTATAATCCATGTGTAAAACGTAGACATATTACGGAGAAATCTTGTGTTCCTCCTTCGAAAATAACACATACCGGGTTCTTCATAACAAACCGGTAGGTACCGGTACTGTAGATATCAACCACCGCTATTATATTAATATGCCAATAAGCCCAGCCTGTCACGGCGGGAAAGAGAAGGGAACATCCCGTCAAGTAGGGCCAGTCAGTAATTTGAAATCGCTTCCGATTCGTAAATGCCGAAAAGTGTTTAGTTTGATTTTCGGGATCGGAAGTTGGAAGAGGGATAATGCCGGAGGGAAATGAAAGGCCACGAGGCATAGAGAAGGCTGAATCATTACGACGTAAGGCGGACTTAAGGTATCATTTTTTAGCTGTGATGACGGTAGCATTTAACCGGGCACCTCGGCGATCTAGTGGGTCCGTAGACATGTTAGCCTGTGAAAATCGGATACAGAGCTTCCTCCAGGTCCCAAGATCTGTCAGCGCCGAAACCCGAAACACATATCTGGTATTCGATCCAACAGACAATTTTCTACAGTGTACGAAAATTACAAATTCATCACAACTGAGTTTTCCTTTCGTTAAGAGTTATCTGGTAGCTTTGAATGCCACATCCACAAGTAAGTGTTCCGCACGGACGAATAATCCTTTCTCTCTAGAGGCTGGGATCTCCAGCGAGTGCATCCATGTTAAACCAAGACTCGTCTACGAAGGTTGGAAGGGTCAACCTCCGTAGCGACTACAACTAGAAAATAGACTTTTCCCCAAAGTTAATGGATGATCCGTGTACAAATTAGATTTAAACAGAAGTGGCTGGGTATTTTTGCGAAGAGGGTGTAATTCTTAAAATGGGAATAATTGCTGTCCGAAGCGTGTTATGTCCGCAGTAGAATCTAGTTTGATAATAAGTGCGTATTACTTACACTGATCTCGTGATGATGCCACTCAAATCTTCCATTGAAGCGGCCCAAGAGGATGCATTCTGATTGTTTAGATCTCCCGCGCACGAATACATGGCGCATTGATGTATGCAGCCTCCTCTTTGCTCCAATAACGTTGGCTAATCCTATGACCATAACTTGGTGTACACTGCCTCTTTCCAGCTAGATTCTAGATAGTCATGGTCATCAATCCCTCCTAAGACCCCTCTCGTCTTTATCCCGCATTTCTATTTGCCGTATTGTATGTGAACCTGTGTTTCTTGTCCTTGGGAAGGGTCACTCCCATGGGCCACGATCTCTGTAGCTGGGGCTAGCCCATGAGCTACTTCTCCTGCATGTTAATCTCCAGGTCATCGACATCCATGGGTATAGTATCGTGTAGTGGTGGGATCCAATCGTATGACATGAGCATGGCGGGTTTGAACTGTCAATTCAACAATCTTGCTCTCTAGTGATCGGGAAATTCCCAGAGCAATTTGCTTTTTGGGCACGAAGTAAGTTTTGGGCTCTCAAAAAGAAGTCACTAAACTTCTCTCCTGAACAAGGTTGAGATCCGATGCGCCGATCTCTATGGAGAGAAGAAATGTAGACCCATATCTGAGATGGTACGGAGAAACGCGCTGCGGGAAACATTGCTCGACCTCTTCTTCGGCTCCAGCCTGAAAAGAAGAATAAGCAGCAAGTCTTAAATTTGAAGGCGATTACTGGAACTATTGTCTGTATAGCATGAGAATCTCATTGATGTGGCAAAACAGAGTGTGAATGTTTTGGACTAATGTTCATATGGTTGGAAAAGCAGCAAATATGCATGAATCCATATCATCATGGAGAGAAAGTCTTTCTTTCTTGGCTGTTAGATAATCCTCCTGCATAAGAAGTATAAGAAGTACAAAGAGCAAACACTTCATCAGTGACAATGTCTAGGACTCGATATGAACCGGCTTTACGAATTTGGATGATCCGTACTGTCAATCATAACCGTTTTTTCACAACGTATCTCTTTTCCACAATCGTTGGTACCGATATATAACCTTGTTATCTTGCCGGGTATGTCTATTTAAGCTCAATCCCAATACAGGTACTTGGGGCTTGAGCCGATGGATAAATTCAATTCATCTCGAGTCGTTGATCGTATTTTATCTCAGCAGTCGAGAATTGCAGACACGTAGTAGTTCCAACATGAAATTCCCAAGGCCTTTTCGGATGCTCATTTAGAAAATCAAAGGGTATGATTTATTCATTCGAAGTTCCTTCTTACTGGGACATTGTATAATCTGAGTGGTCAGTTAC